TCAGGCACTCGCCAGTTTTTTTTTTTCCTACTTTTTTTTTCTAAAGAAAATTGCGTATGTTAAATCAGTGTGAACTTTTCGTTGGACTTTAAGTGAATGAGTATTGGGTAGTATTATTTGTGAGATAAAATTCGTTCAAGCTCATGAGATTGTCTTATTATTATTATTATTATTATTATTATTATTATTAAAAGTTAAGTTTACTGAAAATGAGTAAAATCTCCATTTTATTTCCATCAAGATTAAGCAGGATTACTTGTTGCTGTTATAATGATCTCAATGACTAGCAAGAAAATGAGAGAGACTATACTTTTGGAAAACTCATTTATAATCATACCAACATCCTTCTTCTTTTTTCATTTTTTTTTTCAGCAATGTGCTATAGGCTTTAATAAAATACACATGTTTTGGTGAGCACCAAAAAGAAACAACCTTACACATTCATTATATAGATAGGTTCTAGTGTTAGGACAATATCGGGTCGATGGCTTAAAGTGCCACTTAAACAAGGAGAGTGTAAAAATAAAATGAATGCGCAACGTTTTTATATATATTGGGTGTATTGGAAAATAAAAAGGGAAAGAGCAAGAGTAAAATATCTTTTTTTTGAAAGCAAAATATAAGCGATCATGGAGCACAGACACATACTTTATACGTCTTTTAAAAATACGCCCAGAATGTCTGTAAGAGTAATAAGACCTTTGAGATGTCCTTCATCATCACACCACCACAATCTGGGAGCCTTTCGCAGAACTACTGCGGCCATGATGTGGGAAAGGGTAAAACGGTCATGACAGGTGAATGGAGGATATAGCTCGCCTCGACTGGCTTTTATGTACATTAATACTGGTTTAGCAAGGGCATCAAATCTGTCTTTGTTCAACCCACGCAAGTCTTGGGGGCTGATCTCGGCCACCAGAGTTTTATCATTCTCTACTACAGCTAGTGCGCTTATGTGAGGGTTGTTCGCAATTTCCAGAAACGCTTTTAGTGCTGTCACTCGACAGTCTGTGGAGATAACATTGTTTTCGGAGATCTGTCTCAGCTCCAATGATAGTTTTACAAGAGTAGCTGTACTTATGTCAAGGATGGATCCTAGTCGATGATTGTTATTTTGAAGATAACGCAGTACATCCATTTGAGACAGTAGGACCGGACTTCCTTGACCTTGAACAAGGACCCGATGAACTCCATGGGTACTGAAAAGACGGATCAAATATGCAAGTGGGTCCGTATGTTTGACTGTAACTAGTTTGGCACTTTCTTCAGTCAATCCAATGGCATCTTTCAGTGGTCTCTGGAGGATGACTTGATTATCCTTGAGTGTTTCGAGGGAAATCTAATATGGTATCAAAAGAAAGGATGTTATTTTTGTACTCACGGTCAGCTGATCATCATAACGGTTTTTATATATTTATTTGTATTAATGACATGCACTTAAAACTTACATGTGAGCCCAAGAGCTTGAGAAGATCGAGGACACTGACAATGGCAAGATATCGCTTTTGGCTATTCTCGATGGTGTAGACAGGAGCAGACAAGATATCTTCGGCTAGAAAGAGGTCAAAAGCCTCTTCCATTGTGCTTGTCAAAGGCAAGTCAACAAGCTGGCGTTGTGATTCTGGCTTGACATCTTCAATGAGATGTCCCACAGTTTGTGAGCTGATAAAGTCTTGGTGTTTAGTGAGGTGTGTTGAAAGTGGAGTTTTTGAGGCGAGAGAAGTCATATCGAAGAAAAGGTTAATGGGTTCTTTTGCTTAGTTTATTCAGGCTTTTTATAGAATAAAAGATGTCACACAGAAACGTGATTTGCTTATTTCTACATGCATGCATGAATGGAGCAATTGTTAGGGCTACCAATTGAGGGAATGATTTTTAGGTCATTAACTAATACGATCTGAGTCTAAGCGTTATAGTTTTTTTTTGTATTGCGCCATATAGTTAATTTATGTCGTACATTTTATATTTATGATGTATATATATATAAAGGCAGAAAAATTACAAGGTAGAGTATTTATTATCTAAAGGTGTTTTGTTGTGTATTGAATAAATGATGATAAATGAATATGTAGAAAATAGAAGTAATTATAGGAGAGTGGATGTTTGTGAGATCGCAGAGTTATTTGTCTGGGCAGGTGAAGTAAACATCTTGCGATCATTGAATATGGTAGTAAAAGGAGACGGAGATGGGGATTGTCTGGCCCCCTCGTAAGAATAAGTACCGCCAGGTGTCTGGAGTACCTTGATACCCTTGGAGAAGTTTTGTCCTGTGCGCTCTGCTTCCCAGTCTTCCCATTTTCTCATGGTCAGACGTGAAGAATCAAAGGTACCTTCTGCATCACCATGACTAGCACCCTTCTTCTCACCAACAACTACACGAGTAGCACCCCATGAGAAATCATCAAAATGCCAGAATGAATATACTGGCAAGACAAAATTCCAAATAGGAAGAGCACAAATATAGACTATATGAAATAAACAAAGAAAATAAATTTTAATTAGTACTTGTTCTTGGTCTTGTTATATATGTATATATTCAATAATAGACAAGATCGTGTCCAAAAAAGAAAGCAATTTATGTACAAGGTACTTACCGATCATCCAGCACACATAAATGAACTTTAATGTCGAAACAGCAATAAGAACAGCAGGTAAGAATAGGACAGCCAGAAGAAGACCAAGAGATTGCCATTGTGGGTTAACAGATATAGCACTGTCAATGATAAGATATATAGACATGCAAATAGCAGCAGGCAAGACCAGTGTACCAATGAGATCGATAAAAACAGAGAACTGCATGGATAGACAAGCAATACCGCACAGATCAGACACCAAGACAAGTTCCATCAGATTGTGAACGGTTGAATTAATCCATCTTCGACGTTGAGACAATAGTACGCTAAACTCGTCAGGAACGACGGTCTTGCAACGGGCCTGAGGCACAAACATCATCTGACGCTTGGGAAATGTGCGCAACATGAGGGTAGATAAGAAACGATCTTCACCAAGTAGGAGCAAATTCTTTTCGTGGAGAGTGGTAACAATGTTTTGGTTGTATTCCATCACAATATCGGGGTTGGCAAGAATAGGCACCCAAGATCCATTCTTGGGACTTTTGATACGATACATACTAAAGCAACCGGGCAAACAAGTTACGATACCAAACAAAGACTCGAATGCTTTTGCATAATGATGGGAGATATAATATTCAAACACTTGAATTGCAGTGACCCCTGTAATATTATAATAAGTTATCTGCCATTTGATCATATTTCAATTATATATTTTTTGAAGATAAAAACATGACTTACAAGAGGTACGCTTGTTTGCAATTCTGGTCTCGCCGCACAATCCCATTATGGTTATATCGTTGGCCATTGCAGCTACCATGTATGTCAATGCATCAGGGAGAACCTTTGTGTCTGCGTCAACCTATTTAATTAAGGACGTATTATATTAGCTTAGTTCAACAGAATTATAATTTTCCGAAAAGCAATAATTTGGTTTACCATCAATACTACTTCGAATTTATCTGGAGTGACACCTTTCATAAGCCAAGTCATCTTCCAAAACATCTCGTAATCCAGCTCCGATAATCGATCATTGAAAAGTACGCGTTGAAAATAACTCATCAAGATAAGCTGTCAAAAAATATAGACGTGTGACGTATGACAAGTAAGTGAAACTAATTCAATTTCTATGTGCGTATGTGTGTTAAAAAAAAAGGTGAGAAAAGGTTACCTGAGAATCACGTTTTCCTCGGTTTCCAGGTTTCGGCCCAGCGGCTTCTTCTTCCGTACCACACTTGATGACAGTAACGCACGGAACTCCTTTGTAGTGGCCAGCATACTATTATATTTATAAATATAAATATATTGTGAGCATGATTTTATATTACAATTTTTTTTTAGATACAATGATAAATCCAATATACTAAAGAAAGGAAATAGCATTATTTATTGGTTTTAATTCTGCTTACCACTTTAGCCATATTGAGCTGTTTTTCACCATCAGCAACAGCCAGATATGATTTTGGCTCTGGGTTAGCCATTGCAGGGTCCAGGTCCATCATACCAATTACAATATCGGGGGTTGACATTGATTCTCCAGCACCGGTAATGATACCGTCAGCAATAACCAATATGATCTATAGATGGTTTTTGTGATTAGAGATCAATACTTGGCTGTCAAGAATTCGAAAGACCTGTTTATTACTATTGTTATTATTTACCTTGTGTTTTTTGGAATATTCAGTTTCTGCCAAACTATCCAAAGTGATCTTTAGGCCTTCTTCGCCTTCAGAATAGCAAGTGACTAGCAAAACGGTGTATAGTTCAGTCTGGATAATATCTGACGGAGCTGGGGTGACATTGGCACTACTGCGCTGACTAATGGGAGACTGGACAGCCGAAGAAATGGTCGATTGGGATGGCTGAGCTCTCAGGACAGGACCATAATTATTATAAGGTCCAGGGATGTGATTGGCTGGGTTATCGTTTCCTCCTTTGATAGATCTCCATGCGAGCCAGTTTGAACGTCCACCGGGTTTGACCAGTTGTCTAGAGATGATCCATTGGAACAGTAGGGCCATTGAATAGCGTATGACAATCAGCGCGATGATGACAGCAAACATCAGGTTCATAACGATCTGAGAGGCAATACATCCAGCCGTTTCGTCTTCCATTGCACCGATAGTGTAACGAGCCATCAGACATCGCTGAGCATTTTCTCCTTCTTGGCTATATGATAAACTGTACGAAGCATCGTTTCCAAAAGAGGAACGGAGTGTTTTATCGACGATAGTACCATAAATATGGTCATTATTGTTTACGTACTCGGTAAGGTTGAGGACTTTGAGAAATAATGAGTTTAGATTTAGATATAAATATAAATATATATATATATTTAGTCAGCACACAGGCCTTCTTTAAATTTGACTCACTTGAATCACCAAGAAGAACCAGGTGTGCTGTTTCTGGAGTGTTTTTGGCTCGAATATCTTCCCAGGAAAAACCGAGGTGAACCTTTGATTTGTAAAAATCTCGAAGCTCTTTAATAGACAAGCAGGTCTCGTTAATTGGAACAAGATCTCCACCTGATAATTTTGAGTTGTAAAAAAAAAAAAAAAAGGAAATTAGAATTCTTGTTCTGGATTAGAAAATGCGTATAAATATAACTTGCTGGTGTAGAAAACAGAAAAAAAAACACAAGCAAAGAGAAAGAAGATTATAAAACAAAAATAGACAAAGTAAAATAAAAAGGTTCTATACCATAAGGATTGCTGATGATACAAGATCCTTTTGTCATGTTTGCAGTAGAGGTAGCATATGAAGCACATCTATTGTCCGTATCTCCGTCAAAGATTGCGCCGATTTCCATATTAGCATAGTCTGCAGTGAGGTTAAGGCCTTTTGTTTGGAAGAAATCTTCGATGGTTTTGAGAGGATAGAGTTGGCCAAAAACCCGGATTTCTTCGTGGTACACTGGTGTGCGTACGCCATCAACATCAGTCGCGTAAGGGTAGCTTTGGTAGCTTACAGGACAAAGGGTTTTATTGAGACCGTAGGTGATGTAGGCAAGGATACCGCAGAGTAAGAGGATGATATAAACCAAAGTCAGCTTATTGGGAAAAACGTCATAAAAAAAAAAGAAAGTGTGTGCATTTTGAATTAATAAAGGTTGTAATTAGTAGTAGTGGAATTAGTAGTGGACTAATGATATTTAGATTATGTACAGTCTACGACATTTCGTACCTTTTCTCTCCAAGCTTGCTGCATCATTGCGTTTTGTTTTTTGAAACAGATGCGGATGACTGTATTTGGAATATAACATGTTGCAAGGAAGGCTATCCAGGACCACCACCCAGTCAGAACCTTTACCTTTTCTTTGGGTGGTTCTGCTGGTTGTTCCACCACTTCGACCCTTGGGATGGCTCGGCTTTGTCTCTGTGCTTCCAATTGTCGCTGTAAATGGGGGGACATGGGTTCGTGGCGGATGTTTCCCGGGTGCTGAGCACCTTCGATTCTATTCTGAGATTGTCCATGTAGCATACCCGGGCGTGGTCGCTGTCTCTCTGGTCGGGACAAAGATTTTGAGCGGTGTGCATTGGTCCGACTATAGATTCCATTGGATTGGGGTCTAGGTCCACCATGAGCGGGAAGAGTAGGTGGTTGCTCAAATTGTTGTTGATATGGTGAAGAATTTCGGCCTTGTTGCTGAGGATATAGTCCCTGATTTTGTGAACGATAGCTATCTTGACGAGGTTGTGGTTGAAGATGGCCTGGACGCTGATAAAATTGAGGATGAGGTTGCTGTGTTTGAGGTCGAGGTTGAGGTCGAGGCTGCGATTGAGATTGTGGTGGTGGTTGTGGTTGTGGTTGTGGTGGTGGTTGTGGTTGGCCCTGAAGAGGATTATATTGAGATTGTCCCTGACGAGGTACTGGACCTGGGCGATATTGATTTGACATTAATGTCTATTTGCTGCCAAGACTATTAGTATGAATCTGGGTTATTTCTTGTGATATGAATTGAAAATGAATAAGTATTGACAGGCAATGAATTAAAAAGGAAGAAATAAAGAAAGAAATAAAAGAAGAGAAGAGAAGCTGATTGAAATATGAGTTTAGAAGATATCTATTAAGATATATTTATATCTTTTAGGTCTATAAAGACTAGCGGCGTTAAATGTGTATATAAATATATATATATAAAAAAAGCCGGCTTTATTTTCATATAAGAAAATTGTATGGCTATAATCACTTTTTTTTTTTAAATAAATAAATAGATATCCAAAATCAATAGCTTTCTATGAATTGTGGCAATTAAACTACAAGATCTGGATATCGAACCTTTTATTTTTTATATTTATTTATTCAATCTGGTAATCAAAATTCAAACATATTTGTATTTATTATTAAACGTTTATAAAGGCAATTATATAAGTATAGGGTATAGTATTTATAATTATAATTCTAATAGGAATATTCAATGGATAGTAGAGCTATAATCAGTTTTATCAATTCAATGTAAGCTACTTTAGAAACCAACAAATTCGAAAAGAAAGAAAGAAAATACATAAAGGCAAATATTGAAACAAGAAATTTATTATTGAATATTCTAATTAATAACCTTTTTTCTTTCTTTCTTTCTTTGAAAATATATACACTAGAATCACGGTAATTTAATATTTGATCTCTACTAGTCTTGGTTATTATACCTGTCTTTTCTCTCTCTCTCACTTATATATATATATATATACTTGTATATTATCAAGATAAAATTATCAACTAATTGTTGGCATCAATTTTTTTTTTGTACTTGTATGATTTTAACTTTGACTTTGCCATGTTTAAAAGTCAAAGTCAAACCAAGCCAATCCAATACGATCCAATACAATCCCACAAGGTTTATACCCAGGGTGGCTTGTGGACGAGAAAGCATGTGTGAGTAACAAAAATAAAAAAAAATGAAAAAAAAGGGGAAATTCTTTTTTGGATGGCTTGCTTTGGGAATTGGAGTCGGAATATGAAGGGCTGGGAGATGTGTGACTGTATCTATTAATCGGACTCATCCATTGGCTGAAAAAATATTCCGTCTCGTTTTCAATTGGGGTGCTAAGAAGGCCGCCCCCCGCGACACGCACACGCTACACTGCTCACTCTCTTACTCCCCCTCTACAACTCACACACTACAGTGAGAAAGAGACCCTATAAGCGTAAAGTCAAATAATAGGTGAGTCCATGTTATTTTTCAGAAGCCCCAAAAATTATTCTTCCGCGCAAAGAAGAAGTCTCTTGGGACTGTAGTGCTTCCCTTTTCACATCACCCTTTACACTATGGCCCATCTCATCTACATCCTCTTGACCCTTACCCCATCCTGATGTCCTTTCATCAAACAAGAAAAAGTCTTTTTTTGTATTTAATATTCAAAAATTCAATTTCCCTTTATCCTTAAACCCTCTGGACGCGTCCACACATACTACTTTATACCACACAAAAAATCCTTACTTTTTTCTCATTTTTTTTTTCTTCAAAATATAATAAAATAAATCAAAATAGTAAACAAACATGGCCAAAGAATCTACCAAAGTATCCAAGCGCAACGCCAAGGTTGCTGACGAAGGCAAGAAGCGTCGCACTAAGAAGGATCCTTCCGCCCCCAAGCGTGGTTTGTCTGCCTACATGTTCTTCTCCCAGGACCAGAGACAGCAGGTCAAGGAAGAGAACCCAGAGGCTACCTTTGGTAAGTTTCTCAAATATTTTATATTTATTTATTTGTTTTTTTTTTAATAAAAAACAACAACATCTATACATTAATATTCACACATACTGATCTTTACTTCTCTAAATAAATAAATAAATGTAGGCTCTATCGGAAAGCTCCTTGGTGAGAAGTGGAAGAGCATGACCGATGATGACAAGAAGCCCTATATTGCAAAGGCCGAGGCCGACAAGAAGCGTTATGAGAGCGAGAAGGCTGCCGCTGCCGACAAGCAGAGCGATGAAGAGTAAAAACAAAGATTTAAAGATAAAGACAAAACATTATTGCATGCATCCGATCAACTGGTTTTATGTGTTTCGAGTGGTTTCACTATAGTATAGCATATCAATCCAATAAACCATCTCTCTCTCTCTCTCTCTCCTTTTCTTTTTATTTTCTTTTCTTTTCCTATTCTACCTTTTACTTGTGATTCATTAAATTACGTATTCAACACTTTAATTATACAATTGTTTTATTATTACTATTATGTTGCTTTTGCTCTTGTTGCTCTTGTTGCTCTTGTTGTTGTTGTTTGAATCTTAAAGCAATATGTGCGCTTTATTATAATGAAATAATTACACATCTATTCATCAGATTTAGAACCTCTTTTGCGCGCAAAGCGAGGGTTCTCTTTATAACCTCCCCCCTTTTTAAAATGAGGTTTGGCTTCATTGAATCTAGGCTTGCCTTCGAACCTGGGTTTGTCTTCGTAGCGAGGTCTGTCTTCATTGAATCTAGACTTGCCTTCAAATCTGGGTTTGTCTTCGTAGCCAGGTTTGTCTTCGAATCTGGGTTTACTTTCATAGCGAGGTCTGTCTTTATCGAATCTAGGCTTGGCTGAGAACTGACCATTTCCTTCTTCGGATCTTTGTCCAAACCGGTCATTTCCCCAGCTGGTCTTGCCCGATCTGTCTCCAAAAGAAGACGGCCTTGTGTTATATCCTTCACGAGATCTACCCTCGCGGTCGTTATTGGTCTGACCAAATTTTTCATTTTTCCAGTTCATAGCTGATCTGCTGCTATTCTCATATGATCCTCCTCTTGCAGGCTTACGGTCTCCAAAATCTCTTCGACCTTCAAATGCACTACCACTCCTCTCCCGAGACATCTGACCATATCTCTCGCCCCCACCACGACCGCCACGATCCTCATTATCCTGTCTAGGCAGACGGTCCCTACTCCAGTCAGTCTTTTTTAATTGACCCAGACTAGATTCTCTCGAGTAATTACTATTCGTGAATCTCTTTGCTTGTACCGGTCGCCCATTAATGTCATATCCACCAAAAGTTTCATTTTCTTGTGTTTGACGGCTTTTAGCAATTCTTTCTTGTCTTTCCCTAGGGTCAGGTTCACCGTATATATCTTTGAGTTGCTTTCGGCGTTCTCCCATGGCCTTGTAACGATTGTTTTCCTGGCGCTTGGCCTCTTCGTCAGAAGGTGTAAATCTAGATTTCAGAATTCGCTTCACAGCCTCGGGAGAGATTTTGAATTCTGTTGATATGCTCATTGTAGTATATTGACCTGGATTCTAAAGAATTTACGGACACAAACGTAAGTACACGGATAACAAAGAGTATCATATATATATCATGTGTGTACAGGCATTTTTTTTTAGATAGCCAAAAAAGTAAGCTAAAATAAAATACAATGCTTAAAACTGGTATTAAACTTACAGAGGATGCAAGGCTTCTAATCTTCTCCATTGTCTCCCGAGAGATTCTCTTTTTTGGTCTCCACAGGAGTTCATCGGATGTTTCAATACTTTCTGTCGAATAGAATCTACTTGTGTGCTGAACAGTGCATGTCAATGCTGGTGAGACATTCTTTAAAAAATTCAATCCGTGTAATCCACCAATAGAGGCTGGTCTTCGGAATAATGAACCAATTAATGAGATTGACATGTTAGAAATGCTAAGGGGTCAAAAGGGGTAAACACAGGTCAATGACAGTGGTCACAGAAGCTCTAGTTGGAGTATTTGTTAATTGGTTATTCGATTACCAACTCAGCCATAAGGTGAACGTTTTGATAAATGTTTACATGTCTTTACAACTCTAATGAAAGTCAAAAGTCAAAAACATCATTTAACTCCACATAACTCTCAAAGCAAACAAATAATGTAATTTGCATTTTGTCATACTCATTTAAAAGCTTCTAATTAATCTGAACATACCAAAAGCTTCATAAATACAAATAGAAAAAAAGTACAACTCCAGTATAGGTTTGCAATTAAATGGGCTAGTCTGTATGCTATAAAAACATGTCTTAAGATAATTTTGAGGGTTTCCAAAGGGCACCCACAGCGGTGTGTGTAAATTTTGGAAATTTGTAAATCTTGATGGTTAATGGATATCGAAAGTCTATCTAAATTTTATACACAGCGCTATGGATGCTCTAAGACGATGTGTAACGATACAAGTGGAGGTGTACATGAATTTCTTTTTCACGAATAGTCTCCCTTCAAAAAGCTTTTATGAAAATTAATGAATTATTAAAGTAGACTTCCTGGAAATATAATTGAGTATTATTTTTGTTTTTTGTTTTCACTAAACAAAACGAGACGAAAAGAAGTACATTAAAGAAAATTATCATCACTTTGTACTTATTTAAATAAATTGATTGACTCTTTTTTCTTCTTTAAGAAAAATGAGTCCATATGTTAATATATGCATAATTTGAACTACATTTATAGTCGAAAATAAAATATAATTTATTTTATTCAATTTATACTATTTTCCCTGAAGGGGTTGTTATTTTTGGCTTTGTACTTGATCTATATTTACAATCTCCAAAAAAAGATAAATTAAGTACCCTTTTTTTGTTATCTATTCCAAATTCTACTTTTTATCAAATGTATAGCTTTGTACAGAATTTGTACCCTGTTCATCATTCAGAACAAAGCCAAAAATCACTCTATTATTGTTGTACTTACTAATTGATATACATTTTATGCATTCAAATTCCCTGTTTCTCGTCTCTACACTGTAGACAATGTAAATAAAAATGCAACAAATTTAACTTCTAAAGCTTACTGTTTTCATGTTGTATATCACAAAAATAAAGTGCAAAATCGTAAGAGAGAAAGAGGAGAGTTTCTCTCTCTCTCTCTCTACGTTCATTTATTTACTCTGTCAGGCCACATACTCTTTTTTTTTCTTTTTCTATTCATTATTATCGATATATTATGTCCTTTATATAGTACTCACTCTTCTTTTTCTTTTATTTAATTTCAAACCATTCGTCCCTTTTTCTCGCTTTTCATATATAAACTATTTTTTTTTGTTTTTTTTTCTCTTGTAAAGGACAAATGAAATAAAATGTGTTTTTTTTTATTTATTTTTTCAAGCTTTTCCTTCTTCTTTTTTTTTACACTTAAAATAGGTCAAAACCATAAAAGCAATTGGCGATGTTTTTTATTGCCAAAAAGCGTATATAGGCACCAATAAACACTGGGAAGAATACTACTTCTAATAATAATGATAGTACAATAAGTTTCATAATTGTAAATTAGTATATATGATTACCCTTTTTTTAGAATAATAATAATAATTATAGTTGTGGTGATTAAGTTAACTGCCTCTGTACAAAAATAAATAAAGTTATTGTCATGACAGCGATTTTTTTTTAAAAAAATTGTAACCATGGCAAATAAGTTTTCTTTGATATAAAAATAAATAAAGTTATTGTCATGACAACTGTTTTTTTTAAAAAAGAAATTGAGACCATGGTGAATAAGCTAGATGCTTCGATATAAAAATAAATAAAACTATTGTCATGACAACTGTTTTTAAAAAAAGAAATTAGAACCATGGTGAATAAGCTGGATGCCTCGATACAAAAATAAATAAAATTATTGTCATGACAACCATATTTCTTTCTTTCTTTTTTTCTAAAAAGAATTAAATGAAAAAGAATTAAATTAATTTACACACACACAGAGAGAGAGAGACATTATATACACATATCTATATGTGGATTATAAAATAAAAAAGCTGCTGAATCAAATGTTAAACACTGATAATGTTTTGTTATTTCAATATCAAAAATTGGACATTGTACCTTTGAGCATACACACTTTTTTTTTTTACCTTTTGCCATTTTTTTTAAAGTTTGAGTGGCAATTATATTTGATTAAAGATGTCATTGTACACTTTTCTTACTGTTTTCGATATTTGCATCATTTACAAAAAAAAATCCGCGTATGATTATGATTATTTTTAAAAGCTTCTTCTAGTAATCTTAAACTGGCTTCTTTTTATTCCTTCTCATTTCTGAAAATGGAAAATGTGGCTTCTTGTGAATCAAGTTATTTGAATCCTAAAGAGATACAATTTAAAAATCATTTGTGTGTGATTATTATTCTCTTTGAGAGCAATGAGCATGAAAGGAAATTGACTTGTATGAAAAAGACCTACATAAGTATTAATAATAATTATGTATTCTATTATATATTTATTAAAAGTCATCGAGTCTATTTTTCTACCTATTTATTTCCATTAGGAATGAAACAAAATATCCTTCGACACTTGGGCTATCACAGGAGAGTGTGTTGAGGTGGCTATTAGCAACTAGTACTATTAGAGATTGTTTTATCTCAAATTTACCATTGTATGTACTCACCCATATATCTATGTATAGCTTATTTATGGTTGTATATGTATTCGTATCCATCGATAGGGTTGGTAGTTTAGCCGACAAATAGATAGATATATATATACTTTGTGAGTACACGTATGAATACATATTATATATACTTGATTTCATATACGATTAACCAGTATGATAAGTGACAATTCTGTGTTTCACATGAAAAAAAATGTCTTGGTTTAGATAAAAGTCTATACCAAGAAAGGAGTTCAATATTTCGAGATGATGAGTGCGTGAAAAGAAAGTGAAGTTGAAAGAAAGCCACACTAAAAAGTTTACATTTTTTTATTTTAAAGCTGTAGCAGATTTTCTTTTCTAAAAAAAAAATTGCTACACTTTTTTACTGCTTAAAAATGTTACAAATCTTGCTTTTCATTAAGCCTTTTAACTCCGTAAGTCCATTTGTAGAACGCAAAAAAAGGGAAAAAAAAGTAAAAACGTCCTTATATCATCAACAGGCGGAGTGATTGTCTGTTTTTTAATGCTTTGGTGTTTCGTGTACCAAAGTCATTAGGACTCTACTAACAGAAGCGTTTAAATTGTATTTATATTCTTTATTGTAATGATATTTAATTCATGCTGCTGACTAACCGTTTTATTGATATTCTTCTATGAATCAAATGTGTATACTGCTTTAACTTTTGGAATCATTAATTAGTGTCCATTTTTGGCTTACTGTTTGTGCCTTGATAGCTAAACTTTAGAGTATTTCAAAAGAATTTCTCGAGTCAAGTCACTGTAACTAATGAATATTGGAGAAAAATTGGGGAAACAGATGTAATTTTAATGTTATTTGGGTATTTCACAAGGCATCCCGATCTAGTAAAGTGCTTTCTTAACTACCCTGGGAACACACAGATGCAAAAAATATATATCTAAAAAATATTCAGTAGATATCCTTGTGTTTGAGGTTACCACATCTATCACCTGCCTCTCCGTCCCATAAATTCCTTTTGCGGAAATCAAGGAAGAAGTGCAAGTGTAAATATGGCTTATTACAATTTATTAATTACAATCCTTTTTTATTATTATTTGAATAAAAAATAAACGAATGATTAAAACAAGGTTTTAACTATTGTGTGGCGTTTTTCTAAAGCTCGTTTAGGTTAGTTAAAAATAATCAAGAAAGAGAAGAAGAAGAAAAAGTGAAGAATATTGATCGAAAGAGAGATCGAAAAATATAGATAAGTGGATAGATAGATAGATAATTATATAGCTAAAAAACAAAGTGAGTGACTCTTATATTGTATAAGGTGCTTTTTCTCTATCTATTCTTTGCATATGTTATATATGTATAAATATTTTTGTAAAATTAATATGCTTACTGCGTCTTCTTCTGTTTGTGAACAATGGAATAGAAATTCATTTTCAGATTGATTTTTTTGTGCTCAATTTATTTATATACACAAACTCAAGATTTGGGTTTTTGATTTTGCTTTTTGAAGTGTATAAAAATACACTCACACAAATATATATACTTCTTTTTGTCTATTTTTATATTTTTAGCACTACCTGGGTTTTCGGGATTTATTTAGAGATCTCATGAGATCATGAATCCCGACAACTGGGTAGAAGGCACGCGAGCAGGATCTGATTTTATATTGTTCTGTTTGTTTCTACTCTTATTTATCAATTTATTGATGGGATACTTTTTATCCGTCTCTTTGAGAACTGTGGATAACCGTGTTCCTGAAAATTTTAGTTTTATTATATATATTTTCTGGAATTCGGGCCATACTATTGGCCAAATTGTTAAGTATTTACAGCCAGAGCATTTACAGCCATTGTGACAATTGTAAAGATATCTTGAAAATGTATTATAAAAAAAATTCGGCCTTTCTGTTGCTGTAAGATTCTGTAATTCTGCTTTAGTAAACATACGCCTGGCTCCAACAATAACAGCAAAGACAACAGCAATAACAACAACAACAGAATTTGAGAAGGAGGAAAGTCATAGTTTTACGGGGGTTGTGGTTTATGAAAGCTTGATGTTTTGGTAGCCGCCATCTCCTCTCAAACGGTACCAGGGTCTTGTCAAGATGTGGAAGATCAGATTGAAGATCAGATAGACACAGGCACAGTTATGGGCGTACACAATATAGTATATCAATTCTTCTTTCTCAGATATATAAGCATATAGATATTATATATTTGTATAAAAAAGGTTTGTTCTGTTTGCTATTGTGATCAGAAAAAAATATATGGTCATACAGAAGGTCTGACAATGTGGCTGTATCAATATTCATATTATGTTTTTTTTATTGAGTGGGCTCATGTCATTACAATATAGCTTACAAGAGGTATATTATTATTATTTTAAAAGAATGATCACAAATAAAACGAAAGCTGCAGCTGTACCCAGTCTAGCTTATGACCTTATTTCTTCCTTTATTTTATAATGATGGAGAGGCGTACAACATAATAAATGGATATACACATACATATATGTATAGATATACGTATACATATACATATTCCTACGCGTATGTTTGGGTATACTTCAACTATAATGTATTTTTTTTTGTCATAACAACAATTAATCTTTGAGTAACAGTAACGTGGAATAAATAGATATTTTGTAGCACTAACGAATTGTATAAATGTTTATATAAATATAAGGTTTGAAAAAAGGAGAAAAGCATATATGATGTCAACTACATTTGTTAACAAGTTTTTGTTTTTTATATAAGAAAAATACAATAGAAAAGTGAAAAAGAAAAAAAAATATGTTGCTATGATACAGGCTTAAATGAGTTGTCAATAATAAGAAGAAAAATAGAGTGGCATATGTAAAAGAGAAAAAAGAAGAAGAATAAAACACTCTGTCTACGTGTTTGTGTGTTATGTGGAGGGACTGTATATATGTGTGTATATGTATATATGGGTGTGTGTAAGAGCGTATCTTTGGCTTATAATAAAAACATATACATAATGTAAGAAAAAAAATAAAAGAACATACAAGAGGAATAAATAAATCAATGTAGTGAAAGGAAAATTGCAGAGGCCGAGACTGTTTGTACTAAGATTGGTTTCTACGTCCAGGAAACGTCTTTCGTCGGCTGTGCAAGTCAAGGAAAAGTACACTGGTACTGGAGGCTGGTGGGGTACGTTCTTTGGATGATTTCTGGTTCTGTGATGACCGGCGCAGCTTTGCACGAAGGGCCTCCATAACAGTATTGTGATCCAGTGACTGTGGAGATACTTCTTCATTATCTTGCTTGTCTTTAGCTTTGTTTTCCTCCTCCTCCTCAAGAGGGGGGGTTATACTCTTTCTGGATTTTCTTATAGATTTTCCAGACAGTTTGTTTCGACCCTCTGGGCGCAAAGTTTCGGTGAACGATCTTCTCTTATACCTTGTTTTAGAGAGGGACGATGATCCGGGGGATGATGCTTGAGACTCAGATGCCTTTGGAGACATTGTCAGACTCTGGGCAAGTTCAATTGGCTCAGGGGATGATGCAACAGAGAGCGAAAGGTTGGAAAATGGTACATCGAAGGACATATAAGGAGAAGGTAGAATAATTGACTGTGATGGTGATGGAGGGCTGTTAAAGTCATGTAGACTAGAGCCAGTTGCAAATGGAGACATCGCAGAGATATCACTCCCGGCTTGTAAGGATGATAACCAGCTGGTATCAATGTCACTTGTGTTTGGTAACATCAGAGGATCTGCTTTAGAGTGGAATTATAATTAGTAAATAAAATAAAATAAAATAAAAAGAAAGATTTTTTTAGAATGATTTTTTTTAAAGCAGTCGAAATATATTTAAATAACTAAAGATAGAAAGCTATTTTTACCTGATGGCTCATGATGCAAATCCTGGGAGAAGGACGGCTCACTCCTGGACCGTCTGTGATGATTTAATTCGAAATCAAGGTATTTATTCTGTAGTCGTGCTTCTTCAGCAAGTCTAATCTCTTCAGCAGTACGTCTCTATTATAATGAGCAACAGAAGTTTAAATAAGTACACCTCCTTTTCTCATTACTACTTGGTTGCTAATTGTAGTATCAGAAAATAGATACTGAAAACTTACTTTGTCTTCTTGGGTTTTTGCGATGAGGATGTGTTTTAATAGATCAACGTTATTCTGGTATTTCTCCAGAATTTCTCCAACAGTAATGGTAGATAATCCGGTCAAGGATGCCAATTGGACTCCTATGTCTTGACTGGAGCCAGCGTCGCCAATTGATAAGGAGTCGCTGGCATCGTTCGAATCAATGCTCATTGAGCCTGTGTAAGATGGTAACATGGTTTATTTTTTGCACCTAAGAGACAAGAAAGAGCAAAGAATAGACGGCTTTTTGTACAAAGATTAAAAAAAAAAGAAAAATAATTAAAAATTCCGATCGGTAGCTTAAAGTCGGTATATCAATCGAAATTTTGATTGCTGTTTAATGTTTATGGAGAACACAGCACCGCTTTATGAGCTTCAATCCCGCACAGAGCGACTTCATTTCCTAAGCCGAGATAATTCTCTCTGTGTATATATATAACGTATTTCTAGAGATCTTGTTTAGTCGCTCGCCTATTAACCTGCTCACCCATTCATTAGTTCATTATATATATATGTGTGTGTGTCTATGTATACATGTATGTTCATATGTATTTCGCTCTCTAGCTTGCTCTCTCCCTCTATATATGTGTGTATAGAAGTAAAAGCAAAAGTGAAAATAACAGTGACAGTAATGGTAACAGTATAATTATTAGTAGTTGTAATATATTTGTTCTGTATATATTAATTATTAAGCAGGATGAATTGTATACAAATATTATTAAATTAACTTTGAACTGTTTTTTTTCTTAACTGAACACAATAAAGTCTTTGGTGCCATCATCTTACGATTGTTAGGGTTTGAAGCTAGGGCATTGTACATATATACGCTAATAATCTGCCGTTTAATTGTGTGTGTGTGTGTATTATTATTTTAACAGAGTGAAAAGAGGCGTGTCATTTTATTATTTTTATTATAATTAATATTGTTGTTCCTATTGTTAGTACAATTACACTTTCGAGAGATTAGATCACTTACAATTTCTACTCCCTTTGTTTTCTTTGTAGTACTCTTGTTGACACTAAAAATACATTTTACCTTTTCCAAGTTTGTAAGCAATTGACACATTGGGTACAGTCTGAAAGAAAGGTGCTATAGACGCATTGCGCAATGACCATGAGGGAATATAACAAAGCCACTTCAATGTCTATATATGACTATTATTTCAAATTTGATGGCGAATATCAAATCAAACCAAACCAAGCCAGCTGTAATATAAAATAATATAGAATAATATAACATAATATAATAAATCTCCCTTTCCTCCACACTCGCACTCACGCAGGGTGAGAACGTGCCCTGAATACCCATTTTCTTCTTACTGTTACCATAAAAGCAGAATAGTATGATATTCAACCCATGTACAAATAAAAATAAAAATAAATAAAAACTAAAGGTTTACCACTCATTGTATCACATCACCTCACTGTTCCCCACTATAGGAATCCAGGTAACCGGGTTGAGGGAGCACTTGCAATGATTGTCGTAATTGTTGAATGATGTAAGTTATTTTTCATTTTTTCATTTTATTTTCTGTAAGAGACATAGCTTAATATATATATATCTTCAATGACTTGTAAGCATAAGGGAAATATCAAAAGTTCAGTTTTACCTATAAAGAAGTTGCTTCGAAAATGTGTAGAAATATTTTGTGTATTGTGAATTTAAATAAAAGATAAATGGATTTAATAGTTTTTTGTTTTGTTTTTTGTTTCAGCGGATAATAAATAAGATATAATTTTTATTACTGTTACTGTTACTGTTACTGTTACTGTTACTGTTACTGTTACTGTTACTGTTACTGTTACTGTTACTGTTACTGTTACTGTTACCATTACTATTAGTATTAGTATTGGTATTACAATTGTTATTGTTACATACTCCTGTATATATTTATATAATAAAGATTAATACTTTTGAATATTTATAAATATATAAATATAAATATAAATATAAATAAATAAAGTAAAAGTATAAAAATAAATATATAAAAATAAATATATAAAAATAAATTAAACCTTTTTTTCTTATTTTGTTTGTTGAAGATGGTGCTCTGAAAATGGACGTGATTTCCAACAAATGAACATTTTTATATATTTATTTATATACATACATATATATATATATGTATAAATATCTTTTTTAATTCTTATACACTCTCCTTAAGAAAATCTATAGATACTCTTTATACCTTAAATGGGAGCCTTAAGTAGGACAGATAAATGAAAAGTTGTGAATGCTTGTGGGAAAGGTGCATTTTATATAACTTTATATAATTTTTCTCATATTAATGTATATGGTTAGATATATGTATATCAACTGATTTAAAAACTTTGAATAGATACATATACAATTATTAATTCTTTCAATTTTTTACCTAAAAAAATATACAAGGAGAGGATCCTTTCTTCTTCTTTTACCGCGGACACGGACAATGACAAACTGTTTGTGACGACAGTATCCTGAAAAGGTAGTCATGCAGCAACTACATTATAGAAGGGTAATACATTAAAGCTAGAAGGAGTAACAACTACGAGACACCGACCTAACAGCCAAAAAGTGAAAAGTCATTATACCTTAGAAAGCTTAATTTAGATAACACGATTTTACAGTTGTTTCAATATACTAAATACACGGAGTTTACATAATATCGGATATTTAATAAGTTTAAAGTACTTTTTTTTTGAATTGCAGGACGCAGTTTATTGAAACTCAGAACGCGTTTTTTTTTAATATTCTAAAAAGGTCGGTTAGATTTTCTTGGTGTGTGTTCAAATTCATTAGATTTTTTTTTTAAAAAAACTTTGTTCAACTTGATTCAAAATGTTCAGGTTAAAAAGCAAGATATTTTTATTGATACCTGAGTTATTTCCAGGTTTATATCGTTCTTCTTCTACCTGTCTATCGAAAACTCAATATTCTCTTTTCTAATGATACAAATTGAAAGAAAATAACGTTCTGCCAAAAAAAAATAGAAAGAATTTTAAACCAATACTTTTTTTTTGACAGCTATAAAAGTGGGCTTACCACTAGAACTTGAAGATTTTAAAATGCATGACAAGAACAACAGTCATTACACGTACTCTAACAATTTCAGCTTTATCTATCAGAATAAGCATTCTAAGTTCTTAGCCCAATGTCGATACCATGTCAATTCGCTGGCACTCTCTTTGTATTGCTCTATGCTTTTAATCCTGTAAAGCAAAGCAAATACCGACAAATGGGGACGATTGTATTTTAGTTCTTCAAATCACATGCACCGCAAGATATTTAACACCTTATATGTTCTGCTATCTTTCATTCATAGTCTACTTTGTAAGAGATGTTCGCTAGAATATTGTTAATCGTGTTTATGATATTCATATTACAATCGAGTAAAACGAGAACTCTATGTTCAAACTCTGGTACCTACTTGCTAATACTACTTATAAGTTAACGGTTTTATGAAGTTATACATCAGGTACGCGATCATTCGACACTTATACAGTGTACTCTTAATAGTAACATAGCAGGGATTATAATAGTAGTAGATATACCAGTAATACTTTCTTTTGCCTTAATAGATAAAACCCTCACAACATCTATTCTTTACACAGTGAAGGCATTAACCTATTAGAAAAGCTCAAATATCTCAATTACCCCTTTACTCCATTTGTATTGACCTAATATCTTATACGTATGTAGTCCAATAAAACTGATGGGACAATAGGCTATTTTAAGAAAATACTTATTTCCTGAAACATAGTGAAAGATTACCCGATTATTTTGTGTATATAGCAAGAGCTTTATTCTTAAGATCTTTCAATAAAGATACGTACACATATACCAGGAAACATAAACTTTTTAGAATAGAATCTTGAGCAAACCAAATACTTCAAATGAAACAGTCGAGGTTCAGAATATCGATATATTGTGTTATTGGCTCTCTTATCATAACCTTTTTTTTCTTTCAAATTAACATAGGAAAATATATCCTCATTTTTAAGCGTACTTGTTAAGAATTATAATAATAAAAGCGCTTTGAAAACAAGGAGAATTTTGCTCTTTTGGGTATAGCAAACACATCAAACTATTTTCCCCAATGATGAGTTTAAAATTTGATAGATTATAGATAAAAGTGTCACTCAATACTTGTAAGTTTTTGCAGGGTTAATTACTAGAAAATATGTTTAATAGAAATAAGGCGTATGTATATATAACGAGAATATAAAGATTATGTAGGGCACTGGCCACAATAAGTTGTCACTTTTACTTATGAAATTTCAAAATTCAGACTCATCCGACAGAAAATAAGAAATTACAGAAAGCAAAAGATGCGAGGAAACCTCTATCTGGGTTTTAAAAAACCACTACTTGAGATTGAAAAGTCGCTATTATAAATGTTCATTTCCCGCACACTTTGTATACTAAAGATTACCCTTTAGTATTAGAACGATTTAATGATTTTTTTTACATAATCTTGTAAGTGAAATACACATACAAAGTAACAAGAAGAAGTAGATTCACAGAATATACATATACCCTTTTACTTCTTTACAGATATTGAAATCTTATATTTTATTATTATTATTATTATTTTATTATTATTATTTATTAGGTAATTAACGCAATTCAACCTTGAATTCATCTTGGACAACATCACGCACTTTTTCTTGAATAGCATTGATTTCTTCATTGGTTACATTTCTATATTCAAATACGTTTACAAATATTATGATTATTGTTATTATTTTTAAATATCATGTTAGCCTCATTTACCTATCCATAGATCGGTACAGAATACGGTAACAGAGACTTCGTTTGTCGGTCTTTGGATGGGTAAATTCATCAATCTAAAATATCAATTTATTAGTATCATGCAAAAATATAAAATAAATGAATAAAAAAAAGAAGCCTCCATTCTATTTTCCCTTACCAATTGCACGTTCTCCACGATATCGCCTGCTGCGCCACGTACTACTTCACAAAAGTTGTTCTCATGCCATTCTCCTTTAGGAACCCAGAAAGAGATATCCTTGATACACGGGGGGTACTTTGAGAAAGGCTTGAATTTCTGAATCTTTCCTGGCGTAAACTGCTCGGTAAAGCGCTTATCCTCTGACCAAAACAAGCGAATATCTGGGATATCGAACAAAACCATAGCCAATCTTTCAAGACCCATACCAAATGCCCATCCAATCTTATTATCCAAGCCTGTGTATGTATAAGTGTGAGCATAATCATGGTCATAAGCGTGAGTATATGTGTGCGTATGAGTGTGTGCCCCGTTAATTAAATGAACCCTATTTCACCAGCCATCTATCTATCTGTTGCACCAGCCTAACCAAACCAAACCAAACCAAACTAATTTCATACCTGACTTATTCATCAATGGCTGCTGCACAACACCGCACCCAAGAACCTCAAGCCACGCTCCCTTGTAGAAAATTTCGACTTCCCAGCTAGGACTTGTAAAAGGGAAATAGGCATCAATCCAGCGCACCTTCAGGTCTGGTTCATCAGCAAACAGACTGTAAATCATACTGTTAATCGAGTGTTTTAGGTCTGCTGCAACTAATTGCACATTCTCGGGAGAGTGACAGCCTTGAATAGGGTTCGAAGGCTTGATAACCGTGTCATCCAAGAGGTCGATATTATTGGCACGAGTATCATTATTCATTCCAGCCTCAATTTGTGCTCTCATAGATACAGGGTCAGTGTTGTCAAAATAAGCAAATCCTTCGATTTGATGGAAAATTGGATAATGAGAAGCGTCAATCTCGTCTCTTCGGTAGACGTCTCCACTGATCAAAAACTTCTTTTCGCCCGAAGACAGACCCTGAAGCTGATGAGCGGAAGTGTGGGCGCGCAAGAGAGTGTTCTTGTCAAAGTAGTAATTGTCTGACTTTGTTCGACTTGGGTGATCTTTGGGAATCAGAAGATCATCAAAGTTTTGTTGGGTGCTGACAATAGGACTAAAACTGTGGAAAGGCTTGTAATTGTTAAAATGAGACTCGATCAACTGACGAATAATTGAGATTGGGTTTGTGGGTTGCAAATGAAGCTTTCGATTCATTTTGGAAAGCACATTTGGAGTCACATTGGTCCATTCGTCACGCTCAAAGGTTCTTCCATTCACTTTGACGAACTTGTCAGTGACAGTATAGTCTGAAAGCCGAGTATTATTAGTATTGTCATGTTTTTTTGGGCTTATAAAGAATAATAATTAATATTTATTTATTTATTTATATTTCTTATTTATTTTCTTATCTATTTATTTTGTGTGTGTGTTTGTATATATATATATATATATATATTCGTTTTCCTTTTGTTTTGTTTTTTACCTGAAGCCGTCGAGTAGGAACTGACACGGATATTACAGACACCAGTTGGTCTAGTGTAGCAAGACTTTGGCTGTACAAAACGCACCCAACTAACAGAGTGACGAAGCATATTGCCTTTGAATCTTTTATTTAATTATATATGTATATTACAAACAAAAAGAATTAAAAAAATATAAGGGGAGGCCGCCAGGGGGGAGGTGACTTAAGGTTGGTTGGGTTAGAAGAGCTTAAAAGAGAGGAACTTAAAAACTAAAAAATAAATAAATAAATAAATAAAAGTAAATAAATAATGTCAAATTTGAATAGATAATACACTTCTTTATTTCATCTTTTTATTATGACAGACCCGTTAGACCAAGATTTCGATTTTAATATCAATTTTACTATTAACTTTTGGTAATTGCCTAATTAGCTTTAGCCAAGACCTATTTATTATTTTACTTAACTGTAACAAAAGTGAAAAAGTAACAGAATAGAGAATTGTAAAAAAAAAGTCTACAAAAGTAATTGATATTTAAACCCCAGATTAAATATATTAATATTATGTAATCTTGGATTTAAATACTAACAATTTATTGCTTATTTATTTCTTATTAGGAAATTGGCCAAAATATTCGATTATGTTTTTAACGTGTACTTCTTGAACTTTTAGGTTTTGAAAAGAAAGAAATCGTGATTAATATTTATACTGTATTACAAAGAGAAAGACCATTAAGCAAACCATTCGAAAGATATCGATTATAGACATAAAGATATTTTTCTGATTTTAAACGTTCTTTGTGTTAGTTGTAATAATTTGGAAATATTTCGTAGTATTCAGTGACATCAAAGGAAACATTTTCCTGGTCCATTGACGGAATGGTTACCGGTAACAAAACAAATGGATCAAAATTGCTGATATTAACAATGTAGTTTTTAGAGCCTTCCTTCCTGTAGAGCTTCCAACGTTTGATAGATTCTATCTCGCCGTAAACGGACAATTCAGACATGACCATGTCTGTAACCATATCTCTTTCATAATAATAAGGAACATCGGAAATAATGACGGCTTTTTCGATTGGCAAGCGATCAGCTTGGCAACGACCCAGCGTCGTCATTTTTGCCATCTTAAGGGAGCCTGCCTTAACAAGATCGGAATAAAGCATACTACACACTGAGGCAAAAGAAAATCTTTTAGTGGCCAAAGTGTGCGCCGTAGCAGAAAAAAGTCTCTTGATAAGCGCAAGCTCTTTTTTGTGACAAGATGTTCTAGTAAAACCCACAGTAAGTAAGTTTAGCTGTGGCAAATGAGATTTGTAGCTTTCCCTTCCTCCTATTTTGTATTTACCCTACATTACGCCTAGTAATAAATGGATCCTCAATTGCAATCGGTTGATTATCCCACTGGTTACGCTTGAACATCGATCTGTTCAGACGTATAGAAATCGCACGGTTGAAATTGTGTCTGGTTCCGTAATAATAAAAGAAATCTATTAACAATTGGTCGAGCTTGGCTACATTTCTTGTCGCCCAAAATGTTCCGTTTCTTGTATATCTAATTTCCTTGAAACCATTCCGCTTAAGACTTGTGCGTTTGAAACAGTCATGGAAAGAAATGTTGCAGTGGATGTATGAATGCTTGTATTCTGTCTCTACCATATTTTTTGTATGGGAGTTGCAGTCCTCTGTATTGCATTGGCCTTCAAAAAAATCCTTGGGATTTTGTAGATTAGGAATTACAGGCGGATCGCACGTCATCAAGTACCACAGGCCCATAAGTGTATACGAATAACTACTCAAGGAACCATTGGAGGCTAAGATATGTATATGTATATAAGAATAAGAGTAAGAATAATATATACACTCACACACAATCGCACGCACGCGCGTGTGTGTACAAAATCAGAATGTTTACCATCATTAATATTCCTGCGCTTCACAAACTCCTTGATTGCATATATAAACGGCCTGACTCGTGGATCCAACTCCGAGTAAGCTTTTAAAAGACGTGTGTTGGTTGAACTCATGAGATTATTGACGCTAATGTCACAATGTATTCTGTGCGGCAAAACATCAAATTTACAAATAGGTACATTTGCATTGGGAACCGGCATGACATTTATCATCCCACTATTTCTCAATATGAAAGCCAATCGATGCATATTCATAATTGAATGCTGCTTCCTTGACTCTTTTCGTTTGTTAATCCAAGGATAATCATACTCGGGAGCAACGATTGCTAGATCCATATCCGAATCGCGAAAACCGAAACCATTGGCACTCGAACTTTTTTTTTAAATATATATATACATACATATATATGCAAATTATGTAGCTTTTTTTCTGAGATTTCTTGCCTTCATATCAGTGTATACATTTGATACTCATCGCGACTTACCCATATACCTTGACCTTATAGTTTTGGTTCCACGCGCCACCAATAATGTTCTCAATCCTTTGTACTATGTTCTGCCGTTTGGTTATATCCTCGGGTTTAGGGAGTAATGACTGTAATGGTGTTGATTGAATAAAACACCCTAATGACCTTTATGTATTATTCCTTTTCTTTGTAACCCATACCTTGTAAAGTTGGTTAATTTCTAAGCTAAGATCATGTGCACCTTGGTTTGGGATGTAGACAATTAAGAAAGCCTTAGGATGTTGGTTTACATCGAGTGGAGGAAATGTCAGGTCCTTGTGACGTGGGTCACTTTTGTAAGATGCAAAGCTCATCAGCTCAAACTCCTGTGGTGGAAATGTTCTGGTCTCGCCTCCGCTCTCAATATATTCGCTAAGATCATCAAAGGACTCCAAAAGATCTTCCAGTTTATTATACAAAAAATCGTCGTTGTACACAGCGTCTTCAATATCTTGATAGAGAGCCACTTGCGGATAGAGTTCCTGGTCTCTGAATGGAGTGGATGTCAGAGAAAAGCTACAGCAAAAATCCTTGATGTAGTGAATCAAAGGAACATCCACAACTGTAATCATTAGACAATCTTGGGTTTCTTTTTAGGAAGTAATGAGAGGTAAAGATAGAGATAGAGAAATACGAGTCGTTCCTGAGTTGTAAATGATAAAGATAAAACCAAAACCGTGTAATCTCTTTTTGGTCTGCTTTATTTAAACTCCCGTATTTTTTTTTGACACATCTATGCCAAGATTTGAACCAAAATTTACGATTCATATTTAAGAGATTTAGTAAATATAAAAAGGTAAACAACATCAAGATGTGTTCAATTGAAAGAGTCCTATAAAATACCAATGTTCAAGTACTCCATTATCTGTATACGAAGATCTCATTTAATAAAAAAAAACAAAAGAAAGAAACACTTGGGAGTAATATCCAATACAAAAATCTTTACATTTCATTTTTATTATTCTTTTTTCTTATTAATTGGTATAAGCAAATAAATCATAATACATAGAAGTTTTTCCTTCCTCTCCCCCTTTTTTTTACTTCTTGGATCGAGCCTGAGCTAAGAGAACTTCAGCTCTGGACTTGCTATTTGGGTCAAAGTATGGTCTCTCGGCCTACATTAGAAGATTCATTAGAGACAATACTTGTCATATGTATATAATAATACGGCATCTTACCTGAGTAGTAATTCTCCATCCATGGCGTTTTCCAGAGCCCAAGTAATCAAAGATAGCACAGTGCGATGTAACACGGTTGTCCCAAACAGCAACTGTATCTTCTTCCCACTTGAAACGAACTTGGAAGTCATAACCACCAGCCAGGTGCTCATACAAAAAGTTCAAAATGGTGTCCGACTCACGCTTGCTTAAACCAACAATGCTACGAGCAAAACCGGGTTGGATGTATAGAGCCTTCAAGCCAGTGACAGGATGAGTACGCACAAGAGGATGTGTATGCAAAACATTTTGACGACGCTGGGGAATTCCAGCGTTAACAGCACCTTCGGCCTGCTCTTTACCAGAATGAACAACCTCGAGACCTTCGAAAAACTTTTGCAACGCAGGAGAAAGCTTATCATATGCAGCATAGCTCGATGACCACAAGGTATCGCCACCAGTAGATGGGAGTGTGTCGATCTTCAAGAAAGTAAATCCTGGAGGCTGGAGCTCATAGCTGACATCAGTGTGCCATCCTGTAAAGAAAGAATATAAATTAGGAAAAATTAGGAAAATCACGATAAAAGCCATGAAAAGAACATGCATATACCTTCTGAAGCTCTGACTATTTTAGGATAATATGCGCTTTTCTCACTAAAATAATAGAAATAATAGAAGGCGTTATTAAATCATTTATTTTTATTTTGCTATTTTTGTTTACTTACACATCAACACTGTAAATTGGAAGGACATAGGGATGGTTGGGAGGGTGGCCACCAATATTGTGAATGTGACTAAGTAGTTAAATGAGTTAGCTGAAGTTAATGAATACACTTCTTTTGAAGTGAGGATGGTTCCACTTACAGAGGTCCTAATAACAGTAAATTTAAAGGAATTGATTAATATTAAATGTCCATTGAGCCGTATCAAAAGAAAACCTACCATAATGTCTGCCAAGGTCTTCACCCTGGACGATGTTAATATCCTGCTTTTTGAAGAACACAACACCGCGTTCAGCAATCAACAAAGCCAAATCATCCTTTTGCTGGTTGGTCAGCTTGGAGAGCTGTATACCGTGAATTTCTGTTCCAACATTTGGAGTCAAATCAAAGATTTTCTCAGCATTGTCATAGAGAGAAGCCTTTTTTGGGTCTGCGCGATGGCCAACATCGACATGTTTAAAAGGTTCAAGTTCAGGATACTATTAGAAGGTTAATACAATTAATTAAAATTAAAAATTATATATATATTTTAGCTTTTTCGTAGACAGATTTCAACATTACGGTAGTAGTAGGAGTAACCAAGTAGTAGTTGTCTGCAGCAGCAAGCTTCTTGAGATCAAGGACTTCTTTTACTGGGGCCTGGGTTGTAATGGCAGCGTTTGTCATTGTCAAGGTGATTTTATTATTATTATATATGTAACAATATTGGGAATACCATTAAAACAATTCTCAAATCAATGCTTATATACTTAATTAGTTTTTTTATTTGATTGAGGATAGTTTCTTGTCTAACCAGAATCTTCATAATCACAGTAAATTGCGCAATGGTGTAGATGTAGTACACAAATACCACAAATCCGGAGGTTGTAGTATTTGCGTCTTTAGGATTAAATTGCGTCAGATCATAAGCCTCGTTCGTAATATACCCGGGAAAACTGATGAAGCTTGTGGATACTGTAGTGTGAATAAAGCACTGAGCTCTCTTTTGCAAAAGTTTACCCATATAATGCAGATTAAGGCTGTTTGATTAAAGAGTTTCATTTATTTATCTTTCTGTGGGAGAAAAGAAAGTTTAAATTTTGCCTTTAAAACCATAAAGATAACGCATCTATAGTTATTGGCAATTGAATCATCAAAGTAATTTATGGTCTCATCGTTATTACTAATCCAAAAAAAAAAACTACAGTTCTACCTGTACTTCACAGACAGTAATCTAAAGAAATAAAATTTCCAACATCAATAGCAGTCAAACATACTTAATGCCAAGTATCGAGTGTTTTGGATAATTTTTTCACAGGCAAAGCCAAAGAGACGTGAAAGAGGCGCAATCATCTTAGGCTAGTTATTTGTGTGCTATCTTCTAGAATATACACGGGCACACTCTAAGAAGTAATATGTAAAATTTATATAATGTCTTTAAAAGATACAAACCTATAAATCAAATCTATTAGAAAAGCGTTTTAGTTGTTGTTATTAAACAGAATTTAAATCTTCTAAGGATATACTATTCAACCTATATATCATCATATATATTGAGTCAGTGATAACACCGAAAAAATTGTTGAGCTTTGAAAGTGTATGTGTATGTGTATATATGTATGCATGTCTTTTTTTTTCAAAGGAATATATTTATATACCTGGGAATATATTATCTGTGCGTAAGATGCAGTTGAACATATTCGAATACGTAATTTTACTGGTGGTCATATTTGATATCCTTTACGTAAAAATAAAAAATCTAGCTCAAACTATTATAGTATTCATGCACAAACAAGTTTGACTTTCGAGTTGTTCCCGATGCAAGGCCAAATTGTTAGTTAGTATTTTTCTTGCTCTTAGCTATGCAGCCTGTAATTTATATCCATGGTTTTTAATTGCTTATACTACAAATGTATTCTTGCTTACTAGATAATATCTTCATATATATATATATATATATGTATTTTATTTTGTATACTTAGTTAAAGACATTTGTTTAGTCCTTGGATTAAGGCCGTCAGAAATAAACCTTTTCTTTTAGAATAAAATAAATAGTCTATTTTCTCCTCAACTTACTAATTAGATTCAGTGTTGAAGAGGAAACTGTCGGTACTCTTGTGACAAATCCTACGGCCTCAGTTACAATGATTATGTATATGCGCTCAGCAGAAATTGGGCTATAAAATATTACATTATCTTTTACTATGTGTTTTTCCTTCTTCTACTTCTCAATATTTGTAATATTACCGATAAATCAATAAATACTTTACTTCTACCTACAAAAGGTTGAAAATTCCAAAAAAAAATTCCCAAGAGGACCAACAAACGCAATGATAAAGTCGCATAAAGGGATTGATTTGATCCTACACTTTCTCATTTTTTTTTGAAATTCGAACAAAAATAAATAAGCAAACAGAGACACTCATATGCAGAAACTGGTTGATCATTGTCTCGAGTATCTAGAAGAGAGAGGAGAAAGTCTTGTTTCATCTCTTGCAGCTCGCATTATATATTAACTTGTGGTATCCACCCTCCAAACGGAAATTATAATAGCAAGATATACGTACATTCGCTATTTTACTCTTTGTTTTCGACTTATGAGAATCTTTGCTAAATACATGGGTTGATTTTTGTGTATGGCTTTTTATTTTATTTTACTGCTAATACTAATACAATGAGTTTAATGCGCAAAGAGAAAATTGGTTACTCGAATGGACTGTCCCAAGGGATAGCATGTCTTTAATAGATTCCACACATATTGAGAGATAAAGTCAAATATATCAAACAATATAAATAAACTAGTAAGTAGTCTTTTGTAGTAAAACTATAGTATGTAATGCGCAGGATAAAGAGTCAAAGTAGAGAGTTTGATACACTCTATAGTAGAGCATTTAAAGATACAATATCATTTCGCAATCTTAAAGTCTCTTTTATGTCACCAAGACTAAGAATAATGGGATGTTTGCTTAAATTCAATTTCTTACACTCGACAGAGTGAATCACAAGCTATTACACTCACACAAGGTATTTCGTTTTACTGGATACCCTACTTTTCAGCAATATGGGTATGGGCTTTGAAGTTAATTGTCGGCTCAAATGCCGTCAAAATCACAATGTTACTGATGACAGCCAGATATTGGGCAAGAAATACGGCACATAAATCTAAAGGGAGTACACATATATATGAACTCTTGTATTATACATCATTTTTATTTTATCTTTTAAAACTATCAATCATTTACAAGTATTGAAACACACTAGATGATATAACAAGTAACTAGTTAAATAATGTGTTTATTTCCAAAGTACACAAGATAAAATAATGATAATATTGAAAGAACAAAGAACCCCCGCCTTCACCTAGTCATTATTTTCCTTTAATCATTTAATTAAGACCGTACCACAGGTATAAATGTTTGAGATAAAGCCATTCAAGCTCACAATTTTGCTGTAATCAATACTTACAATATTAACGAGATAGACAAAATGTAAGTAATGATTAAGTGGTTAATTGCACTTACCGGGCTTTGGATGTCTTGTATAGAGTTAAAGGATAAGATTGCCTAATGATATTCTAAAAGGCATATATGTATTGTATTGAACTTCTTTAGAGAATATAGCAGAATTCTAATGATGTTAAATCCATTCTTACAAGGCTATTCTGGTCAATTGATGTATTTATCATAAAATTATATGTATGGATGTATGTATACAATAAATATTTTTATTTTTATACATTAGGATTGGCTATGTTTTAACTTTATTCATGCAGTCTGGGTTCCTTGTATATTTTATTCGCTTTATACTAGGAGGTATCAATAGACTCCTATTGACTAAGACGCAGCAGGGGGGGTATTTTTTTTATGTTAACTTGATGTCTAGTAAAAGTGAATAAAGTTTGACTGATCAAAGAAGTATCCACACACTTAATATATAAATACGGCTTTGATTTTTTTTAATGCGCTTTGTGAATGAAAGTAGTCTTGTACTCACACCCAGCGTGTTACAGATCCTCGTAAAAGAAACGTGTCTTTTTTTCCTTTTTATTATACAACTTAAACACATACTATATAAATATACATATATGATCGTGTAATTGTATATAGATAAAAATATAGACCATGTACTGTGGTATTATTATTATTATTATTATTCATTGTATACAACTTAGTACAAGGTACTCAATAGATCCTTTCATTTACACCAAAAGTAATGTCTGTCCCCACGATATTATCTGAGTCTCAATGGTATGTCCGATGCACGACCATTTACCGCAAGCCAACCCGTTGACACCAAACACACATACATATACATACACAGATACACACATATACATACGCATTTATACGCACGCACACACACACAAAGAGAGAGAGAGAGAGAGAGCCTATTTTATTTTATTTTATTTTTTTATTTTATTTTATTTTAATTCAATTTCAATTTCAATTTTTATATACTATTATATTATTTTTCTACTTCCTTTTTTTTATTGTATATATCTATATATCTATATATCTATAAAGAAAAATCAATAATTCTACAACCACCTATGAACCTAGCTACAGACAAAGGAGACCATAACAAGGGCTCAGTAAACTCAACAGAAGAATCAGCAGACGATAGCGATGTGGGTACATGGCCTTGCATAAGTAGTGGCCATGAGGTTGTGGGCGGTCCCGACGGCAACAAGATTCTACCCGATTCACCTATACCTTCAGAACTACCACTTTACACAGAACCAGACACTCTGTCGTCTTCTCCAGAGACACATGCTCAGATGACTAGCAGATCGCGCAACAAAATAAAGGAATCCAAAACCACAAGCAGTAATGACAAAGCCACACCATTAAAGAGTGATCATAACCGAGAAAAACCCAGACCAAGGCGAGTGATTGGAAACTTTACGTTGATCAATACTCTAGGATCTGGCTCAATGGGAAAAGTCAGATTGGCAGTACACAATATTACTGGAGACAAAGTAAGAAGCCACTAGAGTACATATACATATACATACATGCACCTATACATAATGTGTGTATACACAGAAAAAGAATGATCTGTGAACAATATTTACGCCTACATGAACGCACACACACACGCATGTCCCTTTACTCTTGTTTAATAACCTTTTTCTTTCTATTTCTATATTTGTATGTCTTTCTGTCTCGGTCTCTTTGATATCAGCTTGCAGTCAAGATCGTTTCTCGAGTAATACCCTCAGAAAGACAGAGTTCGTCAGAGAGTAGCAAAAAGAAGAGAGAAAACAGGGAGATCAGAACCATTCGAGAGGCCAGCATTATGCTACTGTTACACCACCCGCATATTGTCAGCCTTAAAGAAATGGTGGTATTGGATCCATACTACTATCTGTTTATGGAGTATGTAAATGGTGGTCAATTACTAGACTACATCATCTCTCACAGAAAGTTAAAGGAAAAACAGGCCCGTAGTTTTGCACGACAAATTGCCAGTGCATTAGGTAGGTATTAATAGCACACACTAAACCCACATATACATACACTACGTACTACACACATTACACATTACACATTACACATTACACATTACATATTACACACAAAATATTAAATAACAAACGTCTCTTTAGACTATTGTCATCGTAACTCTATTGTTCACAGAGGTAAAGTTTAGAATAAGGGATGCCAAGTTTATGGGCTCATATTTACCAAGTCCCTATATATTCTTTTTCTTATTTTTTCTTTTATTTTTTTTTTGGTTTTGATTTTGGTTTTTATATAAAAGATTTAAAAATCGAAAATATCCTCATCTCCCAATCTGGCCAGATCAAAATCATCGATTTTGGTCTCTCGAACCTCTTTTCTCCCCGTTCACACCTCTCAACATTCTGTGGATCACTATACTTTGCCGCACCCGAGTTATTGAATGCACGATCGTACACTGGACCAGAAGTCGATGTCTGGAGTTTTGGTGTGGTGCTTTATGTTCTGGTGTGTGGAAAGGTACCTTTTGATGACCAGAATATGCCAATACTTCATGAAAAAATCAAACGAGGTGTAGTAGACTATCCATCTCATTTAAGTTCAGGTAAATATTATAACTATCATTTAAAAGAAACATAGACAGAGAAATAAGATAAGATAAGATAAAATAAAACAGAATACCCAAAAAAAGGTGAACTTTACAAGCACAGTATGTATACATAACCCTATATTGTTTTAGAATGCAAGAATGTGCTGACACGCATGCTGGTGACAAATCCGGCCCACAGAGCAACGATGTCTGAGATAATCGTGCATCCTTGGATGAACAAAGGGTATGATGGTCCGGTCGACAACCACCTTCCAGAACGTGTTCCCTTGACTCTTCCGGTCGATCCAGAGGTGATCCGCGGCATGACAGGTTTCGAGTTTGGAACAGAGACCGAGATAAAAGAACAGCTGGAAGCAATCATAACGTCTGAAGAGTATCAAAAGGCTGCAAAGATACTAGCTGAACGATGCGCTGAAGCTAATCGAATTCATTATCATTCTCGCTTTGCACACCCTACTCTGGGCAGCCGAAAGTCATTCTCGCTCTCAAACAACGATCCGCAGTCAGTCCCATCTGCTTACCACCCACTTGTCTCGATATACTACCTTGTAAAAGAACGCATAGAGAGAGAGAAGAGGGTAGCAGAAGCACCGGATGAAAAAAGCTCTGTTGGTAGCACACTTTCATCAGACGATGTACCTCTCGGTTCACGACTACCGGATATATCAGTCCCAGAATCTTCTTACATTGCTAAGAATTCTCTAGAGCCATCAATATTCGTCGACCCTCATGAAAACCCACTCGAACTTCGAGACACGCACCACGGTGGAGCATCTACTGGGGTTGCATATAATCACCGAGGAAAAGCTAATATCCGGGTGGATGACGAGGGTCACATTGTGGAAACCGATCGACCCAACTTACTCAACCACAGCCTCACTCGATTCTTTAGTCGGTCATCCACCCGCAACTCAGAACACACTGCACGCACTAATGAAGACGACGATGAATCAAAGAGATCAAGTGCTGTACGCGATGCAAGTGTCTTTAGACGTCTAAGCCAGGTTCTTTCTCGTGTACCTCAGCATGAGACGACGCCCAAACCACGCGAAGACGCTCGACGCAAATCTAGCCGGCAGCGTAACCAGAGTGCAGACTATTCTACTGACAGTGCACCCATTCCTATCCCTTCCAAATCTGACAATCGGTGGGGTAAGAACAGACAGAACCGGACCAAATCCTACGCCCACGCCAATTCCCTCCCTGCTCCAGATTCGTTTAATATGAACAGTGTTTCTCCGCCTGATAATCAAGGATTTGGACAAAAGATGACACATTTTTTCAGTCGAATGACAAGCACTGGCTCATCAGACCTAACATTTGCAAACTCCTCTAAGCGGAGACAGTCTTTGATAAATACCTCCCGAACACCTACCACCATCACCAATACTAATACTAATACTAATACTAATTATAATAACAAAACTGCCACTATTACCCCTTCAACTACTACTACTACTACTACTACTACTACTACTACTACTACTACAACCAATACTATTACCAATCGTATATCTCAAGGCAAGGCAGCACCCATTCAGAATCTTCCGAAAGTATCCGCCCCTGAACCGAAAAAGCCCCATAACCATGAACAAGTATTTCCCCCGACAGTTAATGGGGCGTCCTGTACTCAGCAAGGCTCAGCCGACGAGAATATCCGGCCTGTATTTATCAAGGGCTTGTTTTCTGTCACCACTACTTCTACAAAACACCCGTCTGTGATTAGAGCAGATCTTATCCGGGTATTGGAGCGTATTGGAGTCAAATGGCGGGAAGGAAGAGGACGGTTTGAGTGTGTACATATACCGAGTATCGACATGAAAAGAGTGGTGAAGCCTGAAGACGAAGAAGATGATTTGGACCCAAACAATAATAATTCTTATGACTCGGAGGATCTTTCATCAGCGTCGTCGTCCTCATCGCCTTCAGAGGGAGCTTCTTCTGCATCTGGTCAGCTGGATCCTGCAATTACAACTCAAGCCCAGACACCCACACCAGTTACAGTACCTGACCTGGTTGTACGATTTGAAATCTACATTGTCAAGGTACCTTGGTTGCTGGGTATGCATGGTCTACAGTTCAGAAGGGTCAGTGGCGACCCATGGCAGTATAAGAACATGTGTAGTCGTATTTTGGCCGAGTTGAAGTTGTAATATAGGGGTTAATTGCTTTATTGAGCAAAACATTTAATTCATTGTATAATATCCAGTCGCATTTATTTACTTGTTATTCTTCATAATTATAAAGGTTAATATTTATATATATTAAATACACACATAATAATAATTTCTTTGAAAAAAAGAAAACAAATATTGAAGGGACTTGGTGTTCGATATACTCCTTAAAGATGTGTATACCTTGGTTTATACTGTGATAAAGGAGAGCTCATTTTTTTGTATATCATATATATATATATATATATATATATATTGACGTATAGAAATATTCACAAAGTAGCAATTGCTATTATCTTGTTGATTTCTTCTTCGTCTTCGTCTTTTCGTATGTTCTTTACAGATGATGTTATAGAATAGGTTGACTTTGGTCGATAATTCGATATATATATATATATTTTCGATTTCTTCTTTTTTTCTTTATTATATGATATGATATGATATTGTATTATGCTGTGTGCTTCCGACGCTTGGAGACAAATTCATCCACCATTGTATTGTACAATTCGTCATGTAGCGCTTTTACCTTTCCGTGATGTTCATTTAGACGGATCAATTCAGACTGAAGTGCTGTAACCTGGGATTGTAAAGATGTACTAGAATCTTCAGTCTACACCAAAGAGAGAGAGAAAAATAAGAAGACAATTTAAATAAATACAATAAATGTAATCATTTTTTTATCTGTCTACTCCACACACACAATATATATATATATGTATATTTTATACCTTCATCTCTTTTAACATTATCTTTGCTTTCTGAATAGATTCTGTTGGGGTGGGTAATGAAGAATAAAGAGGACCAGCCTCAACAAGCTGTTGATGTTGTTTAAGATCCTAATTTTTCATACATACATATATTTTACAAAGAGAAATGGGTGAGTTGATTCATAAATTTTAGATTTTGTATATAATATAATATAATATGTGCATCTAAAGATTTGCTCCAGTTTTAAAGTGTGAGAAATATTTACCATGTGGGTGTCCATCACGATTTGCTCTGATCCATTTCTACGCTCTTCTTCTTGTGACACCATGGCACGTTTAAATGGTTTCCACGCCATGGGAGTGATCTTTTGTGAGCTAGCACCTGTGAGTAATTCCGCTGGGCGCAAGAAGCAAGAGACAAAAGTAACATGTCCCTTGTGGGACTCAAATTTACGTAATGGCTGTCGACTGGCTACATCCCATACTATACAATTTCCATCTTCTGATGAAGAAACCAAAAGACTATCATCGAATGATAGACTAAGACCTGTAATAGGTCCACTACACACAATATATAGAAATAAATAAATAAGCGAATACAGAAGAAGAGAATAGTTATTCTAATAGTAGCAATAGCAATAGCAATAGCAATAGTATAAAATAGAATAAAGAAATGTTAACAAAGCTTACGTGTGACCAGAGAACACAGTTCCAAGAGATGGTTCAGAGCTTGCTTGGATTTTGGATGAAATTGGGTCAACTGTTTTGATGCCGACTGATTCAACCTTACCCATCCCACCAACACTCTCTACGGTGTGTGTACCGTATGTCTTGTCCTGGCGTCTTCTGTACAACTCGACTGAATAGATTTTGTCTTCGCACGCAGCAAAGAGCATGCTTTCTGAGGGATTTACGACGACTACAGAGACTGGTTTTGGGAAAAGGAAGGTGGTGAGGTGCTTTCCGGTAGCCAGATCCCATAGTTTGACGGTATGATCCTGACTGGCAGTGTAAACACGAGCACCAGCCATGGTACCACATCCGACGTGCATATCTGTGATTGGGAGTGTGTGGTCTGACCAGGAGTAAAGAGGCGAAGGACGTTCCATGGCATCGTGCTGGTCGTCGCTCTGGGTTGTGTCCAGAAGGTTGGCCAGAACCCAGACGTTGACAGAGGCATCTTCACTGGCAGTCAGTAGAGTGGTGTCGTCGTCGCTGAATGCAAGACGGGTAATTGCGCGATAATGAGCTTCGAATACGCGCAAGAGGTGGCCGGTTGCGATGTGCCAGAGATATACTCGACCGGTTGCTGTGGCACCTGCTACGTATGCTCCCTGGTGTGATGCAGTGACGGTAATTATTTTTTCGGGAGTTGTCATTTTGTGAAGAATCTGATCGCGTTGCCAGCCGTAGACATTGAGCACAGCGCGGTCAGTCTGTGCAGTGAGAATAGCACCTGTCTGGAGAGTAGCACCTGGACGAGGCACACGAGCCAGGCCAGCCTTTGGTGACATTGACTGTTTGAATGAAAAGAGGGTTGACCCTGAGCGGATGTCCCACACATAGATTGTTGAGTCTGTGCTTGATGCTGAGAGGGCGACTTCTGTGAACATGATCTAAACTGTGTCTTTATTTCTATATCTCGTATATATGTATATTTATATGTATATTTGTTTTTATTCTTTTCAAATTGTCAAGCAGTATTTCTCTCGCTTTCTTTCGTTCGTTCGTTGTTGGCTTGGAGGGTAGGGTTGCAGAGGGTTTGGAGAGGTAAAATTTGCATTGAAAAAGAAGTACAAGCCACCAGGGTACATGAAAAGCGGTCAAAAAAGAGGAAGAGGATAAAGAAGGATTTTGTAATGATAGTGTGTTGTGTGTCTTTGTGTACAAACACACAAATGTAAACATATGGATACATATATATATATATGTGTATGTATGTATATACTTATATGTATGCATGTACGTCTATTAGTGTTTGTGCTTGTGTTCGTGTTCATATTTGTGTTTGTGCATGTTATATGGCCACACACGTGGAATTGATCGTGCTCTGGATTGAATGAATTTGATGCATATTCTTACGGAAGGACAGTTCCAAGAAATCCGTAATAGTTATAATGGGAAATGTGTATATAGATTATACAAATATATATACTAATTTATTAATTTATATATTTTTATATATATATTTTTTAAGAAAGTAAAATACAGGGTAAGATCATGGGTAATTTGTTACACTTGGTTCTAGTAAACGTATGTTTTGTGTGTCTTGGACAGTCACAGTAACCCTTATACTTTCTTTTTCTTTTATGATTTTTGGCGTCTAATTTCTAAAGAAGTCTAAATAACGCACCACTTGTAAGTGTATAAAATCAAGTAAATAAGTTTACGGGTATATTTTTATGTATATATATACATTCGATAAAGTAAAATTTTCTTAATAATAAATTCGCACGCACGCGCCTCTATATTATTAAGGGTAAAGAGTAATAATGATGATAAAAATAAAATAATAAAAATAAGGAAGAGGAAACGGGAGATGAAGGGTAAAAATGGTCCTTACTTCTTTTAGGGTCTTCTTGATCGGATGCCAAAAATGAAAAGCAAAAATTAAGAATATATCTGAGACGAATGAGGCGAAATATTATTGTAAATGTGCATGCGGCGATCCGATGAAGACAAGGATGAAGAAGAGGGATTAATATGGGTAGAAAGTGGCGTGAATTACAAGAAGTCTAAAGACATGGAAATTAAAATAAGAATATTGGGCTAATTAAGAGGGGGAGGAAAATCTCGTGTGGATAGATAGATTTCCAATAGGCGTAAAGAAGACGAGAGAGTTTAATTATTTTTATAATAAAAAAAAAAAACCTTCTCGGCGGCGAACCATCTGTGCGTTTTTATTTTATTTTTATTATTATTTTTTGTAGTGAAGGGGTTGAATAGGCGGAGTGAATGATATTTTTGTGCGTTTATTTCTTTTTTGGTGCTAGGGATTTCTTGGATGGCAAATGCTTCCAAACTTGGCCTGTTTTACTACTCTCAATTACAACTTGAGATTTTCTTGGGTACACGAATCGGCCGATATATGGCCTTATCGTTGATAAGATGCCCTGATCAAATGAATGGCGGCATTGACATCCTTCAAAGGTCTCAGGCGATGAAGTTGACTGGGTTGTACAAAAAGAGTGGTCCAACTAAGTTGACAAGGTCTTCCGTTTTCCGGCTCTCTTGAAATGATGTCTATTGTTGCTACTACAATCTTGATTACTATTAGTTCTATAGATTTCTTTACAAGGTTTTGCCGACAAGCCTTCTCAACCGATGGACCGGAGAAAGCGTATTCATCAAAGCGGGGAGGAATATAAAATGGTCAATGTACACCCTCTCTCAGTATTATAATCAGTCTTGTGGCGGTGATTGGATGGTACCGTGGGAAACCTACTGGTGCGGTACCCTAAAGTCATCGAGTCACTTTCATGATCAAGGTTGGGCGGTGCTGGCATCAGGAACCAAAAGAAGAAGAAGAAATTAAATATACTTATAAAAAAAAACGCTAGTAGAAATTTTTTTATTTTTTATTTTTATTTTTTGTTGCCATGTGTACCTATTTTAATTTTCTTCCTTTCCTTTTCTTACCTCTTCTTCTTTGACTTTGATGCTTATTTAATTACATGGTCTGGCCTATTAGCGATCAGAAGGTTTCATTCGCAACCCACACAATGACAAACTACCCTTTATCCCCTGCCTCAATTTCTCCAGTCCACCTGACCGCACCACATAGACAGGCCCGAACCGAAGATCAGTTTGCGGCAATGATGATTGATGAGGACGACGACTTTCTCGAAGACGAAGAAGATGAAGAAGACGACGAAGAAGACAGCTCGGTCGACGAACAGAGTCCAAACGCCCGTAGAAACCAAAACTTTGAAGATCCTAAACGTCTGCCCAACCGCGCCCTTTTTCTCAATTTTACGTCTGATCTCAATCCACAAAAGAAGAACAAGAAGAAGTCAAAACCAAAGAAACAGACTGCCTACAAGGTCAATGGTGTTAATATTTTGAACAGGTAAATATATATATATACTTGAATATACCCAAATATACCCCCCAATTATATATATATATCTGTGTGGGTATAAAAAGTCAGTCAAACTAATTAGATCAAATAGAAACAATTTGGACAGCAAGACGGCGATTGAAAGAATTCAACGTAGACGTGAAAACCACAACCACGTTGAACGTAGAAGACGTGACAATATAAACAACACGATACTTGAATTGTCTCAGGTAGTTCCCAATGCTCTTCAGCCAGGACAGAAGCCAAACAAAGGAAATATTCTCAAATTAGCACTGGATTATATAAAGGTACAAGACAAAATTCAATAGATTAATGGGATTAGCAACTGTAGCCTATAGACACAAATAACTAATCAGATCTACTTTTCTTCTATTATTACAATCTTAGGACCTTCAACTAGACAACCAGCGCTTAGTAAGTCAGCTAGACCCTTTGGTGGTGGGTCAATCTTCTCGCCAATTGCAGCAGGCCAATAGTACCCCACAATCACCCGTTAGTCGACCATCAATTACACAAGACAGACGCCAAACAGTGCCTATCCCTCAGAATTCTCAAGATCAATTGCAGTACCACCACCAATCATTCCCAACCAATCATTATTCCGCAAGTACCCCTTCATTACCCACTTCTCCCAATCCATTATTTTCCCGGGTATTTGCCCAGACTCCGTTGAGCCCATTGTCGCCCATGCACCCAACATCCTCAATGTCTTCTTCTTCGTCGTCTATTTCTGGCTACCAATACGATGACAGTCAACCTGGAAACCCACCTCCCTTAACACTGCCACCTCAAATGGGTTATTCTGGCTATCCCGGACCAAATAGCTTCACAGGCACCATCACAACCACTGCAATTACTCCAACAACCGCAAAATCCGCAACAGCTCCAACAACAGCAAATATGAATAATGGTAGTACTGGATTCCATTCCTTACCTTCTTCTGCCTCATCTTCTCCTGCACTTTCCCTGACATCTTACTCGGCCCCTCCCCCACAACCTACGCTGGTGTATGTATCCAACTCACCCGGTCCACCCCCATCCTACTACAGTCCTCACCACTACAGCCACAGCCACAACAATTATGGTCTGCCTCAACCTCCGTCTGCTGATGTTGTAAATCCTACAAAAGTCTTCAACACATCGTCAGGAGTACCTCTACGCTCACTCTTACCTGCCAACCAAAAGCATAGTCCTTTAATAGCGACTTCAACTTCAACTTCAACTTCAACTTCAACTTCAACTTCGGTACCAGCATCAGTATCAGCATCGGCATCGACATCGACAGTTTCGTCAAGAACATCTCCTTCTCCCCCACCTCCACTACCATTACCACTGCCATACTTGCCCACACTACGGATGAGTGGCTGTGAAAAGATTTATGGTGGAGTCTGTCGATACTAATAATGTACTCATACCACAAAAGCATCGATGGGCTGGAGTACTTCTTCTATTTTCCTTTTTTGTTTTTTTTCTTCTTCTTTAAAAAGAAACATCCTTACATTGTGTATATATATATATATTTCTTCATCTTCTTATTTTCTTTCTAGTCACCGAAACTTTCAGATGAACTTTTGTACTAAAGAAAGACCATCATATTTTTTGTTCTTTTGATATTCTTTCATTCATTAATTTATTCATTCATTTATTCATTCTCATTCATTCGCTCATTTTCTTTTTCATTTTTGCTTGACGTTCATTTCTCTACACCTTTTCTTTTTTCATTACACAAAAGCAAACCCAACCAAAAAACTCATGCACCTTTCCTTTACATTTCAATCATTTCTACTATCAGTACTTCTTCTACTTTTTTGTTTTTTTTTTATGCTTTATACTATTTACTTCTTTAACCTAGGTTTTTCTCCTAACTGACCATCATCATCATATTCTCTCTCTCTCTCTCTCTCTCTCTCTCTCTCTCTCTCTCTCGTTCGTTCGTTTTCGTTTTCTTCTTCTTCATACACTCATCATTGTTTCACTAAATACACGCACATACACACATACACACATAAATTTATGGACAGTGCGCCCATTCTGCTTCTAAATAACACACTATACACGTTTATACTAAGACGTGAAATTATTTATATTATATGTATATATTGTACAATGTACGCAGCTCTACACACACAACGGAGATTTCGGATTATACTGTAGCTTGCATGTTTTCCGAATCAAACTCTCTGAGAATGCCACGTGATTATTATTTTATATATAAAAAAAATCCCCTCCCCCTTTCTCCCATTTCTGTAAAAAATGAACATACAAGGATCCACATGCGGGGAGGAGGATATAATACCCTTTTTTGGTTGTGCAAGTCAAAAATAATAATAATAATAGAAAATAGAAACTGAAACAAAGAGAACAAAGAGGAACCCATAGATGAAAATTTAGGATTTAGTGCTATTTAATCACGTGGACATTTATTAATAATAGAGAGAGAAAAAAAAAGATACCTTACATACAGTCCATACACCAACTACACTACATACAATAGCATGTGTAATATATATAAATAAATCAGAATGAGAGCGGTAATTGGCGGGGAAAATAATATTAATAATTAGATACAAAAAAATACACAAAATACACAAAAAATTTGTACATCAAAAAATTATTAAAGATTATTTTTTTAAAAGGAAAAATAAATAAAAAATTAATAAATAAACTGTACGTGAAAGGAAGCTATTCTGTATCGATATTTGTACATAAGGATTTCTTTTATCCGATCTGATTATGGAATATAGTCTGGAGCACAGTAGATCTCATAATAGTAAGATCTACCGAGCAATAAAACAATAATTAAAAAAAAATAAAAAAAAACCTCTCAATTATCCCAAATATTTGGTATTATTTTATCCGCCTTTTTTCTTCTTCTCTCAATCGATATAAACCAAGAGATTCATTTAATTGTTCATTATAAATGTAAGTAAGTAAGTGAATAAGTATGTAAAGAAGAGGGAGAAAGAAAGGCAAGGAAATCAAAGTAAAAGTTTATTATGTATTATTCACAGTCATGTAAAGCTTTCTTTTCAGCTTTCGATCCTTGGACCTGTCCTTCCTTCTTTGTTCTTTAGGATTGGTTTGGGAACCACCTGATTCTTGTTCAAAGCTAGCGGATTCTGAATACTGGCGTATAATGTGTGCACTCTTGGAATGATGTTTTGCCAGACCAGGCCTTGCTCGGGTCGGTTTCTGAGCGCGGCAGTCGTCGGAAACCACGCCCTCGATGTCACTCGTGCAAGGTTCATGGTGGTCAAGAAGTGGTAAACTGAGTTGATGAGACTCAATACCAGAGAACTGGGATAATCTCAAGCGGTATAGAATAGCGTCTATTGCCAATTCAACCCTCAAACTGTTTTTGATAATTTCCATCTCTTTTAGGTCAATTTGTCAGTGTCAAAATAAAAAAGATCAAATCAAATCAAATCAATTGATCGGTTGGTAAAATTGATTTATTAACCGATTCTCAACTTACTCGGCCATGTTGCTCGCTCTCCACACATAATAAATGATTCTAAATCCCATGTTGTTGGGTTCGACAAGACCCTGATAAAATCCATCTTGCCAAGCTCAGGCACAATCGTAATATCACCGGTGTATTTTTGATCAAATACCGCATTAAGTTTGTGAAACAAGAGCGGCATCACACCGATCTCCTTCATCTATAACAACATATCATCATCATCATCATCATTGTCATTATCACTACGGTTATAATTATTAGTGGTATATACATATTGAGTCTGCACTTGCTTGAGTAAATCGATGCTGACACTCATTCTTGATGATTCTTAGGCAAAAGGACGTTACTTGACTAGCTTGAGTCGTGTGGCTATTAGACATAAATGGCCACACATGTGGATTTACTACAAATTTGGTTGGAATGAAAAATAAAATAAAATAAAATAAATGCAAATACAAATACAAATATAAATATACCTTGACAGACTATAAAGTGGTTTATGTGAAATAACTCTGATAGTTTTTCCATTGGAAGATCGCTGCAGAAAAATAAAACAACAACCAATTATTTTTGCTTGACTCTTTTATCTATATTCTAATACACTTACTTGTCTACTGTTCCGTCCATGTATCCCTTTGCGTTAGATGGGTCCCAAGGAACTGTGTTTCCGTTCTTATCTCTTGCCATTAGTTGTGCAGGTGCATAGATAAAAGGCACTGCGCAAGAGCTTAATCTGCACAAAATTACATATACAACGCATTAATATTCTACAGCAAGTTTGAGCTACATATGTACTTGCACTGCAGACCAAACAAGCTACAGTATATATGTATATGTATATATATATATATATATATCAGTCAAGTGAAACGGTTTTTTTATTTGAGTATTACCACATCTGGTGCTGTGAGATAATTCAATAACTGTGGCATATCATGTAGTGTATTTGTACTGACAGCTATATTGAGAATTCTGTGAGATCGATTAAAAGCTTCCTACATCAAAGTTAATAAATTAGACATATATATATGCAAAAAATATTCTTTTCTCTCTCTCTCTCTCTCTCTCTCTTTATTGTTGGTCTGACTGTGAGTTTTGTACCTGAAATGTAACGTTTCCAACATTGTCTATAATCGATTTTTTCAAAACCTCGGGATCAAATAACCCTCCTTTTGACAATAGTCTTTGTAGCCGTCTTAATGGAGTATCAGGGTGCTCAATCTCTTCAAACATTTCCTGTAAATTCAAATATAGATCCAAATGTCAGCATATGAAGATTTGTAGTAATTAAAATTTCGTTATTCTTTTCTATATATATATATTGATTATTAGATAATAAGGAGTAATAGTAACAGTAATTTACAAAGTTATAGTCAGAAATATGGTCAAAGGATATTGCTAGATCTTCATCTGTTCTTGTACACACGACCGCTGCGACTACACTTCCGGCCGATGTACCGGATATGATGCGTGGTAAGAGCTTTTCTTTGAACAGACAGTGGAGTACACCAAGATGACACAGACCTAAACGAGAACAGTATTATTATTTTAATATGTGTTTGTAAGTGTGTACTTGCCTATTGAACCACCTCCACTAAGCATAATTGCAGTTCGACCAAATACTTGGCGTGTATTCATAAAAAATGTATGCTTTGCTTCAAATGTCAGTTCTGACTCTTGATCTGAGTCGATTGGATGATCGCATATCCAATTGAGTTGCATGACAACTTCATCGAGGTATGAATTAATCAAACTCTTTGTTCCTGTGAGGAATTTGCTGTACAACTTGTAATAATAACAATAATAATAGATAATTAATATACATATATACATTTATATATATATATATATATATTCATGTATGTGTTTTACTTTTGGGCTTGACATGTCTCCAAGGTTACGGGTCATATTTGTTTGAAGCTGAAAAATGGTTTGGCTGATGGAGGGATTTGATTTACGAGTAGCCTGTAGTTGACTTAGACGTGTCTGGATCAATTCCCAATCATAATCAGACGATTGGTGAAGATTCTGCCATTCCTCAAGACCCTGTGTGCAGTCTAGAGCATTTGCTGTCTCGAACCATTCTTGGTAGGTCTTTGCCGATTTTAGGAGGTTTTGATGATATTTAATCAGATTTTCTTGACTAGATCGAGACCTATAATACAACTGCTATATATAAATAAATATCTAAATCTAAATCTATATCTATATCTATATCTATATCTATATATATGTATGGATGTATTCTTATGTACTTCTTTTCTTTAGATAATATGTATTTATTTTATTTTATTGTAATCTACATTTTGCAGGAAAGAATAGATCTTTGACAAGATCAAACTAGGCAGACTGTGGGAAGTTGTGGCAAGTGTTTTGATGGTCCTTGTTTGAGGGATACTGTTGCTGGATTCCATCAGAAGAAGGTTAGGGTCAGGGTTAGGGTTAGGGTCAGGGTTAGGGTTAGAGCTAGGGTTAGGGCTTGGATTGTGGTTTTTTAACCCTAATGTTTCCATATCTGTTTTTTTTTTCTTTAACTAAAAGTCAATTGGAAACAAGTAAACAAAGAAGATGATAGAGCGAGAAAGAAAGAAAAGGAGGTATTGAATTATAGTGATGTTTATATATGTATAGGCTTATACTTATGCATACATACATACATATGTGTATTCAAGGTAGTTTAATTAAACATTTTGTATCTGAAATGTACACAAAAATATGTGTTTTGAATCCAAATAACTGGAATTCAATTATTAGAATTTATTTTTATTTTATTTATTTAAAAATGAATTGAAGTAAATATATTATATTATGTTATGTTTCTGTAATATGTATATTAAACCGGGTTTGTATTTCTTTAATATGTACGTTGACCGCACACATACTTCTTTGTCTTTAATATTTAAAAAAGGAAATCAAAAGGAAGAAAAGAAGAAGAAGAAGAGGAAATAAAGAAGGTTGATATAATTTTGTAAGTATGCTGTACGTGAAGAATGTTTTAGCTGATTATGTAAAAGAAGAAGAAGAAGAACCCCTTTGAGACAATATATAACTATAGTGTATATATATATATGTGTGTGTGTGTGTGTGTGTGCGTTTAAAGAGAAAATGACAGAGAAGAACAATAGTAATATATAGAGAGAGATAAAGAGGTAGAAAGGTGTTTTTTGTAAGTGCAATGTGTGTAATGCGAGTGAGTGAGTGAGTGAATGAGCGTTTTGTTGTCCTGTGCTGTGCTGTACTATGTTGTGCGTTGTATATATATTGATTTTGAATCTTTAGTTTAGAGGGTGGAGGCATGCATAGTAGATCTGAATCCACGAATCTTTTCACATTCTCCCTTTAGATTGCTTGCTCGATCAGTGTCCCATTCTCCAGAGGAATAGAACATCCGTGAGTATCTTAGGCATATCTCTTCTCTAAAATTACTGTACAGTTTACGGTTGTATTGACGCTAAGAGCAAACAGACCAGCAAGAAAGTAAGTAAATAATTAATAATTAATAAATTGGATGTGATATTTTGCTCGCATTCTTTCATTCTTTCATTCTTTCTATCTCTTTGTTTTCTTAAAGGACATGAAAAGATATATATAATACATACCTCTTTTCGACGTGCTTCTTCCAAGTATTTGTGGGTCTGATGAATGAGAAAATCTTCGGGAAGTACCCAATAGTCCACTCCGGAAAGATATATTTCGTACAAACATGCAGCCTTGTTTGCACCATATCCAATGAATCGCTCATCACACCATGGGGTTCCATTCTTTTTGTAGATAATATAGGGTTCATACGAAAAGTCATAGGTGTCCACCTGATAGATCTCTTGAGAAGGATACCAGCGGGCGTAGTTGGTCGAGCCATGACCTCTGAGCCACGACTTGTGGAACATGTCCAGTTTTCCACTATCGACCTCTTTGATCAAGGCTTCCTTGGAGGCTGGGAAGGTGGTCGAGTTCAGTCCGTCGTCTTGGACGGTAAATTCAAAGGCAGGTACTACAAACGCAGCTCTTCCGGACCGAAGCTTGTCCATGATTTCTGGATTGGTGCGGATTCTCTGACGGAAATCTGTGCAGAGGTGGAAGTCGACGTCGAGCATCATAACATAGTCAGTTCTTGCGAACAGCTTGGCAACATTGCGCCACATATTGAATTGGCGGTCAAAATTGTCGAGGATAAGATGGATATCAACGAATTTCCGTACATCTGGGTTGGTTGCGACCATCTCTTCAAGTTCTTGAAGGACTAGTTCTTTTGTTTCGTCATCGTTTACATGAATTGCTGCAGATATAGGACCTGTTTTTGTATAGTTTGTATAGTTTGTATATTTTGATCAATAAACAATAATTGGCGGTGCATTTAAATTTAAATTTAAGTTTAAATTTTTTTGATTGATTGATTGATTGGTTGGTTAATTAATTTTCTTTTCTGCACAGATAAATAATTGTTGTAAAGAATAGTAGTAGTAAAGTAGTAATACAATACAATATAATATAATATAATATAATAAATAAATAAATAAATAAATAAAAATTTAGGCTTATGAACACGAGGAACACAGAAATAATACTAATGTGGAAAATAATAGATCACCCGACAGTGGCGGATCTTTTAAGGAAAGAAAGATATATATATATATATACATAATAGTGCTTGATTTGATTTGATTTGATTTGATTTGTTACCTTTGTAATGGCTGGCCAATCGACTGAGGACCATAAAACGATTACGGGTTACGAGGGTTGACATGGTAATATCTTCTTGTTCAAATGAAGAAGAGGCCTTGTAGTAGTAAGACATGACATTCGAAGGTCCCATAGCATCCGAAAAGACCTTTGACAAAATAAAATCTTCAGAGACAGACTGTACGACGTCTATATTATGTGCACAAAAAAAAAGAAGGGAAAAGGTTTTCAAATAAATAAAATGTCTTGATTAATATAAATTTGTACAAATTTATACATTTTTCTATAGTTGTAAACTAAAATAAAAATGCCAAGTAAATTTGAAATTGCTATATATTAATTCTATTAACCTTAATTACATACATTATATACATTATATACATTATATACATTATATACATTATATACATTATATACATTATATACATTATATACATTATTTATCTGTCTATTTTACCTTGACCAGAGGCCCAGTTTACGTTTGAAGAGAATCCTCTAAGGTGCTCTTGTTGAACGTGTCTATTTTGTGGTTCTACGTGTGCAAATGCAGAAAGTGGCTTTTCTGAGGTCGAAGTGCGGTCGTAGGTGGTGTAAAAGTAGTGGGCGGTGTAGATGACTGATGCTAATGCATAGACAATGAGAAAGTACTTGCCCATCTTGGAGCAAGTTTGTGCGATTCCGGGTCTCATTAGAAAAAATAAAAACAGAGCCTTCTCTTTTGTTAAAAAAAAAATAGAGATCCAGAGAGAAAGAAGAAAAGAAAGAGAGAGAGAGACTGGATATATATAAATGAAAAAAAAGAAGAAAAGAAAGGAGAATTAAAGATAGGAAAGTTGAAGGGTCCTATAAGAAGTACTTTAGATTACAATGGACAATGAAGGGAACGGAGGGGGAAAAATATTATATACATATAAAAAAAAAGGAACAAGGGAGAGGGGCTGTGAAATAAGGTTATCCTCTTTTTGGAATTGCTAGGCACAGAAAGCCAAAAACTAAAAAGCGACATATTCCTATTTGTATTTTATGTATTCTGGTCTTATATTTTATATGGTTCTGTTGAATTTGGGAGTCAAAATAAGAATATGATGAGTTTTTTTTTGTGATTGTAGATATTCAATAAGAGGCTTTGCTCCAAGACGTCCATCAATTCCATCTCTATTTTTTTTTCACATCACTGTTATTAGTATTATGATTATTTGGTGTATAAATATATAAATTTTCTTTTGCTGTATTGTCATTACCATGGAAACAAATAATTTGAATATCTATGTTGGAGGAATCTTCTTTTTACTATTCATTATCATTGATCCTTTGCATTCAACTTGTTCATTGTTTTGATAGTAATTGCCAAGTAAAAACTCTTATTCCTAATAATACCTAGGAGATTCATTACTAATACATATTATACATCTATATAATTAGGTTATTAAAGCACACAAGAACAAGAATAAAACAATGGCCTAGAAATGTCAATTAACCAATCAATTGAAACAATATCTATATATCTATCAGTACTTATTAATATTAATTTTGTGGGCGCAGTTATTCTGAAAAGGTAGAAAAGTGTGGCTATCGTTAGTTGTACACAAAAGAAGAAAAATAAACTCAAACGGCTTTAGAGTGTCAGAAATAACCTTACACTACACTACACTACACTACACTACACTACATTACACTACATGGCATTACATTACATAAAACGCTATGAAATATCAGTAATTTTCTTCTTCTTCTTCTTCTTCTTCTTCTTCTTCTGCTTTTGTTTTTGTTAATATTAAAATTCCCAAGTTTTATCCTTTTATATATTCTATTTTATTATATTACAATTATATAATATAATATTTTATTTATTTAATTATTTAATTATTTATTATAAAAGATCAAATTCTTGCTTTGTGTAGTGGCCATAGACCAAGTCATATCCATCAAATTCATACAATGTACGATCGGTTCGCTTGTAGCCCTTGACATGAACCATTGATCGTACCATGTGGCTGTGGCTGTGATGCTCCTTGTGGTGAGATGTAAAGAATGTGACAGTGAAACTCTGGGGATCAAACACCTTGACCACCTGGCTCACCAAGGCTTCAATTGGAGTCACGCCTGCCTGTTTTCCGCGTTCGCTGTGCGAGTTTTCAACCGGAATGTTAGTCTCAAATGAGGCGTACGAGCAGTTGTCTTCAGGTGTAACGTGGATAGTGAAGTAGCGTGTGCCAGCCAGTCCATTGGATGAGTAGCCACAGGGCTCAAACAGAAAAGAATCCAGCAGCGCGTCGGGATAAAGCGCCCCGATTCCAGTCTCAGCGTCAACCCACCGTCCACCGACCGTTCCAGGTTCTGTCTTTTCAGAATCGTGGTAGAATTTCTTCATCTTCTCTTTTCCGAGGCGTGTCATAAGAATCTCGACAGTTTGGTCAGGGTAAGAAGGATGACCTTGGTTACCAAACGGAGATAGATCTTCGCTGTCTGATGCGCATGGTGTCGATGCCCCACTCATGTAATCCTGTTCGTGAGCGGCGGCTTGTAGGTGAGCATGTGGATGTGTGCGTGGTTGAGGGTGATGAAGTACATCGTCTGCTGGCTTGGTAATGTACAGGAACCAGCTGTCACTTTCAATCTTGCCGATCTTGTACGCCGATCCATTGTCTAATGAAATATATATATATGTATGTATATTAGACATCGATAATTTGGATTTGGGTTTGGATTTGTTTGTTTGTTCTTGTCTTTTAAAGCAAAAAAATAAACTCAAAGCATAATTATATATATTGTATTGCATACCGAAATAACGATCAAGAAAATCAACCTCGTTATCCCAAGATCTATGTGGACCACTTTGACGCTCAGGGAACATGAATGCTTTACGAGAATAGAACACACGCCAGACTTTTTCAAAGCCACAGGTTTCATGAGCAATTTCCAGTAAGCGATCAAGTGCCAATAGCAAGGTGGTTGTGCCGCAGGTCTTGATGATGATCTTGTGGGGATAGACAAACATGGATGATTCACTAATAATACCAAGATGTTCCAACAACAGCAAGAAAAGTGAAAATAATAATAATTGAGTAATTGATCCTGCTTGAGTTTTTACATTTACTTTTTTTCGGTTGATTTGGTCGTTTGTTCTGTTTACCTCAAAAGATAGGCATCTACATCGGTGCTTGTGATAACATTTAGGACTGTACACTTTACAATGGCCAGCATATCATCCCAGACTGCACGAGAAACGGTGCGTAGACCTGTGAGAGAGTCTTTTGGGCTAGGTGGATGTGATTCTGATAGATCTTGTGTAGAAGAGGATGGTGAGGGTGAAGAGGACGAAGAAGAAGAGGAGGAGGAGGAGGAAGAGAGTGATGATGAAGAAGAAGCTTTTTTGAGGTTCTGGTGGTCTCGCAAGCTTTCGGATGCTGGTGAAAACCAGATTTCGAGTAGTTTCTCTGGTCCTTCGAAGGAACCTTGTTGGGCCGAGTAATTTTCACCTTGAGTGCACACGTTGAGTTCGTCCATGATGAGAGTTTCTATGTATTATGATGGATATATGCAATAAAACTTCAAGTACTTTTTTGTTTTGTTTGTAGTCGATGCTACTCTATAGATATCATACAATGAATGAGAAATAATAATAATAATAATAATAAAAATAATTAATGTAAGAAGAAGAAGAAAAAGAAGAAGAAAAAGAAGTGCGACCTGTGTTCGAACCACAGCTACTTTACAAGGAGGAATTTTTTTTTTTTTTTTTTGACTAGAAAAAAAATAAATAAATAAAAAAAAATTTAAAAAAAAAAATTAAAATTTATAATACCACTGTAGTAAATGGCAGATTTTATAACCCCGTAATCGTAGGAAATATACGGTCCCGTATATCATATACGAATCCATATAATTCCTACGATTACGGGGTTATAAAATTTACCAATAGAATTTTGGATTTTAGTAAATTAAAAGTATTTACAGCGAATACTATTTATGAGAGTTCAAATTACTTTTTATTTAATCCAATAAAATCTTTTAAAATAGCAAAATTATACCATTTTTAGGTACATATTTCCCTTTTTATAACAAATTTGAATAATACAATTCGTTAAATTTCAAATTATTTTTTATCTAATCCAATCAAATAATCTAAATATAGTAGAGCTATATCTTTTTAGATATTTTATTTTTCTTATAATTGGTCCAACAAATTTAGATTTTTTATAGCAAAATATTTTTATTTTTGACTTTATTATTAGCAAAAGGAATAGAATATTGCTCTTCTTTAGCCTTTTCATCCTTATAACGCTGCCTCTAACAAAGAATACTACAAGGATATTAGAAAAAAGATAGAACAAATATGTAAAGAAGAAGACTATAATGATTTTATATCAAATGATAAGTCCAGTTAGAGTCTAATTTAAATTGTAAAATCAGTGTCTTTACAAACTACTAGATATAAATTTAGTCAAAAATAAAAAAGGAGGGTTTGTTTAACATCACAAGAGTTATACATATATATAGCATTATATCTATCAAACATGTGTATGTGTGCTTATCAGATAACTTGGTCCTGAAGCCGAAAATTGCAGTTGTAATATAATTGCTAATTAAAATCCAGTCGACCTTATATTCTTCAAAAGTACCTGCTTTATAAAGGCCACAATAACGATAGAGTATATATGTATTGCAAGATTTTTTATATGAACTTTGTTCTGATACTCTTTTAACTGTTCAAAAAGTCTTATAAAACTTTTATCAAATGTCTTTAGAAATCTACCTTCGCATAGTAGTTCGTAACAGACATTGAGAGCTTCAGGAACAAGCTGAAAATCATGCTTCGACCGAGACGCGAAGAAGGAACCATAACATAGCGTATAGCAGACTTGAGTTATACTTACTCAACGAAGCTCAATCCATGGAACTTTTCAGATTTTCTATGCCAGAGATTAAAAGTATTACCATGGTACTTGGCCTGGAATCAACCTGACATATTTCAAAAATAAGAGTCAGCAACATCTTTGGCTTTGCCATGTTGATGTATCAATACAGTTCTCCCAAACGCCTTTTTGGCATGTCTCTTATTTTTGGAATGGACCCAACGAGTATATAAGCTGTTTTGAGAGGAATAGAAGACATGATATACGAGAAAATAAGATGGGGAATTCAGTTCAATACGCATCTTTTTCTTGGTGGTTTTTTGGATGTTTGTATCTCCCTTTGGTGGAATATTTTGAATAAAAAAGAGCTTAGAATATAGAGATTTAGCATTACTGCATATCCTCTGTCTTCTTTATAATAATGATAATAAAAATAATGGATCCTTTTGACAGATAATCATGTATCTGAAAATGTAATTATTTTCAGTTAATTTCAGCCGAAGATTGACTTTAGGCCCTACCCCAAAAGGAAGTGTTTCAGATTTATGTTGCACAAAATACTTGATATAGGCATAATGTAAACCTCGTGTCCGAAGATGAAAATTTGTAGCCGAAGATCAATCTTCGGACTAAGGACCAAGTTATTTATTATAAATCAGTTAGTTAGTACTTTATAAAACGTCAAAGTCTTGTTAATAATAATAATAGTGAGAAGAAAGAGAAAGAGAAAGATTTTACAAAATAAAAAACAAGTTTGCATTAAAAAAAACATTAATAACAGGCATGGCTGTTTCTGACATTTTTCTCCAAAATAGGCAGGTTGTTTCAAATAATCGTAGATTTTTTTCTACAGTGATAATACTTTTTTCTGTCTTTTTGATTGGGTAACATAGTCTTACCCGAATCATGCCTATTTTGGCTATATTCTTTTTTTTTTTTATACTACTCAGAATAAAAACTCAGATTAAATTACTATATAAAGAAATGTCTATATCTTTTTTTTTTTTTTTTTAATTTTAGTAACACACCTTTTATATATATTTTATTTTTTTCCATATCACACCTTTTTTTTTTTGATAGAATTAATGAAATTGAAACAAGAGAGTAAAAAAAAAAAAGAAATGTGAAATAAAATAAAAAATAGACTGGATGTTTCAAATTATGCATATAGTCTGTGTTAGTAAATGGTTTCAATATTACTTGATACTGTGGAATGTCACATCACATCACATCATATAACATAACATATAAAACATAAACTTTTTGGCTGTAGTAATAAATAGAGCCCTTTAGTATTCTTAAAGAGTGCCTTGCTCCGATGCATAATTCGTCCCACACTGATGTGATGGATGTGATGGTACTTGTCTACGTCATAAAAGATGTTGTTAAGAGCTGTTTTGCTTGGTTGACTTGATTGACTATAGTGAGTGTGGTGTATTTAGCTTTCAATTTCTACCCTTCTACTCTCCCTTTCCCTCTCTCTCTCTTTCGTGGCTTTGCGGAAACGTCATAAGCCAAAGCATATGTTAAAGATATATAAAAAAAAGGAAGTGGGAGGAGTTCCTTTTTATTGTGTTATTTTATATATTTATATATTATTTTCTCATAAGGCGGGGTGGGTCCACCCGCAAAAACTTATCTGGTCGTTCCTGACGTGATTTCTGACCCAATTCTTTGTGCCTTTGTTTCCGCCCTTTTTCATTCCACGACTCTCTCTCTCTCTTTTCGCTCTTTCGCTCTCTTTCTCTTTCTTTCTCCCCTCTCTTTATTTTATTTTATTTTATATATACATAAATATATATATATATATATATATACACATTCACACTTTCTTCTCACAACTCAATCTATCTATAATGCCTGGATACCAGTCTTTCCCGGTACTTAACCAGCAATTCATCGTTGACCGAAAGTACCAATTCATCCGTGAGATGGGCCAAGGTGCCTATGGTGTTGTCTGGTAAATGACAATAGTTTATACAACCAGAAAATACAAGTTTTGACATGATTTTATATACATACAAATAATATTTCAGTGCTGCCAAAGACACAAGTAATGATGAGCAAGTTGCCATCAAGAAAGTAAGTTTTATGGATTGCTAATTATAACTTTAATAAAAGGACAAAGACGAAAAAAAAAAAAAGGCTTGCCATAAAATAAACTAATAAATATAATAATATTATTATTTTTATCAAACAAACCAAAAAAAAAAAAAAAAGGTCTGCCGTATCTTTGAAAAAAATATTCTTGCCAAACGTGCTTTACGTGAAGTCAAACTTCTCAAACATTTCAACGGTCATGAAAATGTAAGCGTCTCTATAAATATATACTATTTTTTATTTTATTTATTACTATAATTATCTGTGTATCTAAATATATCCACACCTACATACAAAAGATCACATCTATTATTGACATGGACATTGTCAACCTTCAAGACTTCAATGAACTGTGAGTAAAATGCCTATTTGTCTATACAAAGAGAGATAGAGAGCATATAATGAACACTCCTGTTAACCCTTTATTATAGGTACCTTGTACAGGAACTTATGGAAGCTGACCTGCATCAGATCATTCGTTCTGGACAACCTTTGACAGACGCCCATTTCCAATACTTTGTCTATCAGATCTGCAGAGGTCTCAAATATATCCACAGTGCAAATGTAAATATCCAAGCCATGTACCCACTTTTTATTACAATTATTTATTTATTTTTAAAAAATAACAACAACCTATGATGATGATGATAATATAAAGGTCTTGCACAGAGACTTGAAGCCAGGTAAGAAGAACAGATCAAGATCAAGATCAAAATCAATATATTAAACTCATATCAATTACAAAGGAAATCTCTTGGTGAATGCTGATTGTGAACTAAAGGTGAATATCTTGTACATAATAGCAGTAGTGAAAGGAAAAGAAAAGCAAAATAAAACAAGGGGGAAGAAAAATAAGGGGGAGAATTTTAGATATTGATCATTGATGTTTCTTAGATTTGCGATTTTGGCCTTGCACGCGGCTATTCCGACAACCCAGAGAGCAGTGCTGGATTTATGACTGAATATGTCGCAACAAGATGGTATCGAGCACCAGAGATTATGTTAAGTTTCCAAAACTACACAAAAGCCAGTAAGTTTTTATTTATTATTTTGACAGCATATTTTTTTTTAAGTACATAATATACATATGCATATATACATATAGCTTTACATAATCTATTTACTTACTTATTTATTTATTAGTTGATATGTGGTCCGTTGGCTGTATTTTTGCTGAGATGCTCGGAGGAAAACCTCTTTTTAAAGGGCGTGATTGTAAGGGTCTATAAATATTTTAAATCCCTTGGTGATTTTGGATTTATTAATTAATTAATTAATTAATTATTATTATTTTCTTTTAAAGACGTTGATCAGTTGAACCAGATTCTTGGTATTCTTGGTACACCCGACGAAGAGACTTTGAGACGAGTTGGAAGTGACAGGGTAAAAGAAAATAATAAAAGAGATAGAGGGTGTGAGAAAAGAAAAAAATAGGCTCCATGACAGAAACACAAAATCAAAGAGAGAGAGAGAGAGAGATGGGGCTGGTGCACTGACTAGACTAGAGTGGACTAGATTTGACCAGATTAAATTGAACTAAACTGAACTGAACAAACTCAAATATCACACTTTTGTCACACAGGCTCAAGTTTATATCCGCAGTCTGCCACGTATGCCGAGAATTCCTTTCCAAAACCTTTACCCCAGAGGTAAGTCCTTTAATTAGTATTTACGATTGAGTTATAGATTTTATTTTCTCTAACGGGGTTGATTTAGCAAATGCTCTGGCCATTGATCTCTTAAACAAACTTTTGGAGTTTGATCCTTCGAGACGTATCACAGTTGAAGAAGCTCTGGCTCATCCTTACTTGAGTGCATACCACGATGAAGATGACGAGGTAAATAAATATTTTTTTTTTAAAAAAAAAAACAAATCTAAGATAGTAATAATTGCGATTTATTATAGCCATCACACAATCACACATTCGACTTTTCATTTGAAGTTGTGGACTCTATTGTTGACATGCGAAGTAAGTACTGTGGATTAAATATAATATAATGTTATAAATTACAAGGGTAGCTTATGTATATATATATATATATATATCTGTGTATTTATTGGGTCAAACATAGGAATGATTGCACAAGAAGTCATGTCATTCAAGGCCTCCCACCAGACTACATTGCAACCACCTGTCAACACTGGAGCTGGTTTACGACGAAAGGAGAGGTTAGTTGACCAATTGATTGGATAGGTTAATTTTCCCTATTTCTATCTAATTTGTTTGTTTGTTTGATTTTGTTTAGTTTGTCAGCACAAGATCGCGAGACACTCGAGCGAACAACAGCACAGGCCAGAACTGCAACAGCACCAGCTGCTAATAATGGAGCCAGTGGTGCCTCTCATCAGAGAAACGAGTCTGTAGGTACTGCAGCAGCTGGTGGAGCTGGTTCTATTGCCGCATCTGCTGTTACCAGTCACGCTATGCGACACATGGAGGTAGATGAACTGGAAAGAGAATTGAGTGGTCTTGCCTAAGAAGAAGAAGACAACAACAACAACAACAAAAAAAAAGAATCAAATATATTACTTCACAGACAGACATTTTTTTTTTAAATTATACACACATGCATTATATATTATATATTATAATATATATATAATATATATTGGTGGTTATCTTTCTTGATCAATCCTATAATGAAACATTGAAGGATCACTACAGATTTTGAGTTGGATTGTCTTACCAAGGATTCCCGCCTTTGCATCTTTTTCTTGCCTTTCCTTTTTATTACCTACCAAATGACAGTTCTTAGTTGCAATAAACGTGGGTAAAAATTCTTGGTCCAACCACCCCATCTCCTTTAACTAGAAAGGTGTTTGAGAACAAGATTCCTATTGTTGTTGTTTTCTCCCCAACAATAACAACACAGACAAGCGTCTCTCTTTGTGTACAGATATAGATATATTGATTATTGTTGTTGATGATTATGGTGATTACGATTTATTTTTATTTAATTTTAACCCCGTAGGCCGGGACAATGCTCTCAAGATTTCCCAGATTAGTACAAGCACAATAAGTTTATTCGCATATAATAATCGATTCCTTCGATCGTTAATCAACCTCTTTTCCTCCTCCTTTATTCCATTCTCTCTTCTCTTCTCTTCTCTTCTCTTCTCTTCTCTTAATATCAATATCATACCTAGACAATCGTAATGGCCCAGTACTTTATACTGCCAAAACTTCTCTACATTACCTTGTACGCCGTGCTTGGGTCTGCTATACCATACCTACCACTCTTTTACGATGAATCTCTCCGCCTATCTTCCAACCAAATCGGTGTCGTCCTGGCCATCGCACCATTTGTCCAGAGTGTAGCCTGCCCTGTCTGGACAATCCTGGCCGACAAGAAACCTTCATGGCATGGTCCTTTGATGGCCATCTTGATTGCTATCGGAGGTACAAGTGTGATGACTCTCATGTTCCTTCCGAACTGGCTGATGCGGGATACATGTGCAAACAATCCGAGCTGTGATCCTGCAGTTACCAAAACAGACGAATCCTCGACCGGTTTGATATTTGCGGCCGTGCTTGCATTGATATTTGCTTTCTTTGGTCAACCCGTAAGTGCACTAGTCGATAGTGCTGTACTCAAGATCCTCGGGGAACACAAGGTCTTATATGGTAAGAACAAAACGAATGAATGACGCCAGAAAACGCTTTCTTTTCTCTCTTTTTTTTGTGTTATACCATCATTACTATTGTTGTTGTTTTTGAAAACACTCATCTTGACTTGTGAACAGGAAGTCAACGTCTGTGGGGATCCATCTCAAATGGTGCCAATATCCTGCTGGTTGGGCTCTTGATCAGTACAATGGGTATAAATGTGGCATTCTATGTATTTGGCGTGAGTGTAGTCTGTTTCATTATCATTGCATTGTTCACTCGATTTGGAGGGGGGAACGACTCCACCCTTGATTCGACCTTATCGCAAATCAATGAAGAAAGCCCGCTCCTAAAAGACCAGCCACGGACAACCAACTATGCCATCCCACCAGAACAAGTCGAGCAGAATCACACCCCAGTCCAAAACTCATTCTTTTCTGCCCTCAGCCAAGTCCCTACTGACCATAGCAGACCTGAACAGCATCCATCAAACTATGCCTTTGGTCCCAACCTCTCGCGACACGACAGTGTAGGAAGCCACACCAACACAATCTATCTCGAAGATGGCGACCGCAACATGGACCAAATGATGCGTGTCACTACTTCCATGGCTGCCCAGGATGTCCAAACAGAGGCAAACGAGCTCTTGCTACATACCGATGGAATGCCTTCTCTCGGGTTGGTTTTGTCTCGGATCCCGACTGTCGACACTTCCTTGGCTGCGTTTGCCTCTATTGGCCAGCCCGACAACATGCCTCCTAGCAAATCAACCCTGACATCCCCTAGAGTCTGGACGTTCCTGGTTACTACTCTTTTGTTTGGAATTGCGTATGCCATGATTGCACAATTCCTCTTTCTCTATTTGCGCAACAATCTGGGTATGGAATCTGCATTAATCGGCTGGACAGGTCCTATTGGTGGAGTGGCTGAAGTCTCGACATTCTATATATCTAAACAGGTAATATAAAGAAGATAGATAAAGAGATGGAGAAACTTTTTAAAAAAAAATTACATTTTTTAAGAGTTTATATAACTCACTCATAACCCTTTCTTTCTATTTTCTTCTTCTTATTATTATTATTATTCTGAATTTATAGTTATTTGACAATTTCAGTGTGACAAGTCTTATCAGCTTTGCACACATTGTTTTAATTCTTCGTAACTTTGTCTACACATGGCTTAGCCCAAACCAATTCAGCTCGACAGTCATTGCACTCTCGATGCAGCTCGTGAGTGGTGAGTTACAGGATGATTTTAAAATGAAAATGAAAATACTATACAAATTTACAATGCTTACAATAATGTTTATATACTTTTTTTAAAAAATATATATACAGGTTTAGCATATGCTATGATTTGGTCCACATCCGTCAGTGAAGTAGATACCTTTTTCCCTGCTGATCAACGTGCAATGGCCCAAGGTATCCTTGCTGCATTGTTCTCTGGCCTTGGTTACGGTCTGGGATGTATCATTGGAGGAATGGTATATGATCAGTACGGGGTCACTGCATTGTTTGAGGTGTCTGCTGCGATAGCTGCCTTTAGTCTCGGTGTGTTCTTGTTGGGCCGATGGTCGCATACTTGAATTGACTGTAAAGAGAGAGAGAGAAAAATACTTTAGCACTACCTATTCTATTATGTTAATTTTCATTTTAATTTTTATAACTTTATAAATACATACTACACACATACATACATACATATATATATATATATATCTCTTTGCAAAAACAAAACAAAGCAAATATGAATACATAATTTAGTTCCTTGATCCTATATATATATATATCAACCAAATAAATTTATTAAGCAGCCATACTCTGAGAGCAGTTTTTTCTTTGGGACAAACCATTGTGTTTACCCTTTGGTTAGAAAAAGGATTTGAAATTATAGCTCAAGTTTCAATATATCTTCAAGGATTTTTTCTTTCTTTTGGAATCATGGAGATAAATGCCACTATAAAAAATTCACGAATTATTCCCATAACTCCAAAACAAAACAAAAAATTAAGTAAATACATAAATACAAAATGAAGTGCAAGAAAAAAAAAGAAAGAAAAGGAGAAGAAGGAGAGTGAGAAATCAAAGGTGCTCCAATTTCTCAAATGGAATACTTTTTAAAACTTCGAAAATGCATATTTAATAATTTCTGCATTATTCCAAGAATAGAAACATGGCTAAACAGTTAGACCACAAAATATTCCATTATTGAATGAAACCTTTTGAAAGTCTTTTCTTTCTCTTCCTTTTTTTTTTCCTGAAATTGATGATGTGCCAAACTGTCATTCTGTATACTTTGTATTATGTTCTCAGATTTCGTGCCATTAATTCTAGGAAATCGCTAATATTAGGGGGACGACATTTTCAGGATGGGGCACTACCTTTTTGATGGGAAACGTTGTTTTGATTTTACCGGACCACAAATTGTGACTTGCTGTCCGGTATCAAATAATTATATCTGGTCCCTAAGGATTCATACTTATCATAATAAAGATACTTTTATACAAGGCAGGATAATAGCTTTTTCTACGCTTCTTTCCTCTATGTAATTATGTCTTTTCCTTCTCCACTCATGCGTATTAGCTCACTAAATTGCTCCCAAACTTTGTGCATTCATCAAACTGTCTCCAGGCATATACCTCTCCTTCTTTAGGAGGCACGACCTGTTTTTGGGCAAAATGATAATAAAAAATCTTCTCATATAAAAAAATAGCTTTGACTAAATATAAAAGCATTGTTTTATATATATAATTCTATACTTAAAGTTTTATACTATATGTAATAAATTAACTGATATATATATAGAATAATAAAAAACTATCTAACATGTTACTTCAAGACATTATATCCTAATAGAAAATGTCGTGCCCTACCCTGGAAACGTCGTCCCCCAAAAGTCACGACTTTTCATATCTTGTCTATTGAAAAAATACCTTATAAAATTTGAAATTTCTTTACTAAATACTTTATTAGGCTTATAATATCCTTTAATGTAATAAACATTACCTTTTGTTAATACTTATTTAAGATAAACACTAATAAAAACTGCTAAATCTTCTTCAGAAAAGAAAAACAAAGTCGCAAAAATGTCTGAGAATACATATAGTATTAATTAATTTTGCATATATTAAAAAGTATATCTAATAATTGTAGAATAAATGTAGTTTACATTAAAAAAAATATATATTAGATAAAGTGACAGCTACTTAGAGTCATAATTAATAGTTAAACACTAATAAGTTTACTTCTTACTATAATTATGATATAATATTATAAGGCAAAGAAGCAAAAATAGAATCAACTTATTATACAAAAATGGTAACTAAAATCGAGTATTTGTAAGATATAAAATTTATTTGGCTCCCGTCAACAAATCACATACCTGTGGCTGCTAATGAGTCATATTTTCACGATTTAACTTGAGACATAAATCATATGTTTTCATTTTGTGTGATTTAAGTGGAAAAGATTATAATCCATATAATTTGCATTTTTTTCAAAAACTTTCATAATGGATATAAAGGTAATGAAGCCTTTTATGCCTAAGAAAGTTTGCATAGAAGTTAAGCGAATATATATTTACAAAATCCATGTTTTTATTTATTCTGTAAAAACTCTTTCTATCATTTCCTTACAACATGTACATGAGATATTTTATCAAAAATACAAAAAAATGAAAAATATTCATATAAGACCAAAAAAAGTTTTTAATTACATATATTCAGATAACATATGAATCCAGTAAAAGTTTCATAGAAAACAAATGAGAAAAAAGTGATTCTACAAGCAAATACAATATTTTATTTTATTGAAAAAAAGCAAATTTTTGAGATATTACGTTAGTTTTCTCATGATCGACCCTTTCAATTCAACTAAAAATCCTAGAACCCATACATATATCTATACACTACTTGGATCCAAAGTTATAGAGAGCCAAGACTTGAATTGATGAAATAAATAGATGCAAATGCATAATATAACATATTCGAAGATAGTTTGGCTCTATCTGTGTAACACCACCCGACATTTATGCTTTTTAATTCGCTGGATATATGTGTAACTCGTAGGGTAAAGTACTTCCCACAAATGATTTCTATGAAAAAACAGAGCGGAGAGTCATTTAACCCACAAGTGATAGATAGCTTATGTTGACGCAAAGAAACAGATTGATAAGATTTATAAAGGTAAAAAAAAAGATCGTCTAGCTAATAAAATATAAGAGTAAATGAGTATATAAATAATAAGTTGTCTAGCTAATGAAGTATAAAGAAAAATATAATAAAAATAAAAGAAAAAAAAGAAGAAAAAAAGATTATGTTATAGTGAAATCAACATGTTCCTCTTGATCGGAAAGAAAAGAGAACATCGCATTTCTACGATCATACTTATTGAACTCTTTAAACTTGTTCCAGTAAGTATCAAAGTTGTCGGGAATCTGGTTTCTGACACAACCCAAAAAGAATAACTCAGGAATGGTTGGACATTTCCTTGAGACATTGCGGGAGAGGTGTACTGTTGTCCAGTGGTTATTGTTAACATGATTGAAAATCAGAGGTTGTTGATGTTTTGATATGTTTTTGGGAAGCGTGAAGGGAAGGGACGATACGGAAGGGGTGTTGGGGTTGTCTGAGTAGACGCAGACTGGTCGCTTATAGGTGTCCGCAGCTAGTTGAGCACAGTCGGGTGTGCTAAACCACATACTGGCATCTAAACACGCTGGGATGAAGTTGGAGTTGGGGTTGGAGTTGGAGTTGGAGTTGGAGTTGGTGATGCAGAGATCAGAACCATGCTTTATAATGTCTTCTAATTGCTTGACATCGGTTCCAAACGTGCTGGCGTAAATGCTGCTGTATTTTGGAAGGGTAGCAAGCATATCTCTTTTCACAAGAGGGAACTTTTCTTGATCTTTATAGATCAAATGGGCAAGGACCCGAAAACCACACCATCCATCAGCAGTAAGGTTAAACCCACCCTTAACGTCATCGACTATCTCATGAGAGACAGGAAAACCGGGCTGGAATTTAACCCTCTTGCCAACAGAGGTGCGATAGGCATATTGGTAATCTTCTTGAGCTGTAGCGGGTCTTTTAAACCCTATTTCTTTTGTGGCATCGACTAAAGAGCATATAAGTATACAACGATATTTCTATGGATTCAATTACACTGAAAAATGAGAAAGAATATTACCTGGGTCGAGAGGCTCTTGTTTTATTTTTTTTGTTTTGCTTTTGGTGGCATCGACTAAAAAGCATATTAGTATAAGGTTAGATTCCTTTTCATGAATTCAATTACACTATAAAATAAAAGCACATATTACCTGGGTCGAGAGGCTCTTTTTTAATTTGTTTTATTTTGTTTTTGGTAGCATCGACTAAAAAATGTATGTAAATATATGACAAGATTCTTTTTCATAAACTCAATTATATGTAAAATAAAAAAGCATCTTACTTAGGTCGAGAGGCTCTTTTTTGCTTTTGTTTTGTTTTTTGTTGTTTTTCGTTTTTTGTGTAGCTGCAGGCTTTCCATCTCTTGTTCTAGCTCTTAACCTAACCATTGCCTTAAGGCCGGCCTAGTATTTCAAGATACATATTAGTACTTTGTTATGTTATATTTTTTTATCTTACATGACCAGACGAAACACTGATCTTCCTCCAGTTTGCCCGACCAAAGTCTTTGGGAAGGTATTTGGGACGTGCACCACCCTTTCTTCTGCCAGGATATTTAATTTTTTCTGGGGCTTGAAAGTTAATCGAAGGGTGCCCAGTTTTGCCTTCGAATTCAGAAGTAACCTTCTTGATCTTTTGAAGGAGGTTGGCCACTTGCTGGCTGCCCTCACAAGAGCGGAAAAGAGCCTCAAGCTTTACAATCTCTTGCATCCACTCTTCTGGCCTCTCGGCAATTACGTGCGCTGTACAACTTTCTTCGAAAGATGTCTCTTTTAGAACAGGGTTTATGATCCATCTTTCAGAAACATCATCAAGGGTGAGCTCCCTTCCAGCTGGCAGCGAGTGTCTGCAGGGCAAGCCGAACTCAAACCTGTTTTTGCAATGACAAAATTCATCGTCTCTATTGATCAAGCGAAGTTCTTGATCAATAACAAGCAATGCTCTCTTAGAGACTTTCATAAAAAGCCTGGAAAGCTGCTTGTTGCGGCCAACCAAGACATCGACAGTTGTCGATTCCCTGATTTTTATAGCATTGAAGTCTCTTCCGAGCCTGTCTACATAGGAGTTGACAGCTTCAAATGCAAGCCCCAAAGACGAAATTGCTGATATCCCTCTTTTCAAAGCTTGGCGTGCGCTCTCGACTCTCTGGGTAGTTGTACACCCAAAATGCATTTGCTGGCTGGTCAGGTATCCTGCCCACTTCTCCTGGCACTTTATCCATCTTTCGGCAAAGTAAACCAATGCATCTACCTTGGACCCTCCTTCGTCTACTTCGCAACCAGAAGATACTGCATTGAACTTCATCAACGCAACCTCGAAATCCCTTCTGGTACTGCTGTGAATCATGGAGTTCACATACTCCATAAGGACCTCTTTCTCTGCAACTGACTTGAGTTTTCCAGCGAAGACTTTCTCAACGCTATTCAACATATGCCAGTAGCATAGCAATTTGACATTTTTTTGGGAATACAATGTCAAGTGCATTCATTAAGGCCATACATTTGTCTGTTACAAATAGAGAACTGCTTTTCTTATTCTCAAAAACAAGTGCCTTGAGCTGCTCAAGGAACCAAACGTAGGTCTCCTGTTTCTCATTCGAAACCCAGGCGAAGGCAATGGGAAACGATTTAAGAGTGTCTCCCCCGAGGTTATGGACACCTTCCACGCATACAAGAGGCATTTCCAAATTATTGGTTGAGTAGGTGGCATCGACGGCCATGACTTCTGGGAAGCGACGGGCTCTTTCTAGCATCTTTGGGTGCGAGAAAAATACTCTTTCAAGAGATCCATATTTGCCGGCGTCATAGCGTACAAGATATCCCTTAGCTTCCATGGTTTTAACGAGTTCAGTACCTGCATCCTGAGAAGTGGAAGCAGTAGCACGAGCAAAAGCAGCCTTGATATTGTTGATGTCATTCACATACAACTTATGGCTGACATTATCCTCTTCATTGATCGCCTTTTGGATCTCACGAGTCTTGGTTTTGGTCTCAACAGGCTTCATAATTTCCCTAGCATCATCGACAGTAACCTTTGACAAACGACCTTTCAAGGTAGATTCCAGGCAGTCATCATCAAGAGGGTGATTGTGGTAGCCTTCAATCTCATTGGTGGCTTTCAAAAGAAGATATCCTTTAGCGGCCTTCTTGTATGATATTTTCAAGAGATAGGGGCATCCAGTCTTTCCACTAGACGGAATTCTCTTGCGTTCGCTGTCTTCAATATTCCGTGTGTTCTTATAATGACCGCCCTTGGCACACTTCAAATACACTCGAGTTGGTTTACTATCTCTAGTTACAAGTGCAAAATTGTTGGCAAGTGCATATTCCTGCATCTTTGAAATTGCCATTGTCATGTCACTGTAACCATTAACTGGTGAGACAGGAAGAGGTTGTTGGACAGGATAATGTTTCTTTCCATTGAAAAAGCAGATTTCTTTATTGATAGGATTCATATTGAAGTGATTTCTAGAGAATACTTATTAACATCATGATTTCTAATTGCTAATCTGCAATGAGCAAAGTAATCTCTTTACTATCTCCGAGAAAAAAATAATATTTTTAAGTGCAATTGATTAGTAGCTCTTACGAGATGAGTATAGAATAGAAAAGAAGGTTTTATATTTAAATATTGAGTTAAGAATTTCAGGACACATCGTTTTGCCCTGAAGGATTGGAGAAAATACCTCGGACCTCGGACAAGTAGTCACAACGAATTAGTCCGGCAAAAAAAGGTAGTGCCCCATCCTGAAAATGTCGTCCCCGTAAGATTGCTGCTAGGAAATAGTGTCCAAAGCTATCTAAAAAAAGAGTGCACCCTTAATAAATGAGACAAGTGACCATAATCATGCCTTTCTTTTTAAAGTTTTTTTTTGTAAGACACACGCAGTCGTGTATCCACCCCAGCATGTATTGTACAAATATGATGATTAGATGGCAGCTTTGCTCTATTTCTTTATTTCTCAGCCCCTCTCAATCGAGACTCAAATAGAGTTCGGGACTGTGTATCTAATGTGAGACAATTTATGGAGCTTGTGTGTATCGTAATATGAAAAACATTCTATTGATATTCGTAAACATTCTTTTTTTGTGCCTTGTCTTTGGAGTACTGACTTGGAGTTATCCTTATCTTTTGAGTGCTTACACGTCTGTTACATATATTTAAAATATCTTTACCCCCTTGTACCCATAAGTCTTTCATCATTTACCCCCAAATATTTCTCTAGCCGAAAGCATTTTTTATTATTTCTTCCTTTTTTTTCTTAAAGCCTATAAGTAGTATAAAAAAAAACTTAAAGTATATTTTGGTTTTATTTTTTATTGTTCCGGGAGGCCGGTTTTTAACACTAAGAGGCGACTAAATATTTGCTAATTAGTATGATAGTTTAGTTATTATTCAGCAGGCGAATACCCTAGACTTTATTAAAAGTAACATGGTGGTTTGGTTTGTGTGAAATCCTGGACAAGAAGAGTGGCCATAAGAAATAAGGGTGAGGGTGAAAAGGGGAGAGTATAAAATAATAGGTAGATTTTGTTCGTTGTTTATATGCTGACGCTCCTTGCTGAATATGCGTATATGTATATATATATATATATCCCTTACTTCTGGAGCGTTAATATAAGCTGTGTATCATAAACACGTCTTTATTCAACCCGTGTGTAGAATATTGATTGTCCATCTGCTTGTATTCCATATCAAAACTTCCTTTCATTATTTGTTAGAATACCGCTTATTTGTCGGATGTGGTTCATCCTTTATATTTATCCACAGATCAAAATCATAAATTGAATAATTACTAAGAGTAAGGCTTCAGAATAATAGAGTTCGTTACACCACACCAATTTTCCGAAAATCAAGTGTACAAAATGAACACGCAATGTGTGGGATATTTCTAAAATAATAATAATATAGATATCATATCCTAACTAGCCTAGAGCTTCAATAGAGACACAAGAAAATGTATAATAATAATTTGCAATTTTTGTGGTTACTGCACATAATTTAACTACGTTGAAAGAATATGTTCTTTGGGCAGGATACTATGAGTGTTATTATTATTATTATTATTATTATTATTATTATTATTAATTTTGGGTTCTTCTAGACAGCTTCTAGATTCTTTTTTTTTAAGAAAAAAAAAAGAAAGGTACAGAGGATGGGATATCACTTTTTGTATCTTGATTCTATTGACCTTCTGTGCGTGGTATTATTTTTTGGCGATTGTGACAAAATTAAAACATCTTGTGCAATGATCACTTCTTTGGTATAAATATTATTCGGTTAGTTTATTGGTAGTAGTAATTATGGTGGTGGTATTATTATTATTATTATTATTATTTTGTTGTTGTTGAATTTTGGCCTGTCATTAATTTTACCCGCTGTATAAACTTTCTGTTCTTTATCACCTTTTTATTTGCTTTTCCTTTATGTACACTAATTTTATATTGTATTGTAATAGTTTCGGTTTGTTTTGCTATCTTCTTTAGGGAATTTACCTAGTTATTTTGTTACAATGTCCACTTTTTTAATTATGAACTGTTCAAACTTTGTGCATATAAAGTAATCTGCATTTTAAATACCAGTTAAATGTTTGAGCCTTGGCCTTTTTTTTATTCCTTTTCTTTTTGCAGAACTCTCGGTTGTCTTCCTGACCTGTATCACTCCTATTTCTGTTTTTGACATTCAATGTGTCTTGAAAAATTTAAACTTAACTCAGACTTCTTTTAAAGAAATAATAATATATAATATAATAAAATAAAATAAAATAAAATATAGCTACATTTTCTTTTTTTTTTAAAAAAAAAAAAAAAGCTCGCGAACACACGATGTTAAAACTGACACTACTACTTCAAAGACTTTCAAAACACTCGATTTATTTGAAGTTCAAATATAGGCATATTTACATACACATAAAATCGAGGAAAATCCTTGTTGATAATTCTTATTTCAGCATATATTTGTCGTACTGAACTACATTCTTTACATGCTTTTTAGTGTTATGTCTGTACTTTTAGGTAAGAGTTACCAAATCTAAAATTATTTAATCCGGAAATTTATATTTTTATGATCGGTCTTGAAGTCCCCGAGTGTTTTTTTTTTTTGAGTTCAACGAGCTCGTTTTAGCTTGCTTCTGCTTCTTCCTCTTCCTCTTCTTATTATTGTTATTTTGACTTTATACTTCAATTAAAAGTTTCTTAGCTATCATATAATTATGTAATACTTATAGTACGTAATTACAGGAGTAACTTTTACTTTGTTAGCATTGAGTATTGTTATATATTTTCTGGGTATAAAGAATACCCAGGAAGAAGACAATCTAGCTAATAATCGGGGCAGATAACTCCCCAAAAAGAAACACTTTTTATTAAATACACTATACAATCAATGAAAGTTATGTATACACCTATATAGCTTTATAAAAGATATATTTTCTATTAAATCATATAAAACACAAGAAATATCAAAAAGAACATATATTCTGCTATAATCCCCTTGGCCATATTTTACTTTTGTAACTTGAAAATATTCTCGTTTATTCTGAATCTATACACATTTTACTACTAACCTGTGCTACAATTTTAAATTTAAAAACTCTCTACGCGTATTACGCCACACGATATTGGTATTGATTTAGCAAACTGGCGTTTTTTTTTTACTTACCCTTTAAAACATACTACATGTATATTTTATTCACTTTTTTAGCTGCAGTAAGAGATACGAGTTTAAAGTACTTAGAAAATGAGAATATGTATATATTCTCTTTATTTGCTAACTTAAAAATAGATCAATACAAATAATACTTACATATATATTTATCAACTACGTTTATGGCAGTAGTCCCAAAAGCAGAAAGTTCATTAAGTTCTTCTAATATTCTTTCAATATTCGGTAACTAGAGCAGCAGCTACATAAAAGGCATGTTCTATATTCCAACTAGATATTTTTGGATGTACAAAAGCATGCTAAGCAAAACAGTCGAATACCTGGTTACACTGACGAAACTTTCTAGAAGTAGTGGAGGGAGATATGGGACCGATAATAAGGGATGCTTTGTAGGCACGAGATGAAAAGAATGTATAATGGCGCATTTTTAAGAGAATTTATTGGTCAGAAAGAATGTTTTAATTATGTTTATTGAAGACGCACATAGGCTGCCCCTTTTGTAGTCGATCTTGTCAGGAGAAAAGCACTGACCTTTACTTTCTTAGGTTTCAATAAGTACTACAAGAAAGAAGAGAATCAATCTATAAAAAAATCAATTGATTTCATTATACAACTATCTATAAATATTCAGTGCTTTGTAAAAATAATAACAACATAGAAAAGCTTTTTACTTAAGAATTTTTAATCAGATAGTAATATTATACACACACACACACACACATATATATATATATATATATAAAATGCGTATAGTTCAAGTGTTAACACGTCTTATTCATAGGTTATAAAAAAAACATATAGAGAAAATATATATGTTTTATATTCAATCTTAATAGGAAGTGAAAAAAAGGGGGTTGGACAGTACTATAGACATTATGTATACAAATCATTTATAATTTTTTTATAATCAACTCTATTTAACCTTTTGTTTTAAAGCTTGAGAAACATCAAACTGATACTCATGGCATCTATATAAATATATAAATATATATTACATATATATTATTTACCTCTTTACAATTTTATCAAAAGCAGCGTCTACAAAACCTTAATACCCTTTCCTTTCTGTATTTCATACATTCTCTTTAAAGTCTCCAATCCTCTCTTTTTCTCTTTCTTTATATTACTTTCTTATTCCTATCCTTATCTCATTTCAGAGCTTTAATAAGTTATCTTTATTATCTTTACTACTACTTACTACACATGGTTACTCTATCAACCATACTGACTGGACACACTATGGACAATAAATTGACTTTTGGAGCTCAAGACCAAATTTATGAAAAATTCTCGGACTCGTCTACTGAAAAGAAAGGGTACCAGTGCACGACTTGTCATAAACATTTTACTCGGCCAAGTGCGCTAAGGACCCACATGTATACACACACTGGGGAGAAACCATTTGCATGTAGCCAGTAAGTATTTTTTTCTCTCTCTCTCTCTCTCTTCTTCTTCTTCTACTACTACTACTACTTTCTGTCATTGTAATTTTTACTAACAGCTCGTTTTGAATTAGTCTAAGATGTGGTCGTCGATTCGCCGTTATCAGTAACCTGCGTCGACATCTAAAGGTTCATAAGAAGCCGGTGTCTCCACACAGACTTTCTTCCGAAGAACGTATTCGAAGAGTTCAGAGTTTGATTAAACGAACGTCTGGAAATGAATCCTCCGACTCGTGTCACAACATGGTCGAGGCAAGACGTATTTTTTCAATCGCGCCTCGGCCACTCCAGCCATGTCCCCCAAGAGATATCTCATCGCCATCAGAAAGAGCCTACATCCCCAGAAAGGTCTCCACATCTTCAGAGGGATCTGTGCTGGATGATAGCATGTCCAGCTGGTCTTCCCTCCCAACGTGTGCTGGACTTGAGACATACACCCATGGTTCTATCAATCAATCCGCAGCTCTCTATCCTACTGAAACACAAGTCTATTACGAGTACAAACAGCCTGATGATATCAACTATAATCTCATGCAGTGGGTTACCCCATCCCCAGTAAATACACAGCTGGTGAATACATATACCGATCTAGGTCGTATGGACCGTCTGTCTATAGCAGACCCAATTTCTCTACCATTCTCCCATCAAACTGTAACCCACCCTAACAACCATCTCTCGTATTTTTCTGATTGCTCAGCAAGCATAGATAACTTAAATATCTACCAAAATTCATTACTACAGTACATCAACGAATTCGATTTTCCTCCCTTATAGAATATTATTTACAAAACTTTGCATTTGTTTTTCTCCACATCTTGGGGCTATGACATTTATTTCTATACACATACACGCATATATTATTATTATTATTATTATTATTATTATTATTATTATTATTATTATTATTATTATTATTATTATTATTATTCTCTCGCTCTTTATCTCTCTTGGATCCTCTGTCTATCTCTTTATTTATATGCCCTGTATGATATATGTATTTGTGTGTGTATTGTTGACAGTTTCAAAAAAAAACCCTATATTCATGGCACAAAATATAGTATTGTGTTGTCTAATCACTACTGAATAATTACTACTATCTATTATAATAATAAACCATAAAAATAATAGTAGTTGTTACTATAGTGACAAGTTGTTTCACGAAAACACAAAAAAAATGTATGCGCAAGCTGCGTACTGATTTCTAATAAAAATAATAATATTATAATAATTAACGCGCAAATTTATAGTAATAATAAATAGAAAATTCTTTTACATCTACCAAAATCTCGAGATCTTTATTTTATTTTCTCTATAACAACAATATAATGTTTTTTTTTATATTCTCTATTTATATATAGTCTAACATGTACCTCTTTCGTATATATATAAGCAGATACTTTGATATAAGATATAGTGTTAAGTAGGGCCATATTATATGAGAAGGGAGGAAAGGGAGAAGAAAATGGAGTTGACCCTCAAAAGTAAATATAAAATAGAATAAGAATCAGCTGAGTACTTTCGTTGTTCTAAGCAGAGTATGGCACCAGACATACATTTTCTTATTTTGAATCCTTCAAGCATATATATACATATATATATATATACACTCCCAAAACTGAAATCACCGACAAAATCTTTGATTTCTACCCCCGAATAAACCATACATCAACTTCATTATGCTATATCTTCTCAAGAAGTTGACAAAATAAAACCAAACATTGTGTTGTTATAGAGAAATGTATATATATTATAGAATAAAAATAAAAAAATGAGGTTTAATATACGGTATGATCACCACGAGCTTTTATGAATGCTTTAACTCTGTCAGGAATACTTGCCACAAGAGTTTGCAGAACTCCAGGGTCAAGCAACTCCCATTCCTGAAGAATACAGGCCTTTAGATCTTGCACATTGTTAATAGAGATCTTTCTCTCTTGAACCTTGGCCTTTAGGGCATACCAGACATGCTCAATTGGGTTCAAATCTGGACTTTGCGACGGCCAGTAGTCAAATCGTTTAATCTCCCAACGGTTTTTCCACCACGTCGTGTAGGACCCAGTATGACAGCTAGCACCATCTTCTTGGAATGTGAACATGGTGTCATGTTCTTCATTCAATTGTTTGTACCAGGGATTGAAGTCCTTAGACAGACAATTGACGTATGCATCTTGGTCTACAGATCCTTCGATAAACGATAATGGTCCAATGCCACCAGCCTGGAAACAATCTCATACCATCACGGAACCTTTTCCATACTTTTCTGTTGTTCGTATATGGCGTTCCTGGTGCCTCTCCCCTCGTTTACCAATTACCGATGGGTCAGAATCATTTCCTTTCACCATGAACCTCGACTCATCTGACCACACCACTCTGCTCCAGTCTTCGATGCTAAAACTGGCCCTAGCTCTAGCCTAACGCAACCGATTCTTTTTCTGCTCACAGGTTAACTTTTGTTTAGATACAGGGGTGTAAGAACCGAAGCCTTTTGCTCGTAGGTATTGGATAACTGTCTGTCTACAGACAATAACGCCAGCAGCTCCCAAATTTGCCTGGTGGTATCCATAACTCTCAAAAGGATTACGTCTCACACTCAAACAAAGACTTGTAACGTTTGTTACACTAAGTTTCTTTGGTCTCCCAGGTCTGGTATTTGTCTTGGCTGTTCCAGTAGTCTCCCAGCGCTTTATTGTATCGAAAACTATAGTTCTAGGAATGTTCATACGGTTTGCAATGTCAGTTGGAGTATGATCGGCTTTTGAGAGCCAAACAATGCCTCCACGCTCAAAATCTGACAGCTCGCGTCTGGAGGGAGTAGTTTTAATTCTTTTATTACTTTTCGACATTGGTGGTTAAGTTTGAGGTAAAGGTGTGAGGAAGAGAAAGGTAAAGAATGTTATAAAAAAAGCAGCATGAAAAATGTGGTTCATCGATGATTTTTATTGTCGGAGTGTATATATAGTAAATTCAAAAACCGGGCCAGCAAATGTAAAAATTGTACTCCGCAACTTATATCTTCTTGAGTTCTTATTCTTTCGCGATAGTTTTAATACACTCTAGGACATCTGTTAAAGAGCTACAACATACTATGCTAGTATAGATATATATATATAGTATTAATAAAAAGTTATATGAAAAAAAGTGGAAATTTTCAGTGGCCCGGTTTTTTAGGTAAAGGTATCTTTTTTTATTTTTCATTAATAAGATACCCTTTCTTCAAAATGCATTTATGCATTCTGCTTTGCATGGATTCAATTAGATCCTTGCACATTTCCTCTGGGATACTATCCCACTCATTCTGGAAACGGGACCACAATTCCCTCATTGAGCTGGCTGGCTCTTCATATTGGTAGAGTTTACCCTTTGTGTACGCCCAAAGGTTTTCGATGGGATTAAGGTCAGGCGAAAACGGTGGGAAATCAATGACCTCAATTTCCTCTGCCTTCAACCACTTTCTGGTATTGGCTGCAGTGTGTGACCGGGCGTTATCATGCAAAAACATGATATCGGACTTGATGAGATTCTGCTTCTTCAAGGTCTTCAGTAAACCCTGCTCCAAAACTGTTACGTATTTTGGGCTTGTCATGGTTTCATTGATCTTGAGAAGCTCTCCGTGACCTCTGGACGAAAAGCATCCCCAAACCATAATGTGTCCTCCAGCACGAACAGGGGAAGTCTTACCCTTATATTTTTTAATTGCCGACTTCTTCAACTTCCACCTCCATCTCTTTCCATCCGAGCCAAAGCGATTCACCTTACATTCGTCTGAGAAGACAACACACTTCCAGTCCTCCACGGTGAAGTTGATATAGTTCCTTGCGAACTCCATACGCTGCTTGCGGATAGCGGGGTTTGTTTTTACCTTCGGAGGTGGTTCCAAGGTACAGATGAACCCAGATGCTTTTAGCAAGGTGTGGATTGCTGGAGCCTTGACAGCAAAACCTTCACCACATAGCCGTCTCTCTGCCTCTGTTGTTGTCATAAATTCCTCATTTAGGAATGCATAGATGATACGGTGGGCGAGCCTTTCATCGATTTGGGCAGGTCTACCCCCAGGAACTGAGGTAGAGATGTTCAATTTTCTTCGATATCTCTTGACAGAAGTCTGCGAAACACCAACAATCTTTGCTACCTCGGCTGTAGACTTTCCGTGTCTAAGTTCAACTTCAATTGAGAGTATTTTGTCGCGTGAGATGGGAGACATTTTTGTTTTAAAAGTTGAGCAAAGGAACAAGGAAAACTCTGAAAAATTCAATATAATATATCTATTTTGTTTGGATGATTGTGATATAATGACAAGACACACTCCGTATAAAAATTATCATAAAGCAGTTCTGCATTAAAAGTAAAGAAATAATGCTTTACTCTATTTTTTGGCCCATACCTAAAAACCGGGCCACTGAAAATTTCCACTTTTTTTCATATAACTTTTTATTAATACTATATATATATATCTATACTAGCATAGTATGTTGTAGCTCTTTAACAGATGTCCTAGAGTGTATTAAAACTATCGCGAAAGAATAAGAACTCAAGAAGATATAAGTTGCGGAGTACAATTTTTACATTTGCTGGCCCGGTTTTTGAATTTACTATATATGTTACAAAAAAATCTGGGTTGCTACCCTTGAGTACATTTCTTTTTATTCAAAACGGTAACACTTTTCCATTACCATAAATAATTCATTGTTAGCTTCTCAGGAGTTACGCGTTATTAAACCCTACCTTTAGATTTAAGTAAGCTATTATCAGATAGTATATTATAAGATAACCAATGAAATCTTATATATATATACATGTTTATTTCAATAGCAGACTTCATAAGTATAGTAATTGACGTTATTTAATGTACTGAAATGGCTTCTTTGTTGTTGTCGTTGCTGCTGCTGCTGCTGCTACTATGGTATCGATATTAATATTGATAGTAGTTTTGTTCTCAATTCTGTAATAAAACTTTTAGGATATTATATAGATTGTTGTCTCGATTATTCTGATTTATTTACATGCCAATTTGACAGATAAAGTAACCGTGCGCTAGTCAAATATATACAAAACCGGAGTGAAAATTTCATTCTTAAAGTTATAGTAATGTTTCATAAAAAAAATCAAGCTCAATGTTCAGAACTAAATAGATTATAAGCACTTGACTATTTGCTATTTTCTAATAATAATAAAAATAACAATAATAGTATCATAGTATCGTAAAAATTGTGCGATAAGAGCCTAACCCACACATATCTAATACTTTTTTTTTTAAAAAAAAAAGAAATAGCATACACATTCACATAAATGTTTTTACGCGTAGCCTTTTCTAAAAATAAATCTAGATAGCTATTCAATTTAATAGAAATATATTTAATTTTCTGTGTGTGTGTAATTACTAGATTTACTCGTCAAAATATTTTTTGATAGCTACACAATCTAAATCCAGGTATTTATATAGATACATTATTATTAGTTAAGGAAAATACAAAGCATTTATAGCAATAAAGCCGATATATCTTGTACAGAATATTTAAATTATTGTGAAAGCTTCTGTTAATAAAATAGGATTAAGATGTGCTCGAGCCATTTCAAAATGATAGTGTGGTTATGATTTTATTCCTATAAAAAGAGCATCACAAGTATAGGAATTGTCGAGATAACATGTGTCTCAAAAGATAATATAGTACAATATTTACATAAATTCTTAACACGCTTATTATTTAGGTAACCGCAAAATTATAGTAAAGAGAGTACAGCATTAGTTTGAATACACAAATCAGCAAAAGGACTCTGATATATTTATTTAACTATAAAATTCTCAAATATATATTTTATTGGATCGAATTCTCCCCCGAGATACAATCACATTATACATCTCTAATAAGTATAGACTAATTATTATTATTACTATTCTTTTTTTTAAAAAAAAAAAAGAGAGAGAGAGGCCAAATCAGAAGTTAGCGTTACGGATAATTTAATGTGTTTAGTAAATCTATATTTCTTTAAAAGGAAGAAAGGAAAAAAAGGAAAAAAAGAAAAAAAGAAAAAAAAAGAAAGAAAGAAGAAATTATCCTACAAGATGGAGTTAGTACACATATCAAACTCACGGTCCGAGAATAATAGTTCTCGTGCCAAGCTTATATATTATTTATGTAGCTCCTAATATATATATAAAGGACATTTTAAATCTATGGCTCTATTGAGTCATCCCCTAGAATCATATGCTATCAAAGATCTTGAGATTATATATTATAATCTTCCTTACTTTAAATGATACATATATATATATATATATATATATATATTGGTGGTTTTGAATCTACAAAATCCAATTCATCTTTAACTTATAAGAGCCTCAAATTGAGTGCATTACAATGGTACCCCTTTCTCTTATCGTACTTTCTTTATAGAAATATTAGATATATATATATATGCCCTAGCATAAATGTTTGTATCTATGTATTCCCTTTTCAAAACTAACTCAAACCAAATCAAGGCTCTAAATAGTATAACCGCTGTACATTCCTTGTATTATTAATGGGCGTGCAATCAATGTGGTAAAGTTTAAATTTTGTATTACCGAGCTGCTTGATGGAATAACTAGACAAAAATCGCGCGATACAGCGCAATAGAAATAATTTCTTAACCTCATTCACCCTACAAAAGACATTAGCTATAATGCGAGCTTAGGTTGTTTAGTAGAAAATATTCTTTCCGCTAGATATTTCAATATAAATTACTTAAAACAAAACAAAAATAACAAAAAGAGACCCATCTATCTAGAACTATCTAAAATATTATTCTGTCCATTATCCATAATCGCTTTATTTTACTTTTTTTTTGTTTTCAATAACTCTTGTTAATAATAACAACAGTATACATTTTCAGTATGTGTGTTTTTTATTGAAATATTTATTTATTAATTAATCATATTTAATTATATAACTTCAGCCAATTATCTAGTCTTATAACCAAAAAAAAAAGAACCCTACATCAAGCTGGCGAAATACATATAATATAATAATTATTGCAACATTGAGTTATGAAACTGGAAACTAGATAATTACAACTGTTCTGTGTTTTAAATTCCTAGTATTTGTTTAGCGTAATTAAGTTTTATAATTTAATATATGCATTTTATTTAATTACAATGCACCTAATCTGAGTAAAAAAATAAATGTATGGTGAAACTCAGAGCTTAATACGATGATAATTTATTCTTTCTAGTTTAAATAGCTATTCATTTGATGTGGGTAGATTGAAAGAATTAATCAAGGATAATAATAATAATAATAATAAAAAGGGTCAAAATGGGACTTATCTAACAGAAAATAATAATCTATATCTGTCCACACTGCCTTTTTTTTTCTTTCAAATAAAACATAAAACTTTAATTCAATAATACGGGGTTAAAACTCTAGTCTTTGTTTCATATGCTTAATTTTTTGATCTGTGCACATCAAAAAAAAAGAGTGCGGCAGAATATTTATACTACAATAAACTTATTCCACCACATCAATATACAAGTCTCAAGTGATCGATCAACACAGATAAAGTACTTTTATACTTTTGACTATCACTCATTGGTGTTAAATACCCGATACCATAAAAAGAGCTTGAAAAGTCGGAATAAAAATTCGTGGCATAATTCAACAAGATAGGGTACACAATCGGAAAAGTCAAATTGTATCTTAGGTAGGCTGGTCAACAATAATATTCACTATACTTATTTTATTCCTAACAACTTTACACATAAAAAGAATATATATATATATTGGTAACTATAGATACCATGGAGTAAATAACATATTAAAAAATTGATTTGGCATTGTATCTTCAAATACAATAAAAGAGTCTTAAAATAAGCACACACGCCCAAATATTACAAGTCTAAAATAATAATTGAAGGTCAATAACTGCAGTTAGCCCATTTGTTCATTAACCATGACATGAAATGTACCCGTAATACCTCACGTCATTATTCATACGAACTGGTAAATAGGCTGGAATATTTTTGAAGGATGAATTAAATATTTATTTATTTTTTGCCTTCAAAATATGTCTTCTTCTTTTGAATAGCCAAAAAAAAATACACAAAAGTAATGATTTAATAAGTATAGTGTAATTTTCTACCAATTGCTATTATGAATCCAAATATTACTATCCTAAGAATATTTTCTAGCTATCACATTATATTGGTTTACCGTAAAGACAATGTATTTCTACTTTAAACCTTTATCTGAGAACGAAATTAACTTATTTGATTAAGCATACACGCATGTAGATATGTGTAAATTAATATATGGTGCACTTATAATATTTTGCTATTTCAGATCTGTAATCATCTTCATTATTATTATTTTGCTTGGCAGCATAAAATTTAACTGGTTTTGATAATTATAGAAAACTTATAGCACAAAGCTTTTGTCAATAATTCGAGATATAATATTAATATTACCTGATCCACATTTCTAAAGGCACTTCTGTACTCATTAAAAAATCATTCATAAACACGTATTTATTTATTTTTATTTTTATATAGCTTATTTTAATCAATGTTATAATCAAATAATCAAATACGTTGCATTATTTTTTATTATTTTGCGCACAGACTCATAAACCCAATATATAATAATTACTAGTCCGTAGGCAATGTAGAAGCTAAAAATATACTTTAATTACAATCTACTCTTAATAAAGCTACTATTTTATGTATTATACTCCACTAGTAATATTTTAAGGTACACAAGCAATTACTATTGGAAAATAACGACTACTTGGATGATAGCCCAACAATCATTTATTCTATTGGACTTGCAAACTATAGGAAACGCTCTGCAAACTAATGAAATAATAGCTCAGTACTTTATCAAATAAGTAAGAATATTTTAATAGACGTATTTAAGCATGGAAATAATATCATAGCATATATTCTCTTTTATAAGCAAGCTTTTTTTCCCTCAAAGATATTTTATTATTATTATTATTATTATTATTATTTGCTTATTTGATAAAGTAATTCTTTTTAAAATAAATGTTAACTGATTAATGTGTATATGTATATCGAGTAATTTTTTGTAGAAGAATGGTATGGCTTAAATATAAACGAAATAATAGCTGGCAAACAATAAATAGACCAAGTAATATGTAGTAGAAAGTAGTGCAGCTTTAATCAATAAAATTAACCTTTAGTAAATGCTCCGTGATATTCAAGACCCTCCCAGTATTTGTTTTTTTTATATAATATTGGCCTATATATTCGAATAGACAATACGGAGAATTTTTATATATCAAACTCACATTGTATTTAAAGTTGCGGTAAACTTGTAAAATATTAGGATTTTACGGTTATACATTTATGTCGGCATAAATATATAACCCAATACATATATAAAGACTATTTCTATAAGAAAATCCACAGTGGTTTGTGTAATTAAAATATTCAAGTCAAACCAGAAACACATATTTAAATGAAATAACTTAGAGTATCCACATTGGTTTATTTAAACCTAAAGTTACATTTTTTTATTGCTTGAATGTTTTGTTGAAATAATGAATTTAGATATTCGTTAAGTATTTGTCTAAAAAAATTGGATAAAACATTTTTTAGACAAACCACTGTGGGTGAAAAATCTGAATTTTCTATCTAAATTTACATATTTGGTGAGTTTACCCAAACCGCTATGGATGCTCTAAATAAGTGAAAATCAATATTAGTTATAGGATAATTTAGAAAAATATGCTATTTTCTTTTCTTTTTCATATTTGACCAAGTACAGTAGGCATAAAATTTTTTTTGCGAGCCGTATAAAAAAGAAGTATTCAAAAGAGAATTAAAAAAAATTCAGGGCATTGTGTTCTCCAGCATCCTCAGTGTGTTATCTAAAAAGTCTAGGATCAGTTCAAGGGACAAATATAGGAATGCCAGATATTATTGTGTTAATGAAAAAATAAACAATAATAAATAGTCAATGTTCTGGTGAAAGTTGACCATTTATCTAAGCAAAAGCATAGTAATTACTGAACTGAATCAATCTTTGGAGAGATAATAGAATAATGTAAAGAACAAAAAATACTAAATTCAGCCTCTAAATTGACAAGAGTTATTCTCATTGACAGCATTACAAGTACTTTCAATTCACATTTGCTCTATAACAACTTCTTATTTTCTATCTAATATATAATAAAAGATTAGCCACTCAGACCTAAGTATGCAAAGACTAATAGGTCTGAAAATACAGAGTCTTATGAACCTCTTCATGCTGACATTTCTATTGGTATATATCTTCTTTACTTTGGTACAACTATGGAGATGATATATTAGTATTAAATTAATTCTTACAAAAGTACCATACCAAGAAGACTTTAAATTAGCACGTAACAATATTCAATTACTCCTGGTAATTTTAGAGACTGATTTTTTTTGTTCTTTACATTACTCTATTACCTCTCCAAAAATTGATCCAGCTCAGTAATTAATATGCTTTTGCTTAGATAAATGGTCAACTTTCACCAGAACATTTATTTATTATTGTTTATTTTTTCATTAACACAATAATATCTGGCATTCCTATATTTGTCCCTTGAACTGATCCTAGACTTTTTAGATAACACACTGAGGATGCTGGAGAACACCTTTAGCTATTAAAATATCAAATAGCCACTACGGGAAAAGTAGGGTTTTAAAGGAGGCTTACTGGCGGTTTCTTCCCAAAAACCGCCGGTAAAATTTCCATTTTATCCCTAAGAAAACACGGCAGGTAAAGGCTATGCTCTTAAAAATCACTATCAAAAGTATTATACGTATATAACTTTCTACTTTGCTTAATTGAGAGTGATGTCTTCCAATAGAATATATTAATTGTTACTGAGCATGATATCGTAGTAAAGTATTATAATAAAGCTATTGGATATTCTCCCGTATATATTTGTCGATTGGCTTTAAGATAATCTCTGTCACAGTTGACTCTGCTGCTACTTGATTACAAGTGTCAGAAAGAGAATTTGGCTATTTTACTCTATAAATTATGCTACACTTTACTTTAATCCAATAAAACAGAAATACTATCATTTATGTCAAAAACTTTTTTCGAAATTTTGATTATACCTACCTGTGCATTGATATTCACTTGCTTAATTTTTTTGAAGCTTATTTACGATATATTGATCGAAGCTAAATCGTGAGCACGAACATTTTACAGGTCATCAGAAGCATTGCAAAAACAAGTTGTGTGTAGTCCAAGTCCCACTTGTCAAGCATCATATCCTTTTTACCTATTTTTAGGCAATATCTCAACCTACAGGAGCACTGTAGTGCTTGGATGATTAGATCGATAAGATACACATACATACATATGTATATATGTATGTATTTATATATCTTTCAAATGCTTAAATTTAAGAATTAAATAAAAGGTTAATTTTTAAGGTCACAAACTGCCTGTAAAATAGACTTGTTATTTTTATCTCCTAAAAAGTATCAGCCCACACAATCCAGATTTTAGCAGTTGTTTAAATCAATTATTGATTGTCGATTATTCAAGCATATTACTGAGCTGATAAACTACATACAAGCCGTTGTTCTTTAAAGACAAAGCATGCATTAACAAATATGTATGTATAAAGAATATATATAAAAAAAAGAGGGGGGGGGGGCTTTGTGTAGGACTAGAGCACTATTGTTTAGTGTGTGAACAGTATATGATATTAAGAATATATATATTGCTTTAAATAGAAGTATGTTATAATATACCATTAGGTATTTATATCTCCGAATCGACCGAGGTTCAAACTGATAGTTCTTGATTATACATATACCATGTATATATAGATTGCCAAGAACAACATCAAAAACCTTTGAGATTGACTTATCATTTTGTTCTGAGAAAAACTACCAAGGAAAATCAAAATGCTGATGAACTTATTTGTTTGCTTGTAGAATATTTTTACAGCATTAATGTAGTACACACCCTGCAGCGTTTTTTTTTCTTTTTCTTAAATTATACACTGTTTGTTTGGTTGACTTAAAGTATATCTTTGGACAAATCCTATTGAAGACGTCTTGAATTTGATAGTTGCTCTTTCTTATTCCCTTTACATTCTGGTTTTTCTTACACCCAAATTTTAATTAATAGTATGGGTTTGAAACGGACGGCTTTTATTTTTATCTTATTTTAGTTGCCCTGAGCGTATTAATAAGGTGTATAAATAATGTCATATTCATCTGATAACACAATAGTAAAGAGAAGAATATTGTCGAACATCTTACCGCTCAAGGGGCTTTTATATCACATTAAATAACAGAAACGGGGGCTTTGATAATGGCTAGGCTCGTAGACACCAATCAATCTCAGACTGTACCACAGGTCCTGTTACTCTTTCTATACTTCTCCGATTGTAAACCAATGATTCCGTGAGCCATTTCTCTTGGACCTTCTATTTTGTGGTCCTTGTCCTTTTCTGCTAGTTTAGCTTCCTCTCTTACATTATACAATGCCACCAAACGCAGAGCCAAGGAATGAGAGGCTAGACAACTTAAAATACATCACGGCCCAAGAGCTTCAAGACAGAATTAAACAGGGCGACGCTTTGTTTATCTACGATGCGAAGGTGTACAAAGTTAACCGGTTCATGGCCAACCATCCTGGTGGTGATCTCGCCATTCGCCATTCCTTGGGCAGGGATGTGACAGACGAGATTCGTTCACTGCACCCCCCGGCTGTGTATGAGCGTATGATTCACCATTTTTACGCAGGAGAATATGTACCTGACCTCGAAGTATCCAAAAAAGCTGTCAAGGTGTCCGCCAACACTACTGAGGAAACAATGACGACATCATGGGAAGGTGGAATTAGCGTGAGAGCATTCGATGATGAGATTCAGCAGCTTCATGACCACCACGCAGAAGATCTTTCCAAGGATCAGATCAGTCAAAAGAATCTTGACATGTTGACTATTCGCAAACATTTCCGACACCTCGAACAAGAAATTAAAGATCGAGGATTGTTTGAGTGTAACTACTGGAAATATGGAAAAGAAGTGTGCCGATATCTTTTATTTCTTTACATTTCACTCTGGTTCACTCTCACTGGATCAGAAACTTGGCACTACATGGTCGGTGCTTGCTTTATGGCATTCTTCTGGCACCAACTTGTCTTTACAGCACATGATGCTGGTCACAACGAAATTACTGGGCGCCTGGAAATCGACCATTTGATTGGAGTTCTTATTGCAAACTTCATAGGTGGGCTTAGTCTGGGATGGTGGAAAGACAGCCATAATGTTCATCATATTGTTACCAACCATCCTGAACATGATCCTGATATTCAGCACATGCCATTCATGGCCATCACCACCAAGCTCTTTAACAATCTCTACTCGACATATTACGGTCGTGTAATGAAGTTTGATGCACCTTCGCGTTTCTTTATCAAGTACCAGCATTACCTCTATTATCTCATACTGTCTTTCGGTCGATTCAACCTCCACGTCTTATCATTCACCTACCTCTTCTCCTCAAAGAACGTCCGCAACCGTAAACTTGAACTTACTGGAATCGCGTTCTTTTTTGTTTGGTATGGCGCGTTATTGTCTACCTTGCCTAGTTGGGGTGTGGTGTTTGCCTACATTATGGTCTCCTACATGTTGACCTTCCCTCTTCACGTTCAGATAACACTCTCACACTTTGGTATGTCGACATATGACGGTGGACCAAACGAGTCTTTTGCGGCAAAGATGCTGCGTACCACCATGGATGTGGATTGCCCAGAGTGGCTTGATTGGTTCCACGGTGGTCTTCAATACCAAGCAGTCCATCATCTCTTCCCTCGCATACCAAGACACAATCTTCGCTTGTGTGTTCCTCTGGTGAAGGAATTTTGTAAAGAGACGGGTCTCCATTATTACATGTACAACTTTTCTACTGGAAATGGTGTTATCTTGGGTGCACTAAAGTCTGTTGCTGACCAAGTTGTACTTATGAACGATGTTGCCAAATACAATGCTGGTGTGTGGAACAGTGAAAAGTCTGTAAATTAAAATAAATCATAAAATACAAAAACAAAGGGGTTGTAACCGTATAGTGAAAATGTTCAAGTCAAAAACAAAAATAAAAATTGAATATTAAAACAGTTTTGTTTTATTTGCAAATGTGATTATTATTGTTTTTAAATTAATGATTGAAAATGAAGTTCGTAATTTATTTTGTGTATAACTACCTATGATAATATGTTGTACATATAGGTACGTAAAAAAAAGGATAAAGAAAATTGAAATGATAAATAGAAAAACACAGTTTACAATGATGAGATGTAAAAATTTTGCTTATAAGCCATAAACAAAAGCAAAGAGGAAAATGGAGTATGAGAAGGAATTCTGGATCATGACATGTACAGGGAAGACTTTTTTTTTGCAATGAGAATGATTTAGTCTCTACCACGGAAACCACCACGTCCGCCACGGCCACGGCCACCACGGAAGTCACCACGTCCACCACCGCGACCACCGCGGAAGTCACCACGGCCACCACGTCCACCACGGCCACCACGGCTTCCACCAGCACGGGGAGCATCGGATCCACCGCTGAAGTCAGTGCGGAGGGGACGACCACAGACGGAGACACCAGCCATACCCTTGACAGCAGCCTCGGCCTCGTTCTCGGAAGAGAACTGGATGTAACCAATACCACGGAGACCACCAGTCTCTCTGTTGAAGGGAAGACCGATATCACCAACGATGGTACCGAACTTGGCGAAAGCATCGTTGAGGGCCTCACGCAACTCACTCTCTTCCATCTCGCGGTTGATGTTGGCAATGAAAACCTTGTCGGTCTTGGCGCTGAGGGCACCTTCGTTGAAGCGACCAGCAGGGCGGCTGGACTCGTCGACACGGAGGGAACGGCCCATGTGCTCGGACTCGTTCATGTTGAGGGCAGCCTGGTGAGCGGCCTTGTCGTTGAAGTCAATGTGGGCGAAACCTCTGCTCTTGCCGGTGTCGTTGTCCATTCTCAGGCGAACGTCGACGATAGAACCGCACTCGGCGAAGTGGCTACGGAGATCATCAGCAGTGGCAGCGTAGTTGAGACCACCGACCCAGATAGTGTAGATCTCTTCAACCTTGGCAACCTTGGCAACGGGCTCCTCCTCGGACTCCTCGGCGCTACGCTTGTTAGACTTAACCTCTTCCTCGGATTCAGACTCGGAAGCAGACTTGGTCTCCTCCTCCTCAGACTCGGACTCGGAAGCAGACTTGGACTCTTCTTCCTCAGACTCGGAAGATGAAGAGGACTCCTCTTCCTTGGCAGCAGCAGCAGCGGCGGCGGCGGCAGCGGCGGCGGCAGCAGCTTCTTCTTCGGCCTTCTTGGCAGCCTTCTCAGCCTTCTTGGCAGCCTTATCGGCCTTCTTGGCAGACTTATCGACCTTCTCGACGTTGTCAGACTTGCTGATCTTCTGGGTAGCAGATTTGGCCATTTGAATTATTTTTTTAGAAGAAAAAAGGGGTTATGAAACAAGAGGTTGCCATTGATCCCCCGCCTTTTAACAATAAAAAAATTTCGTTCAGCAAGAGGTCCGCCTCTGTGACTATCCGATGAAAAGCAGTTCGTACCTTACTAAGCCCCTAATAAGACTGCGGGGTCCAACTAGAAAAGACAAAGTAGTTTAAATGCCATGCTCTCAATTGGTCCGCAAAATAGGTTTCTCAACCTTTTGTATGCTTATCACACCGATCCATCGCGCTTGGAAAAGATTTTTTTTTTAAAAAAAAAAGAAAAAAAAACTCTTCCTTGCATTAAAGACCAGTCGAACTCGATGGGATATGGTATTGCCATCTAAGCTCATCAATACATTAGTACGGTTTTACAAATTAAATAGCCTATGGAATATGAATACATTGTTCTTATTATTTTCTGAAGTTTAATCCAATAGACTAATTCTTATTTTTATTGAGCAATTGGACTGTCAAGAAGTATATCTTATTCTTTAAACATTATAAATTGATACAATCAATAAAAAAAAAAGAAGTAGAAAAAATAAACAGCCTAACTTCTTTGTATCTTTTTTTTCTTGTTTCAAAATGTATGGCCTTTTGGTATATAATTCATATTTGAATCTCATGGTTTTGTGCAAAAAGAAGGCATTTTCTTATTATTTTCTGTAATTCAATTTATAATGGTTTAATCTTAGGGCAAGAAAATTGAAACAATATTTGTTATGAGACTTTTATTAATTACTACTACTATTGTTAGTATTTACATCATTCTAGAGATAATTACTTATGTACATACTTTCTAGTTAAAATGATATTAAGTATGTGCTGTTCAGTTTTTCAATTGGAATCACAATTGACAATATTCACTATAAGAAGAGCAGATGTAATAAAAAAAAAGGTATCATTTTTTGTATTACCTTTATCTGTAACACAATCTACATTTGACAGCAATGTATTGGATAAGCAACCCCAAGTTTAAAAGTCATTATGTTTCAGTAAAATAAAGAAGACAAAGAAAACAAAAAAAAAATCAAAAAAAAACTTCTTGGCCATTGATTAGTATTATATTTTGTGCATTGTATGTTCACGCATTGATTAAACTAGAAATGATGGCAAGCAAGAATAATAATAGATTGTCTAATTCACCATTTTACACATGAAATAATAAAAACATCGTAGCTCGAATATGAATGCGATACGTAGAGTTACTTGGATGTACTTCTTTATAATAGTAGGCTTTACATATTTATATCTAACATGTATGTTTAATGAATATTTCTTCAGACGAAGAATTTAAAGGTTGTGTACAAGCCTAAGAAATTAATAATAAAAATAAAATAAAACAAAAACTTTGCACGACAAGAAGTATACGACTGCTTATCGTGGACTGCGCATGTTGTATGATGATTATGAATAAAATCAAAGTAAATATCTTGTTGTATCTTTACTCATTTGTTCAAAACACACCACACGGAATTTTTCTTATGTGAAATACCCCACTACTTTACAGCACTTAAAGAATTCCTTTGATATTAGTAAACATATTTAGATATCTTATTGCTCTGTACCTTATTTAACAGAAAGAAGTTATCCTAAAGAACACAACACATATCCATTCAAGTCTATCTTGTGAAAAACTAAAAGCTAAAAAAAATACTTTGGTTGATGTAGAGGATACGCCTTTAACTTGTATTTTCTCTTTAAATGTAAACTTATATAACGAATACGGGTTTTATTATGTACGATTCTAATGACACTGCTACTGCTATTGTTACTTTTACTGCTTTAGTCGCATCATTTTTAAATAAATAAAATATATATATATATAAAGTTTTATTTTATCAGGCGACGATCCTTCCAAAAGGGCAAGCTAATCAGTGTCAGTGTTCTTTCGTACTCCATTCCAAAAGGGCAAGCTCATTTAATAAAGCTCTCTATTAGCCAATACTTTTAGAATTTGGGTGATACACATATATCTCTTAATATTAAATATATATTTTCTTGGGTCCATTTTTATTTATTTATTTATTTATTTTTCCCTTCTTTCCAACATTAGAAATAAATGAGTAAACTGTGGGCACGGCCAAGTCGAGTTCATTTGATACAGTTGATTCATGGTTTCAACTCTCTCATATCGATTGTATGGGCAGGGATATTAATCGGAGCCGCTACCAAGATAAACTTATTCACGACAACCGCCGCTGCCTTAAGTGGTCTTGGTGAGTCCCAAAAAAAAGAGGGGGAAAAAGGGGAAGACTCTAAACCTGAGACAAGAGTTTGTACATTAAGCTCTTGTTCCGAATAGAAATATGTATAGGCATGTATTCATTCTAAATTTGCAAGAGTAGGAAACTATAGTGGATTCGCTTACCCGGCTACCTTTGTCTACATGCTGGTTCCTGCAGTGTGTTCAGTCGTATTAAGTTTGATCCTCGCCTTTGATCCCAGCCCAGGGTATACATTTTGGAAGCCATCAAAGACATTAACGGTTACTATTGGGTGCTTTGGAATCGCATCCTTGATGTCGGCCTTGTTGCCTCTAGTGCCTGGCGCGGATGTGATAACAACCCCAGATTCAGCTTTAGATTGTACTTGGACCAATTACATGACATGGAAGGTTATCTTTGGAAACATAGGAGCGTTTCCTTGGGTGTCGGCTATGGACACCGCTTGTTCCTGTTTTCATGCAGCCGATATATTTGCTTGGATAATTGGGTTTGTCTGGCTTGGGCTCACTGGTCTTTATTGTTATCGAATTCGCACAGCCATAAATTATGTTTCCAATTCTGGCAAAACTGAAGCACCCTTTGACTCCAAATCAACTGCATGGCCTATGGCAACTCTCACTTCTCCTACAAATGACAGCACAAAGTATGAAGTTCCTGACAAATACTGAGCAAAGGTCCACAGAGACAAATTCCATAGAATCAACATCCTTACATATATATCTATATACATTATCATCTTACTATATTTAAATCTCTCACTCTTACATTTTTACACTTTTACATGCTGTCCTAAAGTTAAAGCTAAACTCACCCCCAAAGAAAACCTATTTACCATTACATTATATATTCTTATAAACTCTCCCCTCTTTTGTTCAGCAGTTGTAATAACAATTGTATAAAATTCGATGATCATATCCTACTTTATCCCTTGCGCCTTTTTTTTTTGCTTTGTTTTTGATTATAGATACATATATACTATATTGATCTACAATAGTACCTGCTTTATACCGAGAACCTTTATAATCTTTTAAAGTCTTGCGGTTTCTTGATAATATCCATGTATTTATTGGTATGAGCGAAACTGAGAATAATTTACACTGTCTATCTGTATACTGTCAAAGCAAATAACTTTTTTTTTAAAAAAAATAAAAAAATAAAATAAATCACGGTTTTTAGCATAGAAATTGCGACTGGCAAAAAAGCTGTATTTTACAGGGCTTTTTATTGGCTCCAGTACAAAAATCCGATCCATCTAATCAGTTTCACACCTAATTTTTTTTTTAAAGAGAACCCGCAGACCATGTTTTCCACCCGAGTCCTCTCTTCATCTTTTAAGCGTAACATGTCTTCCCTCACCCGTGTCGGTAAGAACCCTTTTGTCAATAGCAAACTGGAATAAAGCTAATAACAAACAATTGTAGAAACCACCAACGCCCCTGCTGCCATTGGCCCCTATGGTAATTGGCATTCTTTTTTTTTCTTTTTCTTTTAATTTTTTTCTCACGCGCGCTAATCTCATTTGACATGTCGCGACATCACCCTTAAACATTTTCTTTATAAACATAACCATAAACATATGAATATTGATATTCTTGTTTTCTACAGCCCAGGCTATCAAGGCCAACAACATGGTCTACACCTCTGGTCAGATTGGTTTCATCCCTGCCACTGGTAAGTACAGGAAATATTAAATATATGTATATAATAAAAACGTTCAAGTGAACTCCCGACTTTTATATATATATATGCATTTTTCGGCTATATTAATGTGTCTCTATTTTGTGGTATTCTAGGTGAGATCGTTGAGGGTGGTGTCGTTGCACAGACCGAACAGACCTTGAAGAACTTGTCTGCAGTTCTTGAGGCTGCTGGCTCTAGCCTCGAGAAGGTTGTCAAGACCACCGTCTTCATGAGAGACATGAACGACTTTGTTGCCATGAACGAGGTCTACGCCAAGGTAAGATAGCATCTGTTTTCTTTTTTTTTTCATTGGTATTAATGTTCTTTGTTCTTTGTTTTTTATATATTTCTTAGTACTTTGCCAAGCACCAGCCTGCTCGTAGTGCTGTCCAGGTTGCTCGTCTTCCCAAGGATGCTGCCGTCGAAATCGAGGCCGTTGCCATGCTCGAATGAGAATTAACCAACGCACACCCTGTTCAGTTTATTAAACAAAAGCTTTAAGGGAAAATAAGAATATTGTGTGTGTGTTATATAATCGCGAAGCCAATTAGCCAATAAATCAATAAATTAATCAATCAATAAAATATGTATATATTTTCTTTTGGACTTATTAGAGTTCTCGTTGAATTTGCGGATATTAATTGCTACCTTGTGAGAAGGAGTGTGTGTGTGTGTGCGTGTGTGTGTACATATATTTTGATTTATTGCTATAGTTTGCATTACATAACGGTACATTTAGAAGAGTCCTTCTTTACATTATCAAGTTCGTCTAATCTCTTTTGAGCATCTTTTCCAATCGCGCCACCTTTCACAATAGCCTTTTCCAACAGAGCACGTGCTTCATCAAGATCCTTTTTCACGCCACATCCTTCAATGTACATGCCTGCCAAGTTTATCTGTGCCAACTGAAACCCTTGCATGGCTGCCATCCTAAAGAATTCTGCTGCATTGAAAGGGTTGGACTCTACTCCATGGCCTTTTAAGAATCGCAGTCCAACATTGTATTGTGCTTCAGGTAAACCTGTATGTATGTGTGTGTGCATATATGTGTGTAAATGAAATCATTGTATTTTATATTTTATTTATACTTATATTTATATTTTGTTCAGTAAATTACATTATTGTTAGTATATATATATATATATATATATATATATATATATATAGATATATAGATAAAAAGAATAGGCATAATAGAAAGCTAAAGAATAGTCTAATTTCTATATACTTTTTTTGTTTGTTTATTTACCTTTGAGTGCTGCTTTTTGGAAGCATTTGAATGCCTTTGCCTGGTCAGGTTCTTTACTTTCCACTCCCAGTCCAGACGAATAATAGACACCCAGCATAAAGTTGCATTGAGGATTTCCTGTGCAGAAAGTTTGTATGATTGTTTTATTATTATTATTATTATTTAATTTATTTATTTAATATTTTAAAATATATCAATTAGTATACCAGATATAAATATATATACATTATATACATTATATTCTTACCTGCTTGAGCACCCTTTTTGAAATAATCAATGGCCGTGTTGTGATCTTGATGAACACCATACCCTAAACGATACATTCTTCCAAGTTCCATGTACGCACTGTCCAAACCTCCCTTTGCTGCAAGAGAATAAAGTTTAATAGCTGATTCAACCTTATCTGGCTGTGTTCTCATCAAAATTGCAGCCAAATTCATTTGAGCATAAGGGTGTCCCTTTTGTGCCAATTTTGACATAATTTCGATTGCTTTCATTTCATCTTTTGGTGTTCCATTGTAACCTTTGTAAACACATATACAGAAATACAGAATAAAAAATAATAATATTATAGATATAGATATATATATATATATATATCACATTTATAACTGTTTTGTTATCATTACTATCTTATCATTTATTTGCTTACCTCTGTAGAGCATATTTGCATAACTGAATGCACCTCTGTCATCACCTTGCGTCATGGAGCATTTGTACAACGCGAGACCTATGGGTGCACCGACTGTCTATCATGTAAGCAAGCACAAGGGGGGGAGAAAAGAACAACAAAGAGCAGCAGAAGACGCTGATATTCAAATATAATGACGACGTACATTTTGAGCTGCGCAAGATGATGTTTCCTAGGGCTGCCAATTCAGATGGTTTTTCTGCCACTGTAACAAGAATGATGATATTCGGTAATGATAATTATAACATTTATAACAATAACAATACTAGTAATTAGTAATGATACAGATATGTTACAGATAGGAGGTTATTTGATTTATATATCTATGTGTGTGTGTGCGATCTGATTCACCTTGTTTGGAATTTTTAATAACTTACATGCAATGATTTCTTTGGACTGCTCGTCCGTGAGTTCCTTATCGGCTTTAAGATTCTCGAGAATTATGGACACAATCTTCTTTTGGTTTTCAATAGGAATACCAATGTACTTTTTCTTGATAAACGTCTCAAGCTGTTCATCTGAAGGAAATAAATCTTATATTTCGGTAGATATTAATATTAATTTAGTATGTTAATTAATTAATACGCATATAGATATGTATATATATTTACCCTTCACAGCTACGCGAGCCAGCATTTCTGCTAGAGTCTGGACTGGTTCTGGTTCACTAACACAGTAGTATGTTATTGGTACTCCCATATATATATATGTATATATTGTGTGTGTGTATATAGATTTTATATATTATATATTTATAGAATATCGTTGGTTACGTCTTGTTGTTTATAGAATCCAAAAATGGCTCGAAAATGTCACTGGCTGACTGGTTCATTCGACCACGCCCAGTTGATTTTTGTGTGGCATGACTGGTGAGTGACCGATGAGCAACGCTAGGAATGATAGTTCTGAATGTCGTTCTGGGTCTAATGACACGTGGTTTGTAATGAGCAATGCAACGCTGGGCTGAACGCGAGGTTGACATTAGAGAAAAGGAGGTAATAGTTTCTAACAAGTGACCTTGAATTTTTGTTTGATTTTATTTTTATTTATTTTGTTTGATTTTATTATATATTTTTTATAGTTTTATTTTGTGTTTTAATATAAATTTATTGGTGTAATTCTTTGTACAAAAAATAAAATAAAATGGCTATCTTACTTTACTCTATTTTTGATTTTCTTTTTCTTTTTCTTCTCTTTAAGCTCAAAGTGGGGTAGTGAAAAGGAGGATGATAATTGGAATAGAGGAGCTGAGAGAGATAGAGAGATAGAGAGATAGAGATAGAGGGATGGGGATGGGGGGAGGAGGACAATGGTGATGGTGAGGAGGCTGAGAGAAAGAGATAGAGACAGAAGAGAGGGGAAAGGGGAGGAGGAGGGGTGGAGTTGAAATTGACCCCGCCATTGTTCATCACAAATAAGTTTGACGAATAGGTACAAGATGTTCAAGACGCTTTAACAGTCTAATTTGGTAACCATGACAACAATTTGTTACCACAGCAACTAATTGCTACCATGGAATCGGTATTTATTTTTACTTTGAATATATAAATATATATATATATATAAAAGAATAATCTTTATATACGTTCTATATGCATAAACCCTTTATGTTTTATGTTTTATGTTTTGTATATTGAATTGGTTTTTCTTCTTCTTCTTATTCTTATTGTTAGTATTAGTATTAGAAAAAGAGGAATAAGAAGAATAAAAAGGAATAAAAAGGAATAAATCATAATAGTATATACACACAGAGAGAGAGAGAGAGGTATATATATATATATATATATATGTATGTATTTTATATATTATTATCAAAGGGGATCATCTTGACTTGGCATGTATGACGTCTATGCCCAATGTTACATTCCCTACTTACTGCGAACACCGGTCCCTTTTCTCCTTCTCTTTCTTTTCTTTATTTATTTTATTTTCTTTTCACTTCACCACTCGCCTTCCGTTCCTTCTCACAACTCTCTTTTTTCTCTCTTTATTTCTTCTTTTATAAGAATCTATACGCCACCTATTCTTTTATTTTACCTTACCTTGTTTTATTTTCTGTGTCCTTTTATATATATATCTTTGTATATTCTACATTCTACATTCTCAATTCTCATTTACCATTACACTTCAAGCCAGTGTAAACAACAATCGACTAGGGCCTGGCTTACATGAAGCAGTAGATGAATCCCGAGAAGATTATCTAGGTACTGCTCAACCACGTGTATAAATAAATTACCGTTACTATGGTAACACCCGCCTCTATGGAGCAGCTGTCTTTTGGGGATTCTGAAGCGACACATTGCACTTCTTGGGCAATGTTAAGTACAGCAGGTAAACAGACAAAAAATTCAATATATACATATATATATTACTTGTAATGAATAGAGACAATTAACTATATAAAATATATGTATATGTATATGTATATAAACTTCTTTTTTTTTCTCTTCTCCTTTATTTTACAATTTAATTAACAAAATAGAACCCCAAGGAAAGAACAATATTAAAGAACACTATAACTGTATTCGACCAACAAATGATTGCTTTGATTTTGAATATTTTGATACAATGCCTATGAATTATCTTGATACTGAACCTGACAATGATAGTCAGGTATTTCGGTTTCCTAAAGTAAGTTTAAATTTTGGTTTTGATGCCGAAAATGTTGGTTTTCGTTGTCTGCTTGTATATAAGAAATCTTTTTTTTTTTATTAAATTGCCCACTACTATTTTTTCTTTCTTTCTATTGTTATATATATATATATATAAAGTTAAATTCGTCTCAGTCAACACCAACTCGACCATCGAGTGCAATGTCCGGACGATCCGACACATCTTTGTCTGAGCAAGACGCAGAAGGACAATCCCGGTTCCTAAATGAGATTGGAAAGGCACGAGAGCAGCTGATGCGATTTCGGAATGAAATGGATGGCCTAGCTAAACAAATGGACGGCATTGAGATTGATTTGGTAAGTAGTTTCTGTTTTTATTTAATTATTTATTATATAAATAATAATATCCAGAGACTAATTTTTTTTTAAAAAAAAAATCACCATCATTATTATAGAGAGATTCAAAAAACAGAGTGTGTAGGTAGCACAGAAGATTGAACAAATGAAAACTACAAAAAAAAAGGAAAAAGAATGAAACAGCTGACGACTGACGCCACTTACTGATTTTGTATGCAGTAGAAATTGAAGAAGATCTTACTACCACCCAAGAAGTCAATGTCAATCTCCAAGTCATTCTCGAAAGAGCCGTCTCAAGGCAGAAAGAGACTGATGTTTCTGCAACCCGTACCATGAAACACATTCATGCTGACTTGGCTAGTGTATGTTGTATTTTATTTTATTTTAAAAAAATTATTGGGTGATATTTATTTATAATTATTTTAAAATAAAATAAAATCACAGGTTGTCCAACAGAATAGTCAACTTCAGGGAAGATTGGCCACAATTGCCAGTTACCAGCGTGAATATCAAGGAAATGCCACTGATGTGGTGGAAAGGATGCGAGAATATGCAGAAATGCTTGAGCAGGCTCAAGGCACCATCCAAATGCTCCAATTTCCTCGAATTCGATCCGGAATGCCCGAGGATATGATCATTGAGCTCGCAGTACAAAACACATTAGGAACACGGCGTTTGAGCGAAACATCCGACACGAGCACATTAAATAATGAGCTAGAATCCGATCGAATGATTAAAGACAACCATAGTCATCATCACCCCCTCAACCTCGGCCTTGACCTTGACCTCGACCTTGACCACAGCCTCAACCACAACCACAATGTCGACCTCAACCTTAACCTCAACCTCAACCACAATCTTAACCACAATCTTAACCTCAACCTCAACCACAGCCGTCAAACTGTGGTATCTCCTGACACAACCGAACTATACCGTCATCGGATAATCCGTAAACGCACATCATTACCCGGGCGATCTCTGGGTGGCCCATCTCTTTCTTTAGCACTTCCTCCTCAACCAATACCTCTGTCAAAACCCATGAGTCTTCCTTCTCGTCTATTACCCCAACAAGGTCTAAAACTGCTATTGAATAAATCCCAAGGCGGTCTGGGTGGACTTGGCGGACTGACATAAATATATTATTGCTTTACTTATTCCATACTTACTTTTTACTATTCTTCTTCTTTTTCTACTTCCTTAAGCTTACCTTTTTCTTATACAAATTTCTCTTCTCCTTTTTTTTTTCTTTCCTTATCTTTGTTTGCATTGTACTTGAATAAACCACAATTTTATACATACATATGTACATACATACATCTAATTATTTATATATGTATACAAGTACAAGATATACATGTACATGTACATGTACATATAAAGTAATGTTCATTCTAATTGAATTCATAAAAATGGCTTAGTTTCTGGGTAGCACACAAAGACTATGTGTGCTGTCATCACCGGAATCTCATGGTTCTTCCGAGAGTATAAAACTAGAATGTAAGCCCTTTTCTTTTTTTTTCTTGCTCTGCTCTTTTATTTTATTTTTATTATATTTCAATTTCTATCAGTTCATTATACCACCGACGTCAGATCAGCCAAAAGAAATAAATTTATATACTCAAAAGACCTTTGCTGAGCCTGAGCCATCAACAACTACTTGGCATACAAATTAAAATAAGAAAATAAAATATAAACTCTTGTCATGACACTGCAGACACAACCTCAGATGCTCTTGGGAGCTTTTATTCTCGTTCTTGATCTCTTCTCGCTCTATGGTACGGTCAGATCATCATCCTCGATATCCACAAAGCTATTCTGGTTCATGGCTATCACATTATTCCCAATCAGCGGTCTATTCTTCTGCCTACCGCTGCTAATGGTTGGATTGATTTTTGTCAATGGATCCTTTGCAAACACAGCCTCATGTTCGGCAACACCACTATCTGTTTTCTTTTCTTCTTGTTCATAATATAAATATAAATATATCAATTTTTTTTATTGTTATTTTTTTAAGGAAAAAAAATGATTAATTTAATTACAATTAGTATGAATATGAATATGAATATTAATATTAATATGAATAGCACTGTGATTATTGTTTTATATATAAATATATAAATATATATTATATTATATCCACAATTTATGGGGTAGACTGAACGTAAACTAATATACACTTGTATCATGTGAAGAGTGCAAATAAATAAATAAATAAATAAATAAATAAATAAAAATGATTTCCCATTGATCTATATTGTACATTTTAATTCTCTCTTGTCAAGAAATGGGCGTTTTATTCCGCTGGGAATTTCCTTTTTTTTTTTTTTTTTTTTTACACAGATCATTTGTTACCAAGGCAAATTCACCGTCCACAATAGATTCATATATATTATATAATATAAATGTAGATATGTAGATATGTATATCACTCTTTTCTTTTAAAATGTACTAGTTTTCATATCAGTTCATATCAGTTCAGTTCAATTCAATTGGGTTCAATTGGGTTCAATTGGGTTCAATTGGGCTCAATTTAGCTCACAATACTGTCCAATATAAAGAAAAGTTCCCAGGACAACAACAACAAAAAACAACGGGAATATATATATATATATAAAAAGAGGGGTTCTTTGTTTCTTCTTTCTTGTTTAGCCAAATGTGAGATATTACGGTTCTAATTCTATAAATGGACATGACCGGATCATAAAAAGAGGGGTGGGGAAGGAGACACTAACTCTTGAGTGCGTGCGTACGAGCGTTCGTTCGTGCGTGCGTGCGTGCGTTTGTGTGGGGAAAGAATAATGATGATGATGATAATAATAATAATAGATGGTCAAAGTGTAAAATAGTGTATAAAATTATACGCACTTTAACCAGAAACAGAATGAGCTATAGATAAAGAAGAACGTCTCTAAAGGGTTGGGACACTATGCTTTGTGAATTGGAGACAGTTGCAGACTATTAAATTGTATATAAAAAGTTACATCTGTACATATAAAACTAAAAGAGGGGGAAAAAAAGGGGGGGGATTCAAATTGAACCTTTTAAGCTTTAGGTTTTTCAGTATAGTTCCCGTTGTCATTTATTTTTCTCGTATTACATGGTTAGCACCCATATGTACTCTATATATATATATATATATTACCCTTTATTCTATTGGGAGTGTGAGCCTTCATTTGATCGTACCAAAGTAAAATGATCAAATACATTTGTGTGCTAATAATCAATAGAACAAATATATCAAACTAGGCCACTTATGCCTTTAAACTTTTTTCTTTTCTTTTTCTTTTATGTCATGTCTGTTACCCGCCCAATATTTGTCTTTAGTGTCTGACTAGATTGAATTGAATTGAATTAAAATGGTAGGCATTAATGTATAAATGCAAAACAGCCAAGATATTTTTGTAGGCTACATAAGTATTATTATTATCAGTCTTTGATACAAGGAGAAAAAAATCAAACGTGTCAAGGCATGAAACAAAAAAAAAACAAAAACAAAAAAAAAAGAAAATGGCTTTGTCTAGACCAGATCTTTTAATATTCTCAATAATCTATCTCTATGCAAAACCTGGCATAATTTGAGAAAATAAGGGTCAAATTCAAGTTAATTATTATAAATATTTTAACCATATACCACACTAAATACATACATATACATATATATATATATCTTTGTCATTACTATGAATCCAATCCAATTCAATTCAATTCAGTTCAGTTCTATAAAGCAATTCCCCAAAATAACAGCGGAAACAAAATTAAACACGAACCGACAAACCCAACCCATAAGAAGCCAACCAAAGAGTCTATCAAAGCACAAAGAGAAAAATATATATAGCTCAACATATGTCTAATTACACACTCCGCCATTCCTTTCAAAGCAGAAAAAAAAACTTATCGCAAAACCTTTATACTACACTACACTACACTACATTGCATAAATCATACGCACACGCATACATACATACATACATACATACATACATACATACATATATACACATAATACTTTTATTCAATGCCGTCCTATATAACAGACGCTAATCTCAACAGCTATGAGCTGGCCTTTTGTGGAGGACTAGCCGGTGTGGTATCAAGGTAAAGAATGACAGATAGAATATTCACAATTAACATCTTTCAAACCAAAACAAAAAAAAAAAAGAAAGTTAATAATATGATTCAAAACTTACTTGTGTGTATAAACATATAAATATAAATATAATAAATATAATAATATTATGAACATACATATCTATACACATATAAATTAAAAACACAAAGATTCTTTATTGCTCCATTGGATGTCATCAAGATCCGGATGCAATTACAAACTCATCGAACAGAATTTGGATTGCAAGGGAGTAAGATACTGGAATCTAATGTCAAATACACGAGTATGACCCAAACAATGAAGAAGATTGCAAAAGAGGAAGGTATCAGGGGGCTCTACAAGGGGAATGTACCAGCCGAATATCTCTATTTATCCTACAGTGCGGTTGAATTTTGGGCGTACAAGGAGTTGGAGATGGCATTAGAAACCATGGTAAGGATTTTATCCTTTTGTTGTTTGTTTGTTTGTTAGTGTCACTTTATAAGAGTACATATTTTGTGCATTAAAGACAGAAAGAAAGGGATTCTTCTATCATTTAATCTAATATTTTCTTGTTTCTTCTTTTTCTCAATCCCCTAGGATCACAAGAAGCAAATCCCACATGTAGCCAAGACGTTTTTATGTGGTATGGCTGCAGGAAGTGTAGCAACCATGGCCACCTATCCATTTGATCTCTTGAGAACGCGATTTGCAATGGAAGACTCTAGAAAGGTAAAGTTTTTTTTGGATATATGATTAATTGTTTAAATAATAAGAAGAAGAAAATTAACTCTTTTCTTTCTTTGGCTATTCTGTGCTGTGAATAATAATGGCTTAAATACAACAGCACATCAGCCTCGTCAGTGCGATCAAGAAAATATATAACACTGAAGGCAAACGAGGATTCTATCGTGGTGTGGGACCTACATTGGTCCAGATTATGCCCTATATGGGATTAGTATTCTCGAGTTACGACGCATTGGCAGCAGGCTTCAAAAAGATGAGAGTAAGGTCCCAAACAATAATGATTTAAGAAAAAAGAAGAATGGTATTAAAATAATAATAACATTGTAGGAACAAGGCTTAATCGATCCAGATTACAAACCACTACAGGATATGTTGAGTGGTGCTCTTTCAAGTGTCATTGGCAAAACGGCTGTATATCCTATGGATGTTGTGCGGAAACGAATGCAGGCTCAGACATTTCCTTCTGTGGGTGTGTCGTGGTGGACCTGCCTCCAACAGATTGTGCAGAAAGAAGGGTACAGCAGTCTTTACAAAGGTCTTACTCCCTCACTTGTTAAAGTGGCACCTGCAGTGTCGCTGACGTTTTTGGTGTTTGAAGAAAGCAAAAAAGGAATGTTGTGGCTGAAGGATCACGAATGATAATATGTGCAATTTCATGAAGAAGGGGTGGGTAATATACATTTCACACACACGCACAAAATATATATGTATGTAGGTAGGTAGGTATCTGCATATGTATATATGTGTATATGTGTATATGTGTATATGTGTATGTATAGATAAATAGATATATAGACGTATGTACTGTGATCTTTCTTTCATTTTTGTGTGACACATTTGTGGCTCAATTTTTTGGAGGTAAAGATTAAAAAGACTCAAAAAGAATTTGTACACGCACAAATATAAATATATATATATATATATAAAAGCAAAAAGACAAGAAACCCGTCAACTCCGCGCCAATTCACAGTAGTATTCTATTTTATTTAATCTCTTAGATCAAGAATGAAGAGACTCAATGGCCTATATACATGTATTATATTATTCTTCAAGAGATCGTATATAGTAATTTAAAGAAAGGCACGTTTTTTCTTGGTGTTTTAATGATGAAAATAAACACGGCATGTAATATGGATTTTATGGCATGAGTAAGATATGGGCGCATACAGATCAAGAGATAGGATTTTGCTTGAAAGATCGAACATTGCATTTTGTTCTGTTTGAATAAGAATCATCTTGTGAATAAATCAATGGCAATAACTCGGCTTTGGTTTTCCAAGACAAGCTACCATATCGCCAACCATTACGAATCACCTCGAAAAAGAAGAAGATGTATTCAACCTTGATTTCTTTGGCTTCTCTATAGACACACTCTTCTACAAACCATATCCATAGCAACGCTTTGCAAAAGAAAAGAAAATAAGATTAAAAATATTGAAAGACTTGCTGTAGATGTCGGATATTTAACTTGACCAATCCTTTCAAACAGAACACTGCAATCCAAAATAGTCCATTACCTTTTTACACGTTTCGATCTTTACCATTTTCCTTTCTCTCTTTCTCTCTTTCCTTCTTATTGCATTTTACTATCTTCATTTAATACACGCTTACATACATCTATTCTTATATTCAACACTATTGGATATACACAATCTATATCCCACTTTATTTCCAAAGAAATAATAATATCCATTTCTATATCTCTATCTCTATTATATAAACGGTTAATAGTATTTACCGGCAGTACAACATACACACACACACAGAGAGAACCTAGCAGAAGTACATCAATTTTCTTCAGCCAAAGAAAATATAACGAAAAGACCGAAGAATCCATAGTTGATTATTTTTTGCAAAGAAAATATACCCCTTCTATCACCAACCTTCTACTAAACAGCAAGAAAACCAAAAAGAAAAAAAAGTAATGATATTATATAGACGAATACAAAGAAGAAGAGAAGTTTAATATTAATATTAATATCATTAATAAGAAAAAGAATAAATAAATAAATAAAAAAGTAACAAAAAAATACGCAACTAAACTGATCATCTTCTTCATTCTTTTGAATCTCTTCTTCCTTTTATCCTGTTATTTGCGGGGGATTTTTTTTATTGTTATTATTATAGACTCTACAATCGTCTCATTCACATCATGGCGGTATGTTGTGTTTCTATCTTGGGTTATTCTACACGGGATGAGCATATTCTCATGAACACTATCATTGACTGACTTGATTGCACAGGACCATCAAGACACCAAGATGAGGGAGCTGCACGCTCTGATCGAGCGCAACAAAACAATGCGAGATAAGGCGAGTCAGATGCGCCCACTTCTCAGGGACCGCAACGCCATATCACAGTGTGAAACCGAGATCAAAGAATACCAAAAGTATATCGATTACTTTTCCGAAGAACTTCAACGTCTTCAAGCACGCACTAGCCAATCATTCTCTCAGCGCTCAAACTCAGACGAAGGGAACGAGAATACACATGGCCTCGAAACGCCTGTCAACAACACACGAGGTGTCGCATCAACATCCAATACGACTACCTCGGGTCAACTGCAGACCTCAAGAGGTGTTCCTCCTCGCTCAAGCAGCATGGCCACCATGCCAAAAGAAGAGACCGAGAAAAAGAAATATAGTAACCTAGGTAAAGTATACAGCGATACTATATTTCCTTTATTATTATTGCTATTGCTATTATTACCATTGGCAAGTTAAACAATAGTTGGCGGGTATAGTCAATTCTACCTACTACTGCTATAATTATTATTAAATAATGTGGGCTGACATGAACTATTTCTTTTATTTTATTTTATTTTATTTTATACTACTGCTACTACAATGATAACAACAATACAATAGATCTTTTGACGAGTGCAACACCTTATAACAAACCAAAGGTGTCCATGAAATTACACGAACTGGAGTACAAAATGGATGTTGAGAAGAAAGTCTTGGCTGGTATCAAAACTATGGCCAATGTGCTATCAAATGAACCTTCTCTCGGTGACCGAAAGAGTCGTGGTGAAGTTCAGGGTCAATTGAATGAGAGTAAAGAGAAGCTCAATTTGTTAAACCGTGCTCTTCGTAAATACAAGGGACTTTACATCGGCGAAGGTGATGAGGATGATTATGGTAAGTTTTGTCAAGACATGTAATTTCATTTCATTTTGCCTCGTTTTGTCTCATGTTAAAATCTGATTTGATTTGATTTGATTTAATTTTTTTTTAATTTTAATAATAATATTATATATTCTATATAATATAAATAATATAAATACTTTTTTTTTATTTGTACGCGTTTGATTTATTAATTATTGATCCACAGAATTGGAAACTCCACCAGCGGCCCGCATGCCACCAAATATCCGTCGTCCAGTTACCGGAAAACTTGTGCTGCAGATTATTGAAGCTCATGAACTGGCCCACGCACCAACCCGGATGATCAAATCTCCAGACACAGTTGTGTACATCAAGATCGATGGTAATGAAGTGTACCACACCAGACCCTCCAGAAACGACAGGTGGCTTGAAGAGTGCGAGATCCATGTAAACAAGGCATCCGAAGTAGAGATCGCAATCTACGATCAGGGTTTTGAGCGCAATCTGCCTATTGGTATCTTCTGGCTCAAGATCACCGATATTGCCGAAGGTCTCCGTCGACGCAAAGTTCAGCAGGAAAGCGGCCCTGGCTGGGTCAAGGCAGAAGTGGCCCAGCAGCAGCACGATGCCTCTGGAGGATCACCAATGGCTCACCACCAAACTCTCGTCTCGGCTCAGAACCATGGTACCACAGAGTCATCGGATGGAGGCATCGAAGCCTGGTTTGACATTGAGCCACTGGGACAAATGGCCTTGCGTTTGAACTTTGGTAATTTTCTTTATTCAATTTGTTTGTTTGTTTGTTTGTTTTCATTTTGGAGGGGCTGATACTTAATAATTCTTGTGTGCGTGCGTGCGTGTATTTGTGTGTTTATTTTAGTCCGTGAAACTGCCAATCGTCGTCCTCTTGACAAGCTTGGTCGTGCTGGTGCTGTCCGTCAGAGACGTGAAGAAGTTCATGAAATGAATGGCCACCAGTTTGTGGAAAAGAAATTCTACAACATCATGAAGTGTGCATTGTGTGGCGAATTTTTAGTGAACAGCGGATTCCAGTGTGAAGGTAATATTAAAGATGATTAGTTAAATTCACTCGATCGGCTTATATATATATATATATATATATATATATACACGTCTATATTCTTGCAGACTGTGAATACACATGTCACAAAAAGTGCTACCAAAAGGTGGTCACCAAGTGTATTTCACGAGCTCAGGTTGAAGCAGTAAGTGCTAGACAAAAAAAAATTGCTTAAATGTAAAGCTTGCTTAATTTTGGCATATGTATGTATGTGTAATCCGTTAAATCAAATTTAGGATCCTGATATGGATAAACTGAACCACAGAATTCCTCATCGCTTCGAACCTATTACAAATATTGGCGCCAATTGGTGTTGCCACTGTGGGTATATGCTCCCCCTCGGCTCTCGAGGATCCAAGAAGTGTTCTGGTGGGTATCTATATAGATTTGTGTATTTTTTTTGTGTGTGCGCGTGTGTGGACTCGACAACTGAGTTGCTAATTCGATATTTGATGGATTAGAATGTGACATCACATGCCACACAAAATGTGCACATCTTGTACCTGACTTCTGCGGTCTGTCTATGGAGCAAGCCAACCAAATGTTGGCCGAGATCAAGGCAGCTAAGCGTAGAACTTACGAGACAGGCCCAACTGTCTCTACATCTACTAAGCACAGAATCTCTCGGCCAGAGGATTCGCCTTCGTCTCCAACACCTCCTCCACCTACACCTACACCTCCTCCAGCACCACAGCCTAGTCAGAGCAGTCCTAGTACACCTTCTTCCCCTGTTGTTGCCCCTCAACCATCAGTGTCAACAGAGCCTCCAACTGCGCAAATGGCCCAGATGTCTGTCCATAATAGCCCTTCCCATAGTGGTGCCAACTCACCTGTGATGGCTCCAGGATCTCAACAAATGCACATGCAAATGCCCCCTTTGCCTACTCACGGTAGTCATCAAATGTACCCCGCACATTCTCAAGGAGCCCCACCTTATGGTAACTATCAACAGCCTCCACAGCAGCAACATTATCAGCAGCAACAGCAACAGCAACAGCATTATCAGCAGCAGCAATATCAGCAGCAGCAACAACAGCAGCAGCAATCATATCCTCAAGTTAGACCCACAAACTCTCCTGCAGTCCAGCCTCAATACCCTTACTCAATGCCCAGTCCTGGAGCACAGCACCATCGCCCAGTATTCAACCCATCTTATTCAAATGATATGATGCAAAGAGTAAGTTTAGAATTTGTCAGCGTTTTCTTCTTTCTTTTTTATTCGCTTTTGTTTCTTTGATAATATTTAAACTAAAGAAAAAAGTGTTCGCTCCCTTGCTGTCAATTAGCCTCCTCATGTGCCACAATACATGAACCATCCCCCGTCTCCCCAGAACATGTCTCCGGTCGTTGCTCCTGGTATATCTCCCACAATTACTCCTGCCCCTGCAAAGGTGTCTCGCAAAGTCACATTGGATGATTTCCACTTCCTGGCTGTTCTCGGAAAGGGTAATTTTGGAAAGGTAATAAGCAAGATACACACCCACACACCCACATATATATATATATATACAACTCAATACCAATGTTGATTTATTAACCTTCATTTGGGTTCGGTTAATTGCGTGGATAGGTAATGCTGGCAGAAGAAAAGTATGACAAGTCGTTATATGCTATCAAGGTCTTAAAGAAGAGATTCATCATTGACAATGATGAACTGGAGAGGTAAGATAAAATCGTAACTAGTTTTCGATTCACTCACATTTATATATATATATATATTTGGTGGTACGATTTCTAAATACATAATACTTATTGCATTGCTTTTTTTTTTAAAAAAAAATCAAAGTCTTAAATCCGAGAAGCGTGTATTCCAGGCTGCAAACCGCGAGAGACATCCTTTCCTCATCAACCTTCACTCAACATTCCAAACTGAATCTCGTGTTTACTTTGTAATGGAGTACGTTAGTGGTGGTGATCTTATGTGGCATATCCAGCGTGAGCCATTCTCAGAACGTCGTGCAAAGTAAGTAATCTTATATATATATATATATATTACCAAGATAAATAACCACAACAAAAAACCTTAGGTTTTACGCATGTGAAGTATTGCTAGCATTAGAGTACTTCCACAGCCAAGGCATTATTTATCGTGATTTGAAGCTAGACAATATCATGTTGGGTTTGGATGGTCACATAAAGATTGCCGATTATGGTCTGTGCAAAGAAAACATATGGCATGGACAGACCACAGGTACTTTCTGTGGTACTCCAGAGTTCATGGCCCCAGAAATCTTGTTAGAACAAAAGTACGGCAGAGCAGTCGATTGGTGGGCTTATGGTGTTCTGATTTACGAAATGTTGCTTGGACAAGTAAGTGAAGATATATGTATCTGAAATGAAAAAGTTAACCCACACTATTGCTATCTACAGTCTCCTTTCCGTGGTGAAGATGAAGACGAAATCTTTGATGCCATTCTTGAAGATGATATTCTTTATCCCATCAACATGTCTAGAGACTCTGTTTCTATTTGCCAGCGTGTAAGTATCCCAATTTTTTTGTTAAAAAATAATAACTTCAAGATGCATATACATATATTCTATATAAGTGGGTGTATTGATTTGTCTATTGTTATTTTACACAATAGCTCTTAAACCGTGATCCCGAGAAGCGCCTTGGAGCTGGTCCAAACGATGCTGCTGATATTAGAGCACATCCATTCTACCGCGGTGTCAACTGGGATGACCTTTTGCACAAGCGTGTTACTCCACCTTTCTACCCCTCCATCACTGGACGTCTGGATACCTCCAACTTTGATGAAGAATTCACTCGTGAACGTCCAGCTCTGACACCAATTGAGTCGAATATGGCAATGAACGAACAGCAAGAGTTTGCTGCATTCTCATATGTAGCACAGTGGGCCAATCATAAATAAACATGAATTCGAATACACATACAAACATACAAGCTACACACACACATATATATATATACAACATTTTTTTTTAATTGGATATTTGTAAATTATTGTATTTTGAATAAATATTCCCACCACTTAAGTAAAGAAGAAGAAGAAGAATAGTAATATATAAGATACATCTTTATATAGTCAAGAAAAGAAAGAAACAACAGCTGTAACTATTTTCTGATTATTAGTATTATTATTATTTTGATACAATTGCTTTACAGGCATTGTGTGACTCTCCTTTTCATAGGCAAGAACAAAGGGTATCATTATCTCTCTCGAGATACTTTTTGTGTGCTTCTTACTTTGCCAGCTCCTCTCCGACTCTCCTTCCCGAGACCTTGCTATGCTTGCCAGGCGGTTTCTGTCAACATCACGCACCCTGTTCCATGAAAACCCTCTTGTAAAGGATTACAATACACCACTATATTTACTCGCCTAACCTTCTCTGTCATTTTATTTTCGTTCAAACACACACACACACATATATATATATATATATATATATACGCATATCCTTATTTATCACAGGGACTTCATCGCCCAGCTGTCAAGCAGCCACCAACCATACCACGTGCCCAGCGTGGGTTACCAAAGAAAATGCCCATTGCTGGTGTGAAGCATGTCATTGCTGTTTCCTCCGGAAAGGGAGGTGTTGGAAAGTCCACTACTGCAGGTACACACAACACTAAATAATATGTATACACAGAAAGAACCTCATTGCTAATCAACGTCTTTTTTTTTAAAAAAAAAAGTCAACATTGCATTGGCAGCAGCTGGAATGAAGCAAAAGGTTGGAATCCTTGATGCTGATATATTTGGACCTTCGATCCCTTCCCTCATGAACCTCAGTGGTGAACCTAATCTGACAGAAAAAGGTGAGATCTTTTGTTGCTGTTTTTTTATTGTATCAAAAGTACTGGTACCCATGACTTTACATATTAACAATAGGTGATCGTCTGATTCCACTACAAAACTATGGTGTCAAGTGTATGTCTATGGGATTCCTAGTAGATAAAGAGGCGCCTATTGTGTGGAGAGGTCTGATGGTAAGAAGCATACACATATATCGCACTACACTACACTACACTATATGTGTGTATGTGTGTGTTTTTTAGTTTGCTTGTTTGTTGTTATTATCATTTATTAATATTAAAAATTTCAATTGTTGTAGGTTATGAAGGCACTTCAACAATTACTACATGAGGTTGATTGGGGACGTTTGGACCTTTTGGTTATCGATATGCCTCCAGGTACAGGAGATGTTCAATTGACTATCAGTCAACAGGTTGTAGTGGATGGCGCTGTCGTCATTTCTACCCCTCAGGATATTGCACTTATTGACGCAGTAAAGGGAGTCAATATGTTCAAGAAGGTTAATGTGCCTGTAAGTATCTTTATCTATTTCTCTGTGTTTCATTTCTTAAAAGTAACAATAAGAAGCTTCTATCCAATCTCTCATTCTTGCAACGTGTATATTTGATTTCGTTTTCATTTCTTTTCGCTTTTTTTTTTTAAAAAAAAATACAAACTCACTCACTCTCACTCACTCGCTCACCCACACGCAACAATATTAGATTCTCGGTATGGTCCAAAACATGTCCCTCTTCATTTGTCCCAACTGCAACCACGAATCCCACATATTTGGTCACGACGGAGCAGCACGAATGGCTGAAAAGATGGAAATCCCATTTCTCGGTGAAGTTCCTCTCCACGCAGATATTTGCAAATTGTCAGATTCTGGCACACCTATTGTTATATCTCAACCTGATGGTCAATTTGCAGCTCACTACAAGGAGATCGCTAGTCGGTTACTGGACCAACTATCTTCCAACGACCCAAAATTAAAGTAAAAATAGAGAAATAAAATAAAATAAAAAGCCCCATTTGTTCCCTACTCCCATTCCTTGAAAAGCCTGTGGTTCATTCATATTTCCTTTTCTTTTTCCCTCATCATTTCTTCTTCTTCTTTGGGTTGCTGCTGCTGTTGCTGCGGCTACTGCCATTATTGCTGTTTGTCGTCGTCGTTGAGTAAAAATAATAATAGACAAATAAAACAATAATAATATAAAAAAAGGCGTCTACAAAAAAATGGTGCGTTTTTTTTTATTGGCGATACAAGGATAGTGCGAGAGAGGTAGATGTAGAGAGATAGATAGAGGAGTGATGCGACTGTCTGTCCGTCTTTCTGACCGTTTTAATTGTCTTTTTCTTCTTCTTTGTCGTCGTCGTTGTAGTCATCTTCCTACTCTTCTTTACTGCTCGTACTTGTCCTTGATATCCTTCCACTGCTTCTATAAATTCCTCGAATAGTAATAGTAGCAATAGAATAAAAAAAAAGACAATAATAGTAATGTTAAGTACACATTTTATTTTCAATTTTTTTTAAAATCTTTTTTTTTGCTGGAAATTTCCCGTGCTGTACTTACGCCCTTGTTCACATTGTCCCAGACCTTGTCACTGACGGTATCAAAGGCCATTTCGAAGCCAATGGCACCAACAAAGATGGAGGTGACGAAGACAGAGTTCTTCTTGAAGATGGTGTTGTAGATAGTGCGGGTAAGACCGTTAGCGGCAGCGGAAGGCATTATGATTATTCAAAGAGTGGGGAGAGGAAGAGGAAATAAAAAAAAATGTGTCACTTAGTAGAGAAATATTTGGCAAGGGCCAAGATTTGAAAGTAAACATAATTGACGTCACACTGTCATTTGGGGGGACACAACATACACACACAGCTTCACACACCCACACAGCCAGGCAGCCAGGCAGACACAGGCAGGTACAGGTACAAACAGATGCACACAAACATAAACATAAGCACAGATACAAATATACACACAAAAATAAAAAAATAAAAAAAAATACTAAAAAAGACTTTTTCTTTTCTTTTCTTCTTGTCCTTGCTCTTGTTCTTGGCCAGTGGGTATATTTATTCTATGTGTGCATATAGTAGTGTGTAGTATATGCGCACTAATTTTGAAAAAGGCACTATAGAAAATAAAAATTAAAAAATCAAAAGAGGGTATTCAATCAACTATTATTCTGTATTATTCTTAATTACATATACAAAAAATACAGAATTTTGTATATATATATATATATTTGATTTGTTAATGTTCATTTTCTTTTGATTAAAATATTTTTTAAAGCAATTAGTCTAGCCAATATCCTATGGTATCTCTTTACTGTGCGAAATTATATATACAAAAACTCGCATATTTGCAGCATATAGATAATTAAACATCTAAGCATACATATCAATTGCCTGGTTTTTTTTTCTTCTTTATTAGCATACATGTAGCTAGGCAACTGTGCAAGAATTAGTTACATTGGCCATATTACAAAGGGTCACTTCTGTGAGCAGATTCTTCAGACTATCACTATAAGGAGGGGGATTCAGAAATGCCCAATTTTTTTTTATGTAGACAAAGGATTTAAATGTTTGTTCAACTTTGTCATTAAAGAACATTCATGAAGAGTGAAAATATAACGTCTGGTGTTTAATAATGATCACATCTTGTATTAAAATGATTTTTATGTGTATAACTATTTTGTCCAAGAGATTATAAATCCAAATATTTAAACTTTTAAACTTTTACTTAAAATCTAGAAGTATACCAAGACAAATGTATAAAGCCGCTTTGGGTGTTGTTGTTGTTTTTGTTGTTTTGTGTTTATAAATGAAAAGCTCAAACATTATCTTCAAATAATAATAATAAAGAATGTGAATGATTAATGGAGTGAGCTTACTATTTGGTTGACTTTGATTAGGCACCTCTGCAGAAAAGGGAAAGAGAAGGAAGGACTTGTATACAGCATACAAAAAAAAAGGATTGTTTTATATAAATACAACAGTGTTTAGAAGATTGGATAGTTTTGGTTTATTCCGGCTACTAGTGTATTTATGTATATTGGTATGTCCTTAAGGTAAGTTGCCTGTTGATGATTTGATTTGATTTTATATCCTTATTTCCTTTATGTGTATGTGTGTGTAATATGTGTTTGTATGAATTTAGGCTTTGGGCAGCATAGGAGGAGAAAGGAAAAGTTGGTTTAAATTCTTTGATTTTTTTCTATAATATTTATTCATTTCGTTTCAAATTTTATTAAGAGACTTGACATACTTGGATAATTGGATGGGCAATGTTACGTATCAAAAAGCATCTGTTTTTAGAAGTTTTTGGTTTCTTTTGTGCTTGTGTGTCTTGCTCAGCTTCTGCATGATCTTTAGGCTTGGCTGATCAATAATATATGGAAGTATGTTTTGTAGAATCCAAAAAAAATATTAAAAAGTGGCTGATTTTTCTTAATATATATAAAGTGAGAAGAAAAGAAAAGAATAGTAGGATTGAAGCATTTGTATGGTGTTTGTAGTGGTAGTGATAGTGGTCATAGTAAGAGTAGTAATAATGTGTGTGTGTGTGTGTGGGGACAATCTACAAACAAAAAGGAAACCAACCACATGAAATATTCAGTCAGCAAGATGTTTAATTTAGGTAATCTTGAACAGCAGACAAAATATTGGACAAAATTAAGCTAAATATGAGCAATGATAATCTATCAAAGAAATATATATATAAAAAAGATTGGTTGGTTGCTCAGGCATTTTATTTTTCTTGTAATTATAATAAGGTGGACACGAGCCACTTGTACAAGAAGATCCTTGGGTACAATTTGCTCTTCATTCGATCGATCATTCCCCCACTCAATTCGACTCAATTCAATAGCAAAAGCAAGTACTTTAGCGTAAAATCCACTGATTTTCTCGGGCATCTTTTAACATGCAAACTTGCGCCTAAAAAAGAACCGTGCACCCACTATGATTAAGTATCGATTTTTTTTTCAATCCTTGTTTTGAATACCCGTAAAATATATATATATGTCACCAATATTCTAAAATCCCAACTTCTTTACCCTTCTTCCTTTCTCACAGCTTTACACCTATAATACAAATCAAACCAAACCAAACCAAACCGAACCAAAATAATATAATACAAAAAAGTCAATTCTTTCATATATACATACATACATACACGCATATACATATCTTTACAAATAGTCGGACTTCTGACAAAATATCCTTTTCTTTCTCTCTCTTTCCCTTCTGACCTTGATGACAACTGCCCAAGCAGCATGGGGTCATGCCTGTCTATCAACAATAACGATTCCACAGAAGAACGCAAACGTCAACGCGAAATTAATAAAGAACTAGAAAATGAGCGTATTAAACAAAATACCCAGACCAAAATACTACTCCTCGGTGAGTGAATAAAAACGTATTTGGATTATTAAGCTCATCTCAAACAACAGGAAGTGGAGAATCGGGAAAATCAACGATCCTAAAGCAAATGAAGATCATCAATCAGAATGGCTATTCAAAACAGGAGCTTTTTGGCTGGAGAGTCATTGTGTTTCGAAACATTATAGAATCTGCCCAAGCATTAGTACAGGCTACCCGGGAATTCGGTTATTTATTTACGGATAATAAGACATTGGAGGCAAGTCTTCACGTGGTGTGTGTCTAAAGAAGCCTTCTTTCTTTCTATCTTTTTTTTTTTAAAAAAAAAGGAACAAAAAGGAACAAAAGAATAAAGGAATAAAATACACACACACACATACATACATACACACCTGCATGCATATCTATATCTATATGTTCTTTGTTTGCTAATATTGTTTTATATTAAAGGATATGAAACGTATAGAGCGTTATGCATTCCCCGGAATTGCACAGCCTAGTTTGGATCGTGCATTTGTCAGGAGTGCTGCTCGTCTGTGGAATAATCCTGTCATATTAGAGATGATTGAGGAAAGGGGAACTGAATTTTACTTGATGGATTCTGCACCATAGTAAGTTGACAAGATTGAATTTGGATGACGTTTTCTATCAAAGTAGATTGTGTGTTGATTTCTAAATAGCAATAATGATAATAAGTACAATAGCCATAAGAATCGTAGAAGCATAATGCTGTAATTACTTGATAATTTGCAATAATTATAATAATAAATAATAAATAATAAATTCAATTCTATCCGATCTTCAACTTCAGTTTCTTTGAAGCCCTGGATCGAATAGGTCAACCTGGATATATACCAACCGAACAAGATGTCTTGCGGGCAAGGCACAGGTCGACGGGAATTACAGAAATATGTTTCAAGATGGAAAGTTTAACTATAAGGTACATATATATAAACATTATTTCTGTTGAGATACATAGCTAAACATTTATTAGGATGCTGGACGTTGGAGGTCAACGGTCAGAACGAAGAAAATGGATCCATTGCTTTGAAGCCGTTACTTCTGTTATATTTTGCGTGGCCATGAGTGAATATGACCAAGTGCTTTTGGAAGAAACAAAACAGGTAATAACCACAAACTCATTTTTTTTTAAAAAAATATATAAATATATATTAAATACTATAGTTTTAATTGATATTAAACAATATTTATTAATAATAATTCTTTAAAGAATCGTATGCTTGAGAGCCTGGCGCTTTTCGAATCAATTATTAATAGCAGGTGGTTCTTGACCTCTTCAATCGTATTGTTTTTGAACAAGCAAGACTTGTTTGAATCCAAAATCCAGAAAATTCCACTTAGCATATGCTTTCCAGATTATGAAGGTATGGGAGACGATTATGATAATAACAATGATCATTCAATTCAATTCAATTGTGATGTTTTGTAGGAGGCAATGATCCGAAGAAAGCAGCCAAATATATACTGTGGCGTTTCTTACAAACCAATCGTGCCCGATTAACCATTTACCCACAGTAAGTGTGATCATATAGTCAAGTTATATCTATTTACTGTTATTGGTTCAAGAATAATAAAAATCAACCTCTTGCCTAATCCTAATTATGTTGACATTTAGTCTCACCCAAGCTACTGACACAACAAATGTAAGTAAAAGAAAGAAAGACTTGATGCGAGAAGAATTTTATCAATCAATATGAACGAATATGCATTTAATTCAATTTAATTTCTTTCTTTGTATGTAGATTCGTTTTGTATTTGCTGCAGTCAAGGAAACCATAGTACAGAATGCATTACGAGAGTCTGGCATGGTTTAAAAATAATAATATAATATCCTGCCTTTTCTTCTATACATCTATCTGCTTTATAGTGGATTTTTAAGCCATGTAGTTCTTTTATTTCTTTCATAATAATAATTGTAACAATAATCTATAACCTATAATACTATAATACTATAATACTATAACACTATAATACTTTAACACTATAATACTTTAATACTCTTCTTCTTCTTCTTCTTCTTGAAAATATATATATATTTAATATGATCAATTCTTGCTATTACAACGTGTATATGTGTATACAATATAATAATATAAATAAAATAAAATGAAAAAAAAAAGTCGGAGAAAATTGCTTATTTAAAAAAAAGAAAAAGACAGTACAAAATTTAAATTTTTATACACAAAACCGTCTTGATTGGACGGAGACCAATAAAATCCAAGTCACGGCGCCATCCAAAAAAAAAACTTTTCAGAAGATTTCTTAAAAAAAAGTATAAAAGGAACCATTGTTTTCATCCTAAAAAAATTAATTATACAACGCAAAAAATACCAATTGTAATAAAAGCATTCGTGTGAGATGACCACCTCGGTGGCTATCGAAGATACAACGAAATCGTCAAGCAATTGCAGATTGAATTTAGGCACACAGAAGGGTGCGCCGGGCAGTTAGTCCCAAGCTTCGTCTTGGCCTATGGTGTCGGGTGCAATTCTGGGTAGCACATCCATTTTTCTTTATGATTACAATATTTATATTTTTTATTAGAAAATATATATTCTTTATAAAATTAAAAAAAAATGAAAATAAACATACTATAAATCTAATTTTTTGTTCGTTTCAAAAAATTGATATTTTTAAAAAGATCATTTTGTATCATTTCGAAAAGTTACTTTTTATTTTAAAGATATTGTCATGGTTGTGGTCACATAGTCATGGATTTGATCATACCGTAATCCCCTCATAATTGAGGTGATTTTGCATCATTTTAATATCAACCTTTTTTTTAAAAAAAATAATAAATAAAAATAAATAGCAGAAAACAAGCCATGTTTCAATTTTTGTAGCAAGACAATAAGTATATATCGATTTATATTTATATATCTTTTTTAATTGTCCTCAGTTAATAAAGCATTTCCAAGACCATCAAATTGAGGGCCCTCATTTTGTTGGTCGATATCCATATGCTCTATTGATTTTTCTCCATTCTGTGTTTCTTGATTGGCTATTTCAATCCTATCCATCATTAGCACACGCGTTGTTTTGCACTTGAAGGTTGTCTTGATGTGTGCAAGTTTTTGGTTTTCCTCATTATTGTATTTCATTGAATTAAGAAGTGGAAAGAGACCTATTTTTTTTTTGGTAGATCAAGTATATATATATGAATAAGTAATAGGTTAAAAAATATTTCATTCATTTATTTACATTTATAACTTGCCTGTATTCTCAAACTTGCTCTCTTCAACCTCAAAGACCATTGTTTCACCTACAGTCTCATCCAAAGCACCTACAAAGAAGTAGGGTCCTGCTTGGAAATATACAGTGTCTGCCTCAAGATCCTATAGGATTTTTTTTTTACGTGAGCCAAAGATAATCATAAGAGTTATACTCACAGTGATGCGGGCCCCTCCATTAGCCTTTGCCATACTTGCAATAACATCAGCTTTGCAATCACTGCCAACATCCATTATAACGTATGAAACCTAGACAACAGCATGAGCTGTGTTATTAATGGTAAAAAGATGTTTACTTCTTCATCGTATTCTTCAGAATCATCTGAATCTGACATGATTAAAAAAAAAAGCAAAAATTAAAAAGCAAAAATAAATAGCGTTGAGTAATTCCCATATTTGAAGCTGACTTGACATCCAAGTTCAGTCAGTCAGTCAGTCATTCAATAGGTCGGTCAGTTAAAAAAAAAAGGAAGAATCAAAAATTAAAATATAAAAGAAAAAGACATTCTCGGGTCAAGTCAAAATATATCACCAATACCATAACATCGACTAACACGTTTCTATCTATTAAAACAAAGCAAAAAGAAAGCATTATAAGAATTCATTGTTTCTGTCTTATCTTTGATCCATATTCTTTATATCAATTGACATGAATAGTTAAAAATGATCATTTTTTTTTGCTGACCACACAAAGTGTATAATGTGCCCTTGACCATTAATGCTTACTATTTATCTGATAAAAGCTTTCAAAGTATATTTTACGTTCTTCTCTAAAGGATTGCGGTAACAAATTTATATAATTTTGACCAAGTACTTCAAGATGTAAAAGTCAAATGGAAACATAAAAAAACTAAATTTGCTGCCTTTGGGTGGCATTCGGCAGTTTAATGAAAATTTGCATCAACAGGTAAACCTTGTAGAGACTGTTTGTGAAGCACACATAAGAAACCTTTTTTGTTTACTTGTGCTGCTTCTAGCATTTACTATTAGTATGTTTTCTTCTTCTTCTTTTTTTTTCTTCAAAAGATGACCTAGAAGGTTAGTCATCTATATTTTGCAGAATACTTCTGTATCTTTCAATTCTACATGCCAAGTGCAAAGTTGGAGAAATTTTCTTGCTACTAAAAAAGGTGCCGAAATATCATATTTAAAAATTATTTCAATAAGCCATTTCTTTGTTTGAAAGCCTTTTGAACGCTACTAATATATATATATATATATATATCTAGCTTTTTTTTTATTCTTATAAAATTAGAAGAATAGTAAGCAATAATATTTGTTCCTTGGGCTATTGATTTACCAAAAAACAACTGGCCCTTCTGGGACTCCGAGTGCAACGATCTTTGATTGCTGTCGATCTGGGTAGTGAGATTACTGGCTAGAGACAGATATGGGATGAGCTGTGTGTAACTATTTGTGTATCTGTATATTTCTTTTCTTTGTTTGTTTGTTTGTTTAAGGTGGACTCTTCCTTCATTCCAAACACATGAATACTTTGGCTTGTAAAATTGAAACAATTGAGGGGAGTAAATATTTTATTCATTTTACCCAGTAGCGATAACACACTTTATCAGTTCATTCATCTATCTGGGATAAGCAGATACCAGCAAAAATTAGAGCATAGATTATGATATTTTATTACGAACTCTGTATTTGAACCAAGAGCAAAGTTTATTTGTTTGAAAAGAAAAAAAGAAACCCCACTTATTCTACCTTGACTTGGGCCTTTAATCGCGAGGTTTGCTTTTCAAGCCCCACCCCTGAAAATATAAGTGAATGATGAATAATGAGGTGCCTGGCACAATAGAAGCAAAGCCTTGCCTTGGGACAAGCGGAGTAAATGTTCGATGGTCAAGGGGGGTTTTTATTTTGCGTTATCCCAAGGTACCGAGTCGGTTGACAGTAATTCAATTTCTTATTCTATCTGTAGAGTTTCAATTACTGTAGATGCATACCTCCTAAAAGTATCTACGTTTAATAAACCCAAATTAATAAATAGACTTGCTTAAAGGACTTTCTTATTAAAGATAATATAATAATTGGAGTATAATTTTACCATTAAATATATTCAGACAATGTATTATACCATGCTACAAATGTGTTGCAAATTATATTGGTTCGTCAGGAAAGGAACACCTGTCATGGTATATTTTATAGAGCAATTGACATTTCTACTAAATTGCTATTTAACTAGTTTAATTGATAGAAATATATACGGACCATAGTTATTCAGGACTAATGGCAAAGGACAATGTAGGTCCTAAAGCCGAGTAGACGGAGTTTGATTGTTTTAATAGAATTTGGCATATGCTTTGAGCATAGGATTTTCTAGTTTGGTTTCTAAAATAAAAATAAGAATAAGATACCTCAAGATCTTAAGCATATGACCTCTTTAATATACATATATTTGGGCTTCATATATAGCCAACTCTGTTCTAAGCTGCTCTCAAGAGCTTTTGGTTTGGTTGAGTAGGTTAAGGGTTCAGTCCTGAGGATTTTTTGTTTGTTTATTTATTTATCTCAACGGCTCTAGTACCAAAAAAGAAATGTATATATATTTCTTTATCATTTAAGTGATAGTATGGGTGTATATACGATCTGTCCCACGACCAACCATGCTGTAGGATACATATTACCAGTGGGACAAATAAACGCTTCACTGACCATATTTTCTATTTTTACAGCTCACAAGAAAAAAGGAAGGAAGGAAAAAATATTCCTTTCCTGGGTCAAATTATACTTGAACAAAAAAGAAAAAAAAAAGAGCAAATCATGAAGGTTGAATAGAGTAATACGGATAAATGCAGCACAATTCAATGATCAGGCGCTCGTGTAATAATTGAGGTGGGGTTACGGCAACACAAGACGGACAACAGAACTGTGGGGATGGTACTCGATAATGGGCTGTCATGAATATACGCACCGTTTGACTTTATAGAACTTCACGGCCTATTGATGAGGCTCTCAACTAACCGATTTATTGGTGGCTTTGATAGTCATTTGTGCCAATATTCAGGAACCAATTCCGAATGGGTTTTGAGCCGAGAAAGAAAAGCTGTCTTTGTAGTTCATCCCTGCATCACAAAATGTCGGTTGACACAAAGGGTTCGTGACCTTTTTCTTTTAGATTACCGCTATTCCATGTGAAGTTGATCCACTCCAGTGCTTGCCCCACAAAATGGCAAACGCTGGCTCCTGAACTCCCGTCTATTAAAGCGCATCTCTTCCGAGCACAGTATCACTGTCTCGACAAGCGCACTTTACAACATGACCGAAGGGCGCAATCGAGTTTACATTGGCATCTCATCTCTAATCTCATTTGTGCCAGCATTAGTTGGTCTGTATGCAGTCATTCATCAATATTCAACCTTGAGCGAGATTATGTTCAGCATCTCATTCATATCTCTTGGTCTCTCTGTCTTCTTCTTTGTTGGCTACAAAACAGTCAAACATGGCACACCTGTTCTCCTCCGTACTCTCAAGTACCTCAACCACACATTGGCCCCAATCGCATCCTATCTATCCAACAGTACTATCCTAGGGCCAGTTTTCTCGGCTATTATCAGAGTCTTTTTCTTCATTGGATTTGTTGTATTGCTGATGAGTGACCAGCTGATTAGAGTTCTTGTCGGTCGATTTGTCGGGCAGCACCCCACCAAACGCAACCTAAGTACGTCAACATTAAACATTGCGCCAATACTTCTTTACTAACATTCTTTTTTTTTAAATAATAACAATAATTACAACAATTTTATATTAGCCCTTATCAATGCCATGCATCCTTATTTTTCACTATTTGACCATCATATACCCCAAACTAAAACTTTACAATCAAGTGATCTATTTAATATACGGAAGCGTATGGCAGATCAAACCGATGAAGAAGCACGAACCTTGACGAATATGCTAAAAAGACCACGCTATTCGCTTCCGTTGGCATATACTCTTTCAGTCGCTAGTAAACTAGTCTATGAAGATATCGAAGTAATCAAATACGAGCTTGAAAAAGACGGTTTTGAAGTAGAACGAACATTTAGACCAATTGCATACAGGGTAATAATAATAATAATAATCTTATACGCACATACACCCATACGCGCACCTACGAATATGCAGATTTTTTTAGAACACCTTACTGATAAGAAATCTCTAGAATATTTGCGCTTTCATCGTCGAAAAAGACAATGATATTGTTCTAGTGTTTCGCGGGTAAATTTTAATAAGCAGCGACAAACACGTAGTTTTCTTTTGTTGTTGCTGTAATCTAACGTCAATTTTCATACGTCTAGAACAAACCCCCTGAATATTCAAAACTATTTGACAAATATAAACATTACATTGGGAGAAGTAGAGGCTTCATGGGGACCTATGGGCAAAGTACACAAAGGCTATTGGAATGCCATGGGTGATCCCGCTCCTTCCTCTTCTTCCTCTTCTTCCTCTTCCTCCAGATCATCCCAAGATTGCGATCCACTTTCAGCACGGATTCAGATTGAGCTTGTAAACACTTCAATTTATCAGACCATTGTCAGTACGGCAAAGGCTGCAGTCAAGGTCACAAAGTTCTTTATTCTCAACTTATTCCACCACGTTGCAGAACCAATTGACAGTACCTGGTTGGGCCACGAAGCTGACATTAGGTCCCACAGCATGTATGCTCAGGCTGAGCGTTACATTATGGAATTGATTGAACCTAGCCTGGCCATTCCAGGGGGTAATGGGGATGCTCAGGTACCCGAGTCGGCTAACGGCCACACGCTCATCAAGTCAGAGACAGATCAAGCACGGCCATCCAATCTACAACCCAAGAAGCGTCTGTTTATTACTGGCCATTCACTGGGCGGAGCTCTGGCAACAAGTAAGCGACTAAATTTACTGGATAGATAATTGAAATATATTGAACCAATGGTGTATTTTACGGTGTATTTGTATAGTATTTTTAGCAAAGATGCTCCAGAGCAAGAGTCCTCTTTTAGAGCACTTCTCTGGTATGTATACTTATGGACAACCAAAGATTGGAGACGCCAAATTCTCCAGAATATTCAGTACCCAGCTGACAAACAAGATATTCCATCATGCCTACAACAACGGTAAGACAAACAAACAAACAAGCAAAAAAGACGCGTGAATTTGCACATGAAAAAATTCATAAAAAATATGTGTAGATATTGTTACACGCACTCCTTCTTGGTTTCACTATGAGTAAGTTTTGATTGATGTGGGGTTTCTGACAGGAGTACTGAAGTGTATGTTCTCTTTCTCTCTTTGTTTTTTTTTGTTTTTTTTTTTTTTTTTAAATCATTCAAGTACCCCACCTGGGACCCTTGTCTTCATCGATTCGGCGTACAATATCACGCTCTATCCTCCTAATCCTTACACAAATGAGCCTGTTCCTGTTCGCCCCATTTCTTTTGTCCATCTTTCGGGTATCTTGAATCATTATGTCATCAAAAGATTAAGTGGCGAAACATGGATTAGAATTATCTTTCGATTTGCATTTCCGTTCTGTTTGAACGATCACTTCCCATCTGAATACTGTGAAGGTTTACGACACGGTACCGTCAACTGGGTCATTATGGCTGCAGGTGGAATTCAAGGTGGATATAGAGATGACAAGCGTACTGTCAATCGACCTCGAAAATCATTTAGTGCTGTCAATGTACAGAATTCGGCCAGTAATATAAATATGTCTCCTAGAGAGCCTGCCTTGTAGAAATAGTAACAATAAACAAATACCCTCATACATTTTTTTTAAAAAAACATCATTAATCACAAAGATGTGTGTTATATACATAAAACATAAATATATAATACTTACTGAAATTGATTATTTTGTGCAATTATAGACCCATGATGTGGGTCATTGTGGGGGAATGTGTCTCACACAACACAGTTGGCACTTGTGCTTATCTATGATTAGGTTTTGTCTGATAAACAGCCTGTGGGTTAAACATGATTAGTTTTCTTTTTTTTTTTACAAGGTACATCATAAAATACACGTAAATTAAACTGTCTTTTAAATCCATGCCCTCTAAATCTATTCATTAAAACCATGTGAATGCAATATTGATTCATTCTATCTGCAAAGAAGAAGAAAGACATCAAAGAGATGCTTTCCTTTGTCTTAAACAATACAGAAAAAAAAGGGCTCTGCTAATTATCGTTAAAGACTAGTATTTACTCCAATATAAAACAAAGCAACTTAGTAGGATATACAAAAACCAATACTGACAAGACTTAATGATTGTAATATATAATCCTGATCATTTATTGTATATGTTTATCACTTATTATTGTTTGTAAATTGTAAATTGGGCGTTTTGTGATGTGTGATATATTGGTTTAAGTGAAAGGCGCAGCTGTAATCTCTAATCAATCTTTATTATTAAACCAAACTGTTTATGCAAATATATATATATGTGTATATATATAGAGTAGTATATTGATAGATGCTAATATAAGCACATAGAAAAGAATGATTTATTTAAGCTAGGCAAGAGCAATTAAACCAGCTATTGATTACGCTGCTGGTGAAGTTGAGACACGCTGGCTTCAAATCCGAATTCAACATGGTAAAAGAAGAATGGAATGTTTGTAGAAGCATACGGGTCTACATGCTGTTGTTGGATGTTTACTCTGGGCAATTGGTTATTGAAATCTGGCACTCCCATTACAGAGTTAGGACTGTGGTTTGGAAGAGGAAGATGGGACGGGTGGGCAAGTAGAGAAGCCAAGGGAGGGAGGCGCGGTTGGGCCGAATATTGAGCACACTGCTGAACAGACACAGGCGTAGTTGGTGTCATTTCTGGCAACTTAAAGGCGCGTTGCTGGTACTGAGCAACAGCTGGCGAGTAAAAAGTAACTCTTTTCTTTGGTTCCTTGTCTTCAGAACTTCTTTGGTCAGCCACGTTGAATTCATCAAGCCTATTTTGCTGATAGCCACCAGAAACTTGCGGAAGATGGTTTGGATCACGTCTGGTTTTCTTGGTCTTTGGCATGGCTTCTTCTTGGGTCTTTTCTTTGGATTTCCGGCCTTCTCTTTTAACTGAAGCTCTTTTGTTTTGGTACCTACGTGGCAATTCAGGAAATATAGGAAAGAAAGAGGCAACAAAGAGTAAACAAGATGTTCCTTGCTATCCACTTATAACATTTGCGAAAGTCAAAAAAAAGAACCCCCGACTAGACAACATCTATTTAGTGCGTGTGGGGGTTTTCTTTTATTTTGTTTTATTTTTGGTTTGGTTTCTATTGCATATATCTGTATATTAAAAGTATCTTTATTTCTTTTGTTCTTTTATTCTTTATACCAAAAATGAGTACTTCTTGGCTTTATTTTGACTTCTCTGGCAATAAGCTTTATTTCATTCTTGCTTGGGACAGGGTTTCGAGCAAAATGAGTATTTAAGATACGAGATTGCTCTGGCGTTGTTCTAGGACGACGTTTAGCAATAGTACTAAGCTTTTCAGCAAGAGTAATATTATTGGCGTTTGTCACAGAATCCATTTTGAATTGAGGATATGCAAAAGACGAAAGGATATTACTTATGTACTACGCCATTTTATTTTATACTTTCAAAATCATGTACTGCATTCACTTTATCTTTTCTTTTCTTGTTTGGTTTTTGATAAATTGTAAGTAAATTGCACTTTCAAAGTAATTATCATTTTTTTTTAATAGAATGATTTATTCCTCATTTTACTTAATTTCATTTTTTTGATTCATAAATGGGTGAAATGTACCAAGTATCATAGACACCATTTACAAAGCACTGTGCAAACGGCTAACGGAGACTGGCTGGTGAGAGGTCTATTCTTGGGTCAATGATAGAGTTGTAAGTGCACGATTACCACTACAACTACAATAATATGCCCGGAAAATTGAGTAAAGAATATCAAGTTTGGCGCTCCGTTCGATCTTCTTGAGATAAAGACCAATCCAGAGTTAAGTTGTGGTTTGCTTGTTAATGTAGCAATCAAAGTTGTTTTGGCGGCGTTCATTCTTTTTATCTTTACTATCTCTTTTTCGTTTACAGTCTGCAGAGGTATCCCATCAAACTTGGGCTTGATATATTAGAATATCAATACAAATAATGAAGAAAAAGAGATCATTTTATACATTTTCTTACTGAAATTCACTACTTTAAACTCCTAATAACTATGTTTTATATAAAAATTTGAAAGATATATTCCCACTATATCTATTTACAAATCGTATGGTAGAGACTCAAAATCCAATAATAAAATAAGTGTTAAATATACAATTATATAGACTAAATCCATTTGGTTCTTTTTTCCAGTTTTTTCTTTTAAGTTATCAATAAAAGTCTTGCGCTAAAAATGTACTAATTAATATACATACATACATACATACATACATACATATATATATATATATATATATAAAGGTGAGATTTTGATTGCAATTTATGTCCTGGCCTGTATGTGTGATTCTGATGACAAAAAAAAAACTGTAACTGTAAAGTGAGATTATTTATCGGAGTATTAATATTTTTGCCTGTACTTTCATTGTCAAGTGCTTTCTTTATTCTTTTCCAAAAATGTGGGCGGACTTTTCAAAAGAATCGGTAAATTGAGAGTGAAAGAACTACAAGAATTTGGAGATCTTCTCTTTATACACAACTGTTGTTGTATTTATTATATTTTCAAGCATAGTTCCAGGGCAAAGTACCCAATCCCTTTGGAAGCATTACACTAAGCTAAAAGCCCATTTATAGGCTCCCAAATATAACAAGTAGTCGCCTTCAAAAATTATGTATTATTGTTGTATATTGCCATTTCCATCAACTCTTTGGCTTATCCTCTTCTGGAAATATGTCTGCCTGCGTCATAAACAGGTGGTGCAAATAGTACACATCACAGCTAATTAAGTTCTGTTACGTCATCTGAATAAAACCTACAAAAAATCCAAAGGGCAGCGATCTTGTTCTTGGCTTCAATTCAGTCATGGGAGCGACAGACAGCAAGTTAGCATTTCGAAAAGGTGTATTCCGTTTGTTTGAGGAAAGAGTACGTAATGCCAGCTACATGTTGAGGATTTCGGCCGGAACGACGTTGACGGACCTTTATTTCGGTGCGATCATAGAGCATTCCTGTGGATGCAGATGATTATTGGACACTTGTGAGTGGAATTACAGCCATGCCAGATTGAACGAGATGTTGACAGAATTATATAGTTCTGGACACTTCCAGAATCAACGGATGATGTGTTTTCACTTGTCAGTCAATCTGACATCCGTAGAGCAAGAGACACTGCGAAAGAGAATTTGGAGACATTGATCGACAAGGTAGATCCATACGCATAAGATATAGATAGCAACATCTGTATATGCTTTGTATATTATACTGTTAAGAATATAAAAGATGCAACCAAGTAATTCAACGAGAGATAAGCCCTAAAGTGTACAAATTTAGATTATTTGTCAAATGGATGAGATTATACATGCACCCGTATTCCCTTCTACACAACATAGTACACTCCGTCTCTTGAATTGTTGCAGAGTATTAACTCGCATTATGCCATACGTATTCGAGAGCCCTGAATGCGGAGAGTGGGAGACCTCATTTTTTTGGACTCCGCGATCCGTGAAAAGACTTGTACCCAATACAAGTGATGACCAAGACAAGGTAAGCAGGCCGTGCTCATCAAAATAGATTCTCAATAAAGAGCGATACCTCTCCATTGAAAGCAAGAAGATAAGGTTCGCCAAGATATTGAACCGCCCAGAGGAGAAGTTATGATAACCTGTAAGAGTATCTTGACTTTAAGAATTATGTTTATTGCGTTCTTGTTTACTTTCTTACCAAATTTTGGCTCACAAAAGTGGCTATTCGATGTTTGTTCCTTGCTGGATTCTCTCTACCTCCTTCTATGGCTACATTAGAGTCACATGTAAACTATGTAATATGGGAGACCGGCGTTGGATCTTCTACTCCAATCGGATCCTTCCGAGATAATGACACCAACAGAAATGAAGCCCTCCGGCTTCTCACAGTCCTTTTATCAAAGTCAATGTATATCTCTCCTGGGCAGATTACAACAAAGGAAGATCCATGGCTTCGATTTATAGTAACAAAAATGGAACGAAAGGTGGTTCTTGCTTTATTGTGCAGTTTGTTAAACACATCCTGCAAATATAATCCTTTGGGTTGGGGTGTTCCATACAATCATGTCATGTTCACAGATACTCGAGAACAGCTTGTATCTATGTGCCTAAGAACACTTTTAGTCATATTAGATTATCGTTCTCCCAGATCTGTTCAATCTTTACGTCTCGAACAGCAGTTTGGGTCTTCTTCTAAACAGACCGAGTCCGGTGTAAAACAATCTCCAATCGAAGAAAAAGAAGAAAACAATGAGAGAGAAGACAATTTGGATACTTCCGATAATCTCTTTAGACATTATCTTTCCAAACTCCATCGAGCACAAGATTTTCAGTTCCTCATTGATGGTATTTACAGAATACTTAGCTACCCAATGCAGGTAAAGTAATCACAGTGTCCACATCCTTCCTTTCTCTTTTATTATACAGACCATTATTGACAGAGAAGTATACAGGCTACTTCTAGTTATTTTCCTAGTCCAAACAAACACATTAAATGTAATGTTGAGATGATGATGCTCTGTTGGAAATTGCTTGAGACAAATACGGTAGGACATTGCCTTTCATCATGAGTATATTTAACTAACAATGTATGAGCAGAGATTTAGAACGTATCTAATTGATACTGAGAGGTCTCTGGACTTGGTGGTTGTTTTGATTTACCATTGCATGGAGAATAAGCTAAACCCAGGAAAGCATTTTTCCTAAAAGAAATCATGTAGTTAATGATGGACTAACATGTTATAAATTTATTGTCTACAGCTCAAGTTGGTTTTGTACGGATGAGTGCCTTTATTCTTCAAACTTTGTCTTCAGACCCCATTTTTGGCTCGAAGCTTGATAAGCCATTTGAGAATCCTTCATCTTTACCCGTTAGCATTCGGATACCATACTTTAATGGAACTTACGCCGACTTTCTATTGATAGTAAGTTCTAAAAAACATATAATAGCTATCTTTTAACAACCATTATAGTCCATCTTTACGCTTATTGCAACTTCGCGAGGCTCACTATCGACACTCTATCCAACCCTGGTATTCACAATTACCAACATATCACCATATGTCAAGAATCTGTCTACAGCTTCTTCCAGTAAACTTGTAGCTTTGTTCGGATCGATATCAGCACCTGGTTTTCTATTAGCAGACGAGTCCAACCATCGTCTGGTTGGATATCTCTTGAAAGCATTCAATAATATCATCCAGTATCGATTTTCAGGTACAAAAAAAACCTACTTGATTACATGTTGTCAGTTATTAACAAACAAACAAACAAAAGACAACCCAAGTTTCATTTATGCAATTGTCCGTAACCACAAAAAGTTTGAAAGATTGCGTGATATGACTATGGAAAATGCTCTTGAAGACATAGAGAATTCCCGCCTGTTGAAAGAAGGAGCTCAACGTTCCCAGCACATTCCAGCATCTCCATCCCACTCCATCCCCCCTTTATCCCCAAGTAAAGAAGTTTCTGGAAGTCCATTCACAGAGTCCGGTGGTGATGTTTCTGAGTCAGAAATAAGTGCTACCACCCGCGTCTCTGGCGAATTAGGATTAGACCAAGTCTCTGATAAAGTAAGAGGTAAGAGGCCAGAACATCTTCTCTCTCGAGGAACGAGTGAGGGAAGCCTTTCTTTCCAAGGTTTCCGACAGGGAAGATCGTCATCTGTGGTGTCTACCGCAAGTCTTATGCCAGGTGCAAAGCATGGTTTTACACCAACAGAAGAATGGGTATGTTGTATTATTTATAATACTTTATATCAATAGCTAATATTCTCTCTGTGTGTATATATATATGGGGGTACAGGTGCAGAAATGGCATGATCAGCTTCCTCTCAAGACAATACTGGCGACATTGGACTATCTGGTGCCACAAATAGAAGCAATGTGCACAACCCAGTCGCTTACTTCTGACCAGCAAATTCTCGACTTTCTGCGCCATCAATCTCTGAGCGGGATTCTCCCTCAACCACAGCCTCTTTCGATGCACAGATTCCAGTGGAATGAGTCGCTTGTAATCTGGTTTAGGAGCATGCTTTGGGGTCAGACCTATGTATCTTCAATTGCAAATCATGGTCCATGGAACGGAACTTCTGTAAAGCTATTCCAGATCAAACAACAAGAAACTCCCCAGAATGAACCTCCTCCATCTCCAACAACTCAATGAAGGACTACCGTATAATAAAAGCAAGCTCAATTTTACAAGAGTTTTATCAGTTTATACTCTTGTTAACCTTGTCTTAAAGCAAATATTTCTTATATTCAAATGATTAAATAAACAAATAAGCAACAAGTCAATATCAATACTATTTATACCTGGTATCATATGGCGCTTTAGTATCTCTACAGATTCAAGTACACATCATACAACGTAAAATATTAACCAATAAAAGTTATGATAAAGTAAAGTGCATTATGCTTCTCTTTTGATTATCCCAATTATAACTTTAAGCTTGCTATTTAAATTATCACAAGAGGTATAGACGACAATATCTAAGCTTTGAACTGAATATTCAACCTGTTGGCTTTAATTCTATACATATACTTTACGGTCTATAATTCATTGTTTTTAACAGAAATACACAATCTTATTAAATATCTTGTATTGTATTAATCTTTTTTTTTTATGGAAAGGGACATTATTAGCAAAGAAGTATACCATTTACATATTATTTTACACACACAATTTTGTTGTTGCTATAAGAAAATAGCTTAAAATGAACAGTAGAAAAGCAGATCGGGTTTGTTTTTTGTTTTTTTTGTAATTATTCTACTTTTTGCTTGCTTGTTGAATCTTGTAAATCTTTTGTTCACATTGCTCAATGGTAGCAAGGTTGGATCCCATCTTGTTCATAGTCTCCTGGTATTCGTCTTCTTCAACAGAGTCACAAACGATACCTCCACCGGCTTTGTGATAATAAAAGATAGTTAGAAACAGACCATTTGATCTATTTATAGCTGTAGTCAAAAGCTTACCTTGCAAATACGCAACATCGTTTTTGAATACCATAGTACGGATCGCAATGCATGTATCAAGATCACCAGAGTAGTCAAAGTGACCCACAGATCTATCGAGTTACAAGTAGATTTAACACCAAGTCTCTTTCTAAGCTAGATGTGTTCGCTTGGTCTTACCCTGCATATATTCCTCTCTTTTCCTTCTCTAGTTTACGAATAAGCTCAACAGCCTTGATCTTTGGAGCACCGGAAACAGTTCCAGCAGGAAATATGGCACGGAATGCGTCAAATGGTGTCTTATCCTCTCTTAAAACACCTGACACATTAGAGACGATGTGCATAACATGTGAATAATATTCGATCTCCATCAACTTGTCCACCTTGACAGATGCTGGCTGACAGACACGGTTGATGTCATTACGACCCAAATCCACAAGCATAACATGTTCAGCTCTCTCCTTGGGGTCTTTAAGAAGATCATCGGCCAATGCTTTATCTTCTTCGCCTGACTTTCCTCTTTTACGGGTACCTGCGATAGGATGTGTGTATGCGACCCGATCTTGGACCTTGGTAAGCATCTCAGGAGAAGCACCGACAAGAGTAAAGTCTTTGAGAGTCACATAGAACATGTAAGGTGAAGGGTTGAGGGATCTCAAGTGGCGATAGACATTGAAGGGGTGAAGGGAAGTGGGGCGTGCCAGACGCTGACTAGGGACAGTTTGGAAAATATCACCCTCCTTGATGTGGTGTTTCAGTGTGGAGACAAAGTCCATATAACCTTCTTTTCCAACGTTAGATGTGGCTGTGTTTCCAAGAACAACTGGTCCTTGGGGAACAGGTGGGATGTGTTCCTGATTCAAGAGTGTCAGGGTACATTCGATCTCCTCTGAAGCCTTGATATATTCACGGCGGACAAGTTCGGGATCAGTAGCGTCACTTCTATAGTGAGATACTACATTGACAATATGACGGACACGGTCAAAGACTACGAGTGTATCGCACATCATAAACACGGCATCGGGAATACCCAATGGATCCTTAAGCTCTCCCTTGACACTAGGCTCAAAGTATTCAAAACATTCAAAACCAATATATCCTACAGCACCACCTAATTAAACACAAAAGTAAAAGATGATTAAGTACCTTATAATATACATATATACCTTTTCCCACTTTTTTTTTTTAAAAAAAAACAATAACCAAAAAAACAAACAAACTTACCAGTAAATCCAGGAAGGCCCGGTACTTTGACATATCGGATAGGCTCTAATTCTTTTTCAATGGCTAAAAGAGGATCGCCCTTGACAGCCTCATTAGGACCCACCTTGATGAGTTTATAGGGATCTTTGATGTGCATGAGTTAAATTTCGTCCAAGATGATTTCCAGCTTCCTTTTTTGTTTTGTTTCTTACCAGCTCCAATAAAAGAGTAGCGACCAATGTTCTCTCCACCTTCGACAGATTCAAGCAAGAATGAGTATTCGCACTTGTCAGCGACTTTGAGATAAGCAGAGACAGGTGTCAGAAAGTCGGCTTCCAGTTCAGCATAGATTGGAATAGTATTTCCTTGTCCGGAAGCAATAATTGCCTGAACTTCTTCAAGGGTAGGTTTTAATGTAAAGGCCATGGTATGAGAGTGTAATGTATAAGAAGAATAAAATAAGTCAGTTTCCTTTACGACAGATAGACTTGAACAATCAAATGTCGCTGTGTAAAATGTGACTCATTTAGACAAAGTATCAGTATGTGACGGGTTAAATAGCGTTTCTAATGGATCGTGCAACATCAATCATATTTTAAGTTGTCTATCACTATAGCTGAAGTCTGTGAGCATTTTTCTCAAGATCATATTCTTTACCACAGCCTAAGTGCACGCCACGAAAACAATAACAACAAAGTTGAGGACTATAGATCTTTTTCCATTTCAAAATTCGTGAATGGTTTTGATCGCCTATTTAACCCAATTGAACACATTAACCTGATTGTTTTTATAATATCTTATTCATATTCTTTTATTAAAGAGTATATACTAAGTATACACAGCATAAATACCATTACTGAGATGTTATATTTATTAGACTAGGTAGATAGCATGTACTTTTTGCTTTTAAGATGGTTATAAGAAGGTATTCATGTTAAAAAATCGGCTACCAGGACATAAGCCCGTAGAGTATGCTACGGTTTGTATCACCTGAAATGGCGGATATTTCATCGGACTGACTTTTGACAATGCTATGAATATACGGAAGATATGTTTTTGACGGTGAGATTTAGAGGATCAATTAAGCAATAACCCATGGAGTGACTATAATGCGTATGGTTTACTAGACTTAATTTCATTGTTTGGGTGCAGCATACTATAAAATGTATGTACACATATATTTATATATCAAAGGTTGAAAAGAGGTGAATACAAATTTCAATACAAATAGCATGTTTTTGATCATTACAATTTCTTTCGCTTATACGTATTCCCTGCTTTTAATTGAAAAAGGTCGATATGCTGGCCAGGTATTTTTTTTTGTAGATATAAGCATATATTGAACCTTGGTAAGCGGTAAATAAATTTGATAAAAAGGTACAATACTTTCGGGGGTAGGCACCAGTGTTTTATCTCAATATCCTGAAAAGTTGTTATACATGTTCTTGAACCTTTTGACTTTCAAAATCAATCTGTCTTCATACAAGTTTTTATTATTGTTAGCATTGTTGTTTTTTTTTACCAAGCTTTAAAGGTCAAACTTTTTGCTTTGAGTTGTTTTTGTGAGTTCATTTATTTTGCCTTTCAATGCTTCTGATATTCTTTGTATATACACAGATTCCAAATACTTGGTGTGGACATATCAAAAGGATTAATCAAAGATGAAACAAAGACAGGAGTGTTAAGCTATATTATTGGTTTAGAGTTTTAAATAAAGATTGAACTTTTTTTTTGATCAACTCTGAATAACTTGATATTTTTCATTGCCAATTGGATTGATAATAACATTCGGTTGCTAGAAAGGGTAGTATCAATAAATAACTCTATATCAATATTTCCATGTCCTTAAACTTTGGAGAATATTATATAACTTAAAGCTATATAGTAAAATAAGGATAATCGAAGCGCTAATATTAGGGAGACGACGTTTACTGATGGAGCTCGCCATTTCCTGGTGGCAGACGACACTTTTATTCTCCTGGATCACAAATTGCGATCTTCTTTCCGGCATGGAATAACTCTATCTGGTTCCTAAGGATACATAATATCTGTATAAAGATTCTCTTTTGTGCTTTGCAAAAAAAAGAGTGGATGAGGATTACTTATCAGTTGGTGCTGTCGAACTCTGGGAATATACGTAGGTGAAAGAGAGAGAAATATATAATACGCATAGACAGGTCATTAGATAGTAAAATGTCAACCAAGATTGCATTTCACGTTAATGACAACAGCTCCTTATAATCTTCTACATAACTGGCTATTGATATAGTGTATTTGTGCCCAATTATTATGTATTTATTGTCAAGTCTATATTTAAGGCTGTTTATTGAATATACAGGATTTACTTTTCGTATGAGACAGTATTTTATTATTAAGTTGCCCAAATACAGGCTGTAACTCTTAAAAGAATGATATTTAGGTGCCTAAGGAGAGATAGATAAATGCAAAGTGTGGGGACAAAGTAGTAAAGCTAATGGTTACAATGAATATATTGTAGTTTTTGCAGGACACCATTTTGCCGTGAAGGACTAGAAAGAAAAACCGGACCCCGGACAGGTAGACACAATGAATTAGCCCGGTTAGATAGAAATGTCGTGCACCACCAGAAAACATCGTTCCAGTAAGATTGCTGCAAAAGCAACCCTACATACTCGAGTTAGATTGGTGATTTAATGAAAGAAGCTTCTAGCAAAGCTAAAATAATCTGGTATTTCTTATTAGACACGACTATCAAGGCAAGTATAATTCTTTTCCCCCTTTTTCTACTACTTTATCAAAAATTCACTTTCATATTTTCTATATAAGTTTGCATTTCTTCTCCTAAGTTTGTTTAATTTTACGAATGTAGCTCGTATCCTTGATTGTCAATTTAACGGTGCTCCTCCAACATACTTTCTTACCTGTCCAACCATTTGGACGTTTTATATCGGTTATTCTAGCATTTAGTTTTACCATTCTCTGCTATATATATTCTTTACTGGCGGTCATCTGGGCTCTACCTTTTTCATCTTCCCTTTAATATTTATGCCTACCAATTGAGTAAAGATGATAAAGAGTGTAGAATACAATCATTAAACAATTTGTTTTAAATTCTTCGTATAAATAAAGAAATCACGGTAACACAGCCAGAATCTGGGAAACGAAGAGTACTGATTTTAAATTACCTTTTTTAAATAAAGCAAAAAAAGAAGAGAGAGAAAAAAAAAGCAAAAGGCTCATCTTCATTGACGATCAAAATGGACAATATTTTACCTCTTTGTGAGGCATATCCACCTGCACCTAATTGGTACACCTCTTATGCTGCAACAACAGTAGAGCCGCACTTCTACATCTACGCAGCGCGCAACTCAATCGTTGTACTAGACATGCGCACCATGCAATTCAGACGTACTTTTCTGGCATCACTTGATAAGATCCAAGCTGTTGCAGCCTATGAACAATTTTGTTTCACGGGTGGAGTTGATCCTACAATCCGTGCATGGAATATACTCGATGGAAATTATATAACTAAATATAATTCTCACAATGTAATCCATCCTTCCTTTCTTTGATCTTAAGACGCGAATTATTATTTTTCCAAAAAAAGAAAAGCTCATTTACAGACATATACTATAATTTTGACAGGTGGAAGTGACAGCTTTACTATGCATTCGAAATGGAACAATCTTGATCTCGGGTACTTGAAGAATCTTATGTAGATTGCAAAACCTTGATCTAAATTATGCATCTTTCGATTCTATTTATCTGTAAAAGGCGACAAGTCAGGCTGTATAGTGGCTCAGGAAGCATTTGGATCCATCGTCGTGAAGAAAAAGCAAGTGAAAGCGGAAGTACGAGCATTAGCGCACACGAGCTTCCACGATGAAGATTATATTGCTGTTGGTTATTCAAATGGGATGATTCGTATCGAAAAGCTTGATGCCCAGCTCAAGTTGACTACAGTGTATGAAATGGTAGACCAGATCAACGATGTACATTCACTTGCTTGGCAGTCACTTCCTTCACAGACAACCGAGAGTAATCCACAGTGGCCACTCCTTGCTTCCAGCTTTCGCCATCAAAAGCACGTAGATTTGTGGAATGTTCCTACCGAATCCCATTGCTCTAAAATCAATCTACCTTCTCCTGGTGGCCAGTGGTCCAGAAACCAAAAAGATACATCGTGGACTGAACTATCTTGGTCTCCAAATGATAAAGATTTGCTGTACATGACATCTCAGTCGTAAATGTTTTTCTCTTTTGCTTTTTTTTTTAATCTTTAAATTCCAGGATATACTTTACTGCGCATGTCTTTCAACTAACTTTTTTTTTTCGTAGAGGTGCGATTATCTGCTTTAATACAAAAGAACCTCGTAAGCCTGTAGAAGTCCCAAAAGGGGGCTTTGGGGACAAACACACCCGTGTAGTTTTCAGCATGCTCTGGGCCTACGGCAGTAGCCATATTATTACCAACTCTTTAGATAAGCAGGCAAGTTGATATGTACTATGAGTGCGCCCATATTTTTATATGCTATAAAAGAATTGAGCCTAAATCATTTCCAGATTATCAAATGGAACGTCAAAACACACGAAAGTGTAAATTGCATTAAGGGTCATAATGGATACCCTTTCAGCATCTCAATTTCTCCGCTCACCCCATACCAAGCAGTCATTGGTCTCGGTGACAGTAATATAAAGATCTGGACCTTCTCAGGCGAAGGAAAATCGATGAAAAAGCGCAAGAAGCATGATTTCTATGAATCCAAAATCATCTGGAAAGGTTTACAAGGTCAAATCGAGCACGTTCTGTGGCACCCAAAGCGTCCTGATCTACTGGCCTACAGCACTCAGTATGGTCGAGTAGGTGTCTACGATGCAAACGCCAACAAAAATACCGTATTCAAAACATACCACAAGCAAGAGTACGGACCTAATATCTCATGGGGGTCTTTGTCAAGCGGAACTGGCTCGGAGTATGTGCTGGTATCATGTGGAGCAGAACACATAATTGCCTATGATCCCATGGAGCCTGAAAAACAGCCAGTATTTCTTGCACCTTTATTAGAAAATGCTAACCCTGCATGGACACAGAGTATAAATGTGTGTATGTTATGTATATTATGTATATTATGTTCTTTATTCTTCTTTTTTTTAAAGGGAAGTAGTTTGTTAACATTTGTACTTTCTGTAGGCCAAAGCAAATGCAAAACGATCTTGTATGGCCATCGACAGTACTGGAAAACTAATCGCATTTGGGTACACGGACGGTGTCGTTGACGTCTACCGGTTAGATACTTTCAAGTTGGTTTTTGTAGCAAATTGTCATCGTCATTGTGTACTCGCAATTGCTTGGCAAAGCCCAACAAAATTTGCAACTGGCTGTAGACATGGCACAGTTGCAATACACACTATACCATCAACTGGATTGGATAATTTACCAGGTATGATATTTCACTTGTTGTAAAAAGAAAAAAAATATATTTGGATAAAATATTGTTTTTGCTTTTACTATTATTATTATTTTTTAAAAAAAGAGAGAGGCTCAAAAACAAAAACTTTACTTTAGATATTCCTTTGGCCGATTCCTCTGCATCATATGTTCTATCTGGTCACAAGAAAAATATTACTGCACTTGCTTGGAGTACACACAAAGACACACCTTTGCTTGCATCTGTTTCTGTTGATATGATAGCCTGCGTGAGTAACCTACATTGTACATGTGCAAAGTGCTTAGACGATTGTATTAATTGGGCTGAATGTATTTGCTTACATGTATATCTATTTTTGAATATTAGGTGTGGAATGAGCAGTCGCAGAAACCAATTGCATGGTTTAGAGAGCATCGTGGACGTATATTTTCTGTATGCTGGAACATACTTGAGCCTAATGAAGTATTTACCTGTGGAGACGACAGATTTATATTCAAGTGGAAATACACTGACCACCCATTTTCTCCTAAACTTGGTAAGTACTGATAGTTAAGCACTCAAATACGAATAATAGTTGGTTCTTGTCATTAATTATATCATATCATTACTGCCATTAGAAACAGAACAATCATATTACGATAAAGAGATTTCAAAGCTCAAGACACCCAAGCGAAATAAAACCCAAGAACCAACAGAAAATGGAAATAGCAAAAACACTGCTTCTGCTGCCAATGCTGCTGTTATTGCCAATTCCAATGCTACTGCTTTTATTGCTACAGCTAATACTACCGCTAAAACCGAATCAGTAGAAGGGGAGCCAAAACCAAAGAAACGAAAAACCAAAGGATCTAGTTTGGCATATCTTGGTGGAAAATTAGAAAACATTAACCATTCTACTCTCCAACGTTATTGTCTAACTCTTGCGTCAAAAATATATGGAGGAGATCCAGCTGAGACCGTAAAAAATGTCAAGAGTCAATTGCCTTCCGATCTTTTAAGTGATCAAGTCGACAGTTATGCCAAATGGGTTCCATTCGACGATAATACTGAAAACAGTAAAGCATTCTTGCTGTTTGGTGGAAAAAACGATGTGCGACTATTGTTAGAAGAAGAAGGTAAGAAGATTTCTTGCACATTAAAAAAAAGAAAAAACTTTGAATAATCATGTTTTGTTCTTATAATTTTAATTAATTTATTGCTGTTGTTGGAAACAATTAAGCTAAAATGTTTAGTGACTTTAAAGACAAGCAAGCATATATAAAAGATTCCGAAAACCCTTCTACAAATGACACACGACTCTGGCTGGGTACCACACGCGGATGTGCTCAAAGCTTTGGGGATATTGGGAATGATTTTACCGACAACTCTATTGCAGACTGGATTGCACTCGCTCTTAGTCCAATGAGTAAGTTTATTTGAATAATAGTAAGCTAAATAGTCCCAGGAATCAATGTACTAAACATATATATCTATATATATATATATTCTTTCTTTCTTTCTGCTGCTGTAATTTCTCACAGATGGAAAAGATGCGTGGATCAATTTGATGGAAAAGAAGGCCAAAAAGCTTGCAGAAACCGACCATCATATTTTAGCCGCGACCTGCTACATTGCCTGTTCAAGGATTTGTGAAGCGGTCGAGGTGTGCCGTAAAGGATCAAAGTTCAGGTAATTTTTTTTTTAAAAAAAGAAAATGATAAAATATACAAGGCCAAGTTCTCCATGTCTTATTTTTTTTTTGTATATGAATTAGAGAAGCAATTACTATCGCCAAGGCCAGAATGCCTCAGAATGAAAATGTTCTTAGTACCTTATTTTCTGAATGGGGTGGTGCGCTCCAAAAATCAGATGAAGAAATACTTGCAGCTTTATGGTAATAAACTCACACTGAGAAATATAAAGATAAGGAGATAGATACAGCATTTTATTTTTATACCTACTTATTTTCTTCTAAATAGTTTCCTGCAATCTAAACGTCAGGGCTCAGTTGTAAACGCGATCCAACTTTTGGCACGACGTAATACGGATGAATGTCTTTTTTGGTCAGCCTGTCTGGCTTGGTTGACAAAAGACTCGACAGTGGAAGAATGCATCAAAAAGTGGGTATCGTTAGTGAAGGAAAAGGATGAGCAGAAAGACAAGGTGGCTTCCAAGAAAAAGGCCGAGGAGGCTGATGTACCCAAGATACCAGAAAACATCAAAGACAGTACGAGTACAGCTTGCTCTTCAGAGGAACCTATCAATATAGAGAATGTGGTTGATATAGTGATAGCTGAATCGCACGTACATATGACTGCAGCTGGAGCTGAAGTAGATGAAGAGGCTGCAACCAAGACTTCAGAAAAACCAAGTTAAGTGAAAACAGATGATTTACTGTAAGCATATTTGGCATATATACACATAAAGTAAGGATAAAAAAGAAAGACAATCATCACTCTATTCATAATAAGTTTCTGCGCTGGTAAAAGGTTACTGTTAAGGATAGTGATAAAATAGTATCAGAGAATTCAAGTGTTCATCAAGCGAAAGTTGGAGTAGTTGGGAAAGAGAGGATAATGCTGTCTATTTTCATAGAGATAATTCAAGATCATGACTCTATATATACTACTCTTAAATAACATAAAACGTTTTCCGCTCTTTGAACAAAAATCAACAGCTTATAGAATTTATATAATCTTTGGTCTTTTTCTTTTATAAAATTGAGCTTTCAAATTTTGATAGTGTATATAGATTATGAACGGAGTCTTAATAAATGGTTCGAATTAAAACCAAGAATAAAATGTATAGCTACTGAGATTTAAGAAAGAAAAATAGTAACCCCGATGATGAGAAGGGAAGGTTCACGTGACTACTACAGTCCAAAAAATAAGGATATTTCAGGCACAAGAAATGACGATTAAGAAAAATAGTAAAATATACAAAGCGAAATAGATAACTAAGAGGTGCTTATTATTTAGATATATATTAACCTTTTGTTTACTTGAATTTGCATGACATTTGTTGTATGATCCAATCATTGTACAGAATATATATATATATATATATTATAGACATTTATTCAAATATTCAGCCATCTTTAATAAGAATAATAATATAAATGCTTACAATATAGCATTTTCTCGAATAATAGTAGCTTCTAGAAAATTAAGACGCTTGATATTCTGGAATATTACAACCGACAGTAGCCACAAGCCTTCCCCCTTTTTTTTACTATGTTCATTTCTTACAAAATAGGAGAAAAATATTTCAAATGAAAAGAGCAATATTTTCAGTGTAGAGTATATAGCGTAAATAGGAATTATACTATAATGGCATACAGATATATGTATATATTATATAGGGACATGCAATAGAACAAGAAAGAAAAAGAAAGAAAATTACAGTGAGATTTAGTGGTTGTTGCTTGACTGGCTGGGTCTTAATCTATAATCATTTTAATTTTATTTATATTTGACTGGACTGACTGGACTGACTGACTCCACTATAGAAGAAGAAAAAAAAAGATAAACCGAATTTCTCCTTTTTTAGTCCGACCTGTACATTTACAATATTATTAATTAATTTTTTTTTTCTCCCCTTGTTTTTTTTTGTATTGATTTACAAAAGCAAAAAATAATAATAAAGTAACTCGCTCGTCATGGTCATTCTGAGAACTGCATGGAGAAGTTTTGCGGCCAACAAGAGTGTGACCGAGACATTCTGTCAAAAGGCCGGTCACTGTAACAGTATTCACGTCTCACCAACTAACACCCAGTGGTTCCAAAGTGCAGTCAAAGGTACCTTCGTACACAATATATATATATATATATGTGTGCATGTCAACAATAGTGACAGTGATAATATCAAGTCAAAGAAACTTAATATATATAAGAAAGCAGAAGAATAATAAAGAGGAAGAGGGGGAATAGAATTATACAAGGGGTTGTTTATTAAACATACACTTTTATGCTAACAATAAATAAATAAATAGCAAATGGATCTGTTTTTGGTGCAATTCCTTCAATCTGTGGCCAAAAGGTATGTTAACTATGAATATGGTCTTTATATTGTTTTTAGATCACAAAGATTTAAGTGTTAATAATAATGCATTTCTTTTAAAAAAAAAAACAAATTTTTATAGCGAGGATTTCATGCTTCAGGTAACCAACATAAACACCAACAAAAATTAAGAGAAGAAGAAGAATAAAACGAGCAAACGAACGAACGAAAGAATAGATAAACGAAAGAATGATAATAAAAGCAAATTAGTCCAAAGAGATATGGGATATGCTTTTACTATTACTATTACTATTATTATTATCGTCATCATTATCGACCATTACTACCATTACTACCATTACTATCGTTCAAATATATATATATATATATATATATATGGGATAAAAAGAGAATACGATTGACTGACAAGAAAAGATTTTATAATGTACCAAAACACACATATGGATCTATACATATACATTATATACATATATTATATGTGATTAGTTCCCAGTCGATCTTCCAAGAAGGATCCCTATGAGCAGCTAGGCGTTGGAAAGACAGCTTCCCAATCTGATATCAAAAAAGCTTATTATGCGGCAAGTATAATTGAAATTCATCTAAATGCATTATGTATATCTATATTGTACAATCTTAGTCTAGAAGTACCCTTATTTCTTTATCAACCAGAAGGAAGATCAAAAGAAGATGAATTGTTCATTTATTTAAATTATATATACCATGTTATAATCTTAATTTATTTTATGAAAAGACAAGAGCCATCATCCTGACATTTCTCTATTTTATATTTACATGTATTCTGACTGTCTATATATCTATTTCTTACGTTTTATTAGCTCGCCAAAAAATACCATCCTGACACCAACAAGGATAAAGATGCACGTGAAAAGTTTGTTCAGATCCAGGAAGCCTATGAGATCCTTTCCGATGAACAGAAACGTCAGCAGTATGATCAATTTGGTCATGGTTTTGAAGGTAAATTCAATATGACCCTATCATAAATAAACCAATACATACATTATATATATATATATATATATTCACTGACACACACACACACATTAGGGGCTGGAGGTTCAGGTGGCTTCCACGGTGGTGGAGGAGGTTTCCCAGGTGGTTTTGATCCCAATGACATCTTTAGTCAGTTCTTTGGCGGTGGTCGCGGAGGAGGCGGTCGCGGAGGCAATGATCCTTTCCGTAATGCACCTGGTGATGATATTCAGGTAAACATCTTATATAGATACAAAATATTATAATAAGAAAAGAAAGGGGAAATAAAGAAAGCCAAAAAGGAGAGAAAGAAGGGGAGAGAAAGGATAACGAGTAAGAGTTAAGAAACAATACTAGATTTATTATCTATATATCTATCTGCTCTTTTTTTTAAAATAATAATAATAATAATTACCATTTAATGTTTAACGTTTAATGCTCAACGCTTAACATTAGGTTCCCCTGACATTGTCGTTCATGGAAGCCGTCAAGGGTACGACCAAGTTCGTAAATGTGGATAAGGTAGTCAACTGCTCGACCTGCAAGGGCAGCGGCATGAAAGCTGGCAAACAAAAGAGCACATGTCAGAGTTGCCATGGCTCGGGTGTACAGACCATCATGATGGGTGGATTCCACATGCAGACTACGTGTCAGACTTGCGGAGGCGTCGGTACTTCTATCCCTCACGGCGCAGGTTGTTCCCCTTGCGACGGTGTGGGAAAAGTGCGCGACCGCAAGACAGTTCAGGTCAATGTTCCCCCAGGTGTCGATCAAAATTCACGCATCAGAGTTTCTGGTGAAGGCGACGCCCCTATCAAGGGACAGGGATCCAATGGCGATCTATTTGTTACTCTCAACGTAAAGTATCCTAAAAGAGTGTCATATCAACCAACATACCAACACACACACACGCACACACACACACAATCTAATATTTTCTATGGCTATTGTTATCTATACCTATAGGTAATCCCTTCAAAGATATTCCACAGAAAGGACTATGATCTATTTGTTGAAGCCAAATTGCCTTTCTACAAGGCCATGTTGGGTGGCCAGATCCGTATTCCTACTGTCGATGGCGATGTAGACCTAAAGATCCCCTCTGGCTCCCAGCCGGGTGACAATGTGTCTCTGCGCGGCCGTGGTGTTCAGCGTCTTCGCAGCAATATCCGGGGAGACCAGATCGTGACTCTCAAGGTCGAGCTTCCCCGATCTCTCAAGGGAAAACAGCGTGAATTGATTGAGCAGTACGCTAGTCTTGTAGACGAAGACTATCGTCCCAAAGAATCCGTAACACCTACATCCCCAGATACTCCTCCCCCTTCTCCCTCTCCCTCTTCTTCTTCTTCTTCTTTTGAAAACGACAACGACGACGACGATATCAAAGAATCGACCAAAGAAACCGAGAAACACAAAGGTTTCCTGAAGAATGCCTTTGGAAAACTCAAGGACAAAATCTACCACGAAGACAAGGACAAAAAGGATAAGGACAACAACACATCTTCATAAACGTTGCTTTTCTTTTCTTTTCTTTTGATTTTTTTTGATGTTTGATGTTTGATTTTGTTATGTTTTGTTATGTTATATTTTGTATTCCCCCCCCTTTTCCTCTTCTTTTTACACTTCTTTGTCCAAAATAGAATATTTGTCTCTCTAACTATCTATCTCTCTTTTTTTTTTCTCTTTATAAATGAAATAAAATAAAATGTCAATTCCAAATAGAACGAGAAAGGAATAAAGGAAGAAAGATAAAGAGAATATTTATCCTCGCATATCCACGCATGGATAATGAATTGTAGAAGAGGATGATAAGAATATATATATAAAGATATATAGATAGGCTTTGGCGTGTAAGAGAAGAAAAGGTGTGTTAGAGGGGATGGAAAGAATATATTTGGTTAATTTGGTTAATTTGGTAAATCTGGTAAATTGGGCTCGTTTGACTTGGGTTGACTGATCTCTTTTCTTCTTCTTCTTCTTCTTCCTTTTACTTATTCTTTTTTACTTCATTTTTCTTTGGGTTTGGGTTTGGGTTTGGTTTAAGGTTTGTTGACGTATTGGCGCATTCGATCTAGTTCCTTGTGCACATCTTTTCTGCTAATAGTCGACCTTCGGCCAGTACCATCTTCACCACGTCCATTGGAAGCCGCGGTATTCAAAAGAGATACAGGCGAGGCAGCTGTAGGCGAGGCAGGAGACCCACCAGATGTCGCCTTTTTGGATAGCAAGGACTGGAAAAAGTTGGCCAAGACTTCGTGAGAAGGTCCTCCGGGTCCACCAGCGCCACTGCTCAATGGACTACCGGGACTTCCGGCCGCAGCAGGCACATTATTTCCAAGACTGGTTTGGATACGATCCACAGGATTAGGGCTTGCCGTCACTCCCTTTAATCCAGGCTTGTCCAAAGGTGAATCCTTATGTTGATTTTTGAAGTTTTTATTAGTACTTAATTCATTTATTAATTCGTTCAATTATATTATATTATATTACTGCTTCTACTGTTTTTTTTTTAAAAAAATAATAATAACAATAATATAAAATTACCTTGTGTCTTCTTCCATTTTCTTCTCTCTCTGCGCCTACACGCATCATATCTGCGGTCACAGGCGAGGCACCCAGTGGTCCGACCACACTAGGTCGTGCAATTGCAGCACTTCCAGTACCCTGTCGGGTAGAAGTGCCTTCAGATGCTCTTTGAAGAGTCTCAAAGTGACGCTCAAAGAATACTTGCTCATCTTCACATGCAGTAGTCGGAGGAATGTTGAGAGGCTGTTGTATAATTTGTTTTAATTAGCAGCCCAAACCTCTCCCTCTCTCCATTTTATATTAATATTGTGATTTACCTGTTCTTCGGTTTCTGGATCGGGTATTGCGTCTTCGTAGATACCTCTCGCACCATGACTTCCAGGCTGCTGTCGGTCCACAATAGCTTCCATATCAGAATCCCATCCCTGATGCACACTCTCACAGTCAAAGCCATCACGTAACACTCGCAATTTTCCCCACGAGTCCCAGCCCGAGGGTACTAATACCGCATCTCTTTCTACCACCTGAGCCTTTGTGGTGAAAGGGAACGTTTTGGTGGTTGTGGCCAATAGACGATGTAAGAGATACTGGCGCAGATTGTGGAAAGTGTAGGGTTGGAGAGTCGAGGTGTAGAACAAGGATGCACCGTCTAGATAATTATTGATATTAGTTTATAAGTTATGCAGAGTAAATGCACAACATCCACACAATGATCTAACTATTGACCACCTCTTTTATTCTGTTTTCTATTTCTCTATTTCTCTCTCTATATATACACATCTCCCTCCCATATGTCTTTTCTCTGGTATATAGATAGTGGGAATAATACTTGCACTTCATGCACACACAGCGAAGAGTCTGTTGGATGAAATCAAATTGTTCTTCCTTGTAGTCTTGTGTTTGCTCAAGTTTGTTAAGTGTGTCACTCTACAAACTGGTCGTGTGAATTTAAAGGCCAAGAAAGAAAACAAGAAAGAAAATGACAACGAATGTATCTAACCTTGCAACAGACAACTACAATTGGAATACCCAAGTTTGTTGTGAGGCAGCCCTGAGTCAATGGTAAGGTAACTTGGTCTGCAGCTGTCGTGGTTGTCACAAGCGGTGCGGTCACAAATCCAGATGGTGTAGATGGAACTGAACTTGTTGATGTGGATGGTACGACGGCAAACCCGGTTGTGAGGGGTGAAGGTTCAGAATATGTTTGAAGGTAATGTTCAACTGTAAAAGATATATATATATTATGCACACATCCATAATTTAATTACAAGCATCTTTATTTTCACTCTTATATATATATATATATATATATATATATATATATATTGATTGATTGATTGATTGATATTCCATCTCATGGATTTCACACAACAAACCTTTTTCTCTTAATTCATCCACAATAGCCTTTCCACGACTCCATGATTCACCAGCACTGCCTTCTTTGCAGATCTCATCAATGGCATGTTGCAACACATTAATCCAGCGTTGAAGTGTTTCAAGGAATTTCCAGGGACGTGTCCAGTCCAAGACGATCAGTACTGTAGAGTCTGCAAGTGTATGAGAGCTGAGGGCAAACTTGAGAAGTGGGAGGTATTCTGGTGCCGACAAGCCCAACTGATATAATCCCAAGCGTGCAATAGCTTTTATATATATATATATATTTATTTTATTATTATCATTATCATTATCATTATCATTATTGCAAGGAGAATATAGATATATAAAGGAAGAAGTGTTATTATTGTTTTTGAGATTATTGTGGTATTTTGTTGAGTTATTTGATAGATTAAATATTAATTAAATATTATTAAATTAAATTAAATTAAATTATCATATCATATTGGCTTCCTTTTTTTTGTAATTTAAAAGTCTCACCTTCATTCTCTTCATCGTGAACTTCAATGAATGTGTAGCTTAGGGCAAGGGTGGCGGTTGCGTCGTCTTTGTCAAGCATGTCAAGTGGCATGGGGGTATAGTTGTTGGTGGCATTGACACCAAATGAATCATTGGCCGAGACTTCGTCATTATCAAGCTTGACAGCTTGCGGTCCTGGATCGTGTTTGAGGTAGTGGATGAGAGTTGACTTGCCCGAACCGGGATCACCTATGTATATATGTATGTGTGTTGTGTATGTGTGTATATTGTATATGTGTGTGCGTATGCGTATGCGTGCGTGTGTGCGTGCGTGCGTGTGCGTGTAGTATGTGGTACGTGTGTAGTGTGCATATATATATATATATATATATTATAATTTTTTTTTTACAAAGAGGCATAATTGTTTAGCAAGAGGTATTTTTTTTTGTTTTTGTAGATTGTATATATTGTGTTTAAATTTGCCCAAATGTATAATGAAATTGAATGTAATGTAGTGTTTGAATTCAAGACTTTTGCTTATTCATCCATTCTTTTCCTTTTTTCCTTTTCTCATTGTACTGTATTGACCTTTTCTTTCTTTTCTTTTCTATTTTCTTCTCTTGTCTTTATATTTCTTTTTTGAGGTTGCCTCTAAATAAAGATTCTGAATTTGCTGTATATTACCTAAGATGAGTACATTCTTGCTTGGGACCATCTTGGATGATGCAGTTCCCTTTAGAATGGTGGACCAAATTTCATCGCGTTCGGGATTCGTTTGAGTGCCTGTACCCGATGGTTGAGAGGTGGTCGACTGGCTTTGGGTCGGGATTGCCGTCAATAGACTTAGGTTTTGGTTGGAGGTTTCGGGCAAAGTAACCGTCATTTAAAACAAACAGAAGAAAAAGAAAAGAAAGAAGAAGTAATAATATAGAAATAATAAAGAGAGAATAAAGGTGGGATTTTGACCTAGAAAAAAAAAATAACAATAAAAAAAATTATATATATATTTATATAAAATAAGGTGTGTGTGCGTGTGTGTGTGTGTGTACAAGTTTACTTGACTTTTTTTTTTATATATAAATATATATCCATTTTTCTCCATTTTTCTTAACCCCCCGACCTTATAAAAAATCAAATATACATTAGTCCCCTCACTCAATCACTCACTCACTCGCACAGTAATTTGTGTTTTTGCCCTCTTTATATATATATACGATTTTTTCTTGTCTTATCCTTCATTATCAAATTTTTGCCTTTGTACATTTTCACACCTTTTATTATATTTTTATAGCAGTGATTATTCCTAGTTTTTAATTTTATTTCATTTTTGAAATTCTTCTTCATCTTGTACCACTACTACGGCTGCTACTGCTACTACTTCTTTTACTTCTTCAATTACTACTATTACTACTATTACTTCTTTTTTTTTCTTTGGTTCATTTTCGCGCTGTTTCAAATAACTATATATATATATATAAAAGGGGGGGAGGGGGGGGTAGAGGATTTAAACAAAAGAATGGACAAGTGAATAAGCGAACAAATAATGAGAGAGAGAGAGAGAAATAATGGTGACGTTTACCTTTTTTTCTTTTCTCTTTTTTTTTGATACCAAAAAAAGAAAGATTAATATATATCTCTTTAAAGTTTATTTAAAAATAATAAAATAAATAAGACAATGTTCAGACGTAGAGTAAAGAAAGCCGAAAAACCAAGCTTTCCAGCTGATATTGACGGCTTTGGATATGTAATCAAATCTGACGGAAGCATCAGAAGCAAAGAGGAAGGCAAGCCTTTTTCTTTTTATTTGCTTTTACTTTATTTTATATGCATATTCGTATTCATATATACATACACACACGCATAAGCAAATAAACTCATTCAGACAAATCTATGCACATACATTAACGCGTACAAACACACAGACACTCCTTATAACTTTGAAGTCATTCCAAAGGATCGTCCTTACAATGAAGCACGTTATGATGCATTTATCGGTACAGAAATCATCATTTGATTGTGTGAATCTTATCTGACTAGATCATATACATGTATACATCTTTAATAGCATTGATTGGTGATGAGGTTGAAAAGAGACTTCAACAAGAACCTCTTTGTTTCCAAAAGACACTTATTCCTAAGGGCGCCAAAGAATCCGATCCTCACACATACATTTATATGACGTAAATTCAATCTGTTTTGATATATATATACGTACATACATACATACATACATACATATATGTCTTGCTTACTTGAATTGACATTTTGTGCGTGGCATTTTATGTGGCATATATTTTACGCACAGACCAAATGCATTGACGACCACAGACAAACTCCTGTTCTTGATCCCCGGCAACAACACGAGGTAAAGGAAGATTAAAGATATTTATTATTACTATTATTATTGCTATTTAATACGTGTGGATGTGGATGTGGATGTGGATGTGGTCAAGGGCTATTATTCTGATTTCTCTCTCCTTGATTATTATTATTTTATAATAATAATAATAATAATAATACTAATTTTTATAGAATCGGACAGTGGAGTAGACGTGTGATGTGCGATGAGAGTATAATGGTAAATATGTGTAAGCAAAAGAGGGAAAAAAGAAAAGAAAAGAAAATGTATGCTAAAGTGACAAATTATAGAGTGGATCGATGATCGAAGTTGCTACGATGGCTAAAGATAGAGGCTATGAAACTATCATCTTCAACCCAAACGGTATATACTGGTACAACAACAAAGCTTGGGTTAGTAACACTACAGTGACATCTGTGGGATGCGTGGAATGTGTGCATGTTATTAATATCAAATACAGGAAGTACCACCACTTAAAAATATCGACTTTATTACCGTTCCTGGTAATATATTTATATCCTTCACATACACATGTATAATATATCTGCTTGATTTTACCCTCCCAACCCTACCTTTTCTCCAGTAGCAATTAGTGGTGGTGACAGTGGTGGTGACAGTGGTGATGATTGATAATGATAGTGATACCATTTTCATTACTATTATTATTCCAATTACCATTACAATTACTATTGTTGTAGTCGTAGTAGTAGCTGTTGTTGTTGTTATTGTTTCTTTAGAAAAGGAGAAGGGGTATAGGAGGGGCTAGAACAGCAAAATATGGCAATATGAAAGCTTATGATTCCTTTTTTGGCTAGAAAATGACTCGCCCGAAGCACATTGCCACTACGTGTTTGAAAACTTTGTTAGGTGAGTCAAATAATAATAACAATAGTAATTATGCTACCATACGTATGCATGTATGTATGTATGTATGTATATATATATGTTTAGCTTGCTCTTTTGTCATTATCGAATCCTACTAACCATCTATACTATACATGTATATGTATGACTTCTTTTGACAGAAATACAAAGGCTACAAGAATCGCAGCAATTACTCTTGGATGGGGTGGTCACTGCTTTACTGAAATTCTCAACAAGAATTGTAAGATCGATCAAAAAAAAATAGAACCAAAACCAAAACCAAACAATCATCTCTTACAAGATGTGCATGAGTTCATATGACAATTTTATTTATTTATTTTTATTTTTCAGTTGACTTTCTTAAAGACCGCATGCAGGCCGTAGCAATGGCTGACAGTGTTCATTCGAGAGATCTTGTGGATGGTTCTGACAAGAGAGCATGGATGTTGAGTGTAGGTCAACAAGATAACCTAGAAATCTAGAATAAGTATTATGTTTATGATCATGCTTATTCTTATGATTATAATTATAATTATGATTATTGCGCGTGTGTGCGTGTGTGCGTATGTAAATGAAAAATAATCCAAATCATTATTTTCTTTATGTAGCATGCTGTCAACTGGGCAGTGTCGCAGCAAGCCCGTGGTGAGATCATTGCTGACACTCGTTTCGGATGCGAAGTATTATCATCAAGTAAGTGTTATATATGTGTATTGCAAAAAAAAAAGACTCTAGACTTCTTATAAATGTTCTTTATTTCTTTGTGTCTTTGATTTACAAAATTAGATTGTGAGATCGCAGACTTTACACTTCCTTCTAGTATCAAAGACATTGTGAAGTTTATCGATATCAAGATGGGAGACCTCAAGCTTGAAATTGAGGGTAATGGTGATCAGGAGGAAGAGGAGGAATCGGAATTGACCAAGGAAGAAGAGGCTGAGTTGAAGGAGCACTTGAGTATATTGAGTGTTGGATAAGTTTGATTATGGTATTTTGGCTGTTGTTTAGTAATACAACACAACACAACACAACACAATACAATACAGCTACCAAGGAATCAAAAATCAAAAACCAATAAGTGGTTCATAGTGAGAACATCAAAATATCAAATCTCATGTATCAAATGGCAAATATCTTTCCCTTTGATCTCTTGACTGTTGAGAGCATGTATAGATGTAATGTAATGTATGTAATCTATGTATTTCATTCATATTACAAATGGGCCAAGTCAGTTGATTTGGTTGTATAAATGCATATATATATACTTGTCTGCAGTGTACATAAATGGATAGAACCCCTTTGAGTTTAGTGCTTTAAATCTTACAAGATATAGTTCATGTCACTATATGTTGTGTGTGGGTGTAAATATAGCCTGAAGCCAAACAACAAACTGTTTGTGAAGGAGGAACATACAAAATAGAAATAGGAAGAGAGAAAGAGGGTTGGAGAAGAAAACAAGGGATAATGGGGCGAACAGTTTATTCTTACAAGAAAATAAATATAACTGCTTTTGTAAGCAATAAGCAATAAGCAATAAGCAGTAAAAAAAAACAAGCAGTAAGCAGTAAGCAGTAATCAGTAAGAACAACTCATAGCTCTTGCCTTGCCTTACTTTACCTTACTTCACCTTCCCTTGTCTTCCCTTGCCTTTACCCCTCTATCCCTCTTCTTCCCTCCCCTTCCCCTTCTCTCCCCCTCTCCTCCTCCTCTTGCTCTAACTTTTACTCTTACTCTCTGCCTTTATGTTTCTATCCCTTCCAAACATCCTCCTTTAATTATTGTTATTATATGCGTGTGTATATTTTGCAAAAAGAAAAGGAATCATTGTTATGATTGCTATATGGACCTGCCCTGATTATGAAAATCTCTTTTATTTTTACTTTTTTTTTTATTCTTAATAAACTGACAGCAAGGCACTTGCAGTACCAGAAAATACATTGTATATTTAAATATAGAGAGAAAGATATTAACAGCAAGGCAGAAGCACAGCCATCATGTCAAATACTCTCAGGTATACAGTTTTGTTTATATCCTACCTCTTTATTTGCTATTCTTATATATAAGCTTCTTCTTCTTATTCTTATTTACTTACTTATTTAACTAAATAAATAAAAACCCAAAAATAATGATCTCTAACCCTTTCGCTTCCCTATCCTTCGTTTCCCTTTAGTTGACCTTCCTCCGCTTTCCCCTGAGAATACACACAATATAGACTCAAAGGCGACTATGGAATCTTAAGCATATATATATAGTTTGCCACCAGAAAAAAAGAAGAAGAATAAGAAAAAGAAAAACCAGCACCTTATTCTTTTCTTTAGTTTCTTATTCTTTATCGTCTTCTTCTTTTGATAAATAGATAGGGTATCGAGCTTTAGTATTTTGAGAAATAAGGATCTTACTTTATCCTTTTTCAATTATTGTTTGGATACTTTGAACATAAGGATAAAGGGGGATGAGGCGCCAAATGATAATAATAAATAAACAATAATAAATAAGATAAATAACGGAGTGTCGGACAGCAAGTTTAAGATGTGATGAACAAGGCCAAGCAAAATAAAATAAAAGGGATTTACTATTATTTTAGAGGTAAACATTAATGCAGACCAAAGATAGATTCTATCGAATAAGATCAAACTTATAAGCCAACCAATAGACACAATTCACTAAATATAAATATAAATATAAAAATAAAAATAAAAATAAAAATAAAAATAAGAGTAAGAATAAGAATAAGAATATATTGTACAGGTTAGTATAAATATTTATATATATTATATATTACTTATTTATATTATGGGCAATAATAATTAATACGTTACTATAGAAACAACCTCTTTTTAACATGTCCAGTGCTAAATCTTTTTTTTTTTTTTCAAAAAATAATAATAATAAATCAATTCTGTTTTATTATTTTTTTGGTTGGATTTGCAAATCTATAAGTTTAAGTCGATCTTACTTTCTTTTCTTTTTCTTTTTTCTTTTTCTTTTCTTTCTCTATTAATTACCTTGGTTACCATTTCTATATCTTCTGCATTTTCTACTTGCTCTATCACTACCTCTTGTTCTCATTTTGATTTCCTCTCTTAATAACTACATAGACAATATGTACCAAAGCATGGGCCAAGCAACCCCGTACAGTTCTCTGTCGGACATCTACCCAAATCAATACAACTCTCCCGTAATGTCTCCCTCTTCTGCGCCCATCACAGGCAGTCCTCTTGGTTGTGAGCCCTACAGCACACACCAAAGCTCTCTTGGAAGTCCAAGCCCCACTCATACCCCTACTCAAATAAACGCTCAGACAACAAGACCCAACTCCACTTCCACTTCGAGTCCTATTTCCACGTCTACCTCTAGTCCCAGTCCTAGCCACAATAGCCACCAACCCACAAACAACACAACCACAACCACAAACACTCACTATAGCACACCTACATCTACATCTACTGGCACATCTACAGCCACAGCTACATCGACACCTACCCCTACACACACATCAACATATACTCCAGCATCGTACCTCTCATCACACTGGTCTTCTCCCGGATTGTCTTGGTCAGCCAGTCCTCCGCTTCCAGTCACAAGCTACCAACCCAATCGACCATACTACTCAAACCTGAACAGTTCGTGTTTTTCCTCGACCACTTCTCTCACCGGTCTACCGATCCAAAGACCAAAGCTCACCACAACAGTATGGGAGGATGAATCTACAGTGTGTTACCAGGTAGACACTCAAAATGTGTGTGTTGCACGAAGACAAGGTAAAAATAAATAAATAAATAAATAAATAAATAAATAAATAGCTCGATAACAAACAAATAATAAAATGTTTAGTTTAATTTACAAACCTCACTCAATAGATAATGATATGATCAATGGTACCAAATTGCTCAACGTGGTGGGCATGTCTCGAGGCAAGCGCGATGGAATCCTAAAAAATGAAAAGGGCCGGGTGGTAGTCAAAGTAGGAGCAATGCATCTCAAGGGTGTTTGGTAAATATCAAGCCTTCTTTCTTTATCTATTTCTTTATATCCATAGATACATGTACATAGATATACATATAGTTTAATAATTATCCAGAATAAAAAAGAAAAGCATCCTAACAAGTCTAATAGGATTACATTTTCACGCGCCCGATACTTGGCCATGAAATTTAAGATTTATGATCTGCTGTTCCCCCTCTTCACAGACGATCCATCGGCCTATCTGCTGGTCTCCCTCGATCACCCGGCCAACAAGAATCTCCACACAGCAAAAGGCACCAAGACTACTTGTGAATCGATATGTGCTCCATCATGGGACACCTCACACACCACAGGCCTACCCAGGCTTTCTCAGTCTGAAGGCAAGCATTCTCTTTTATATATATATCTGTGTGTGTGTAAATTCTCAGGCATGTTTACTAACCCCAACCCAACCCCTTCTTTATATATTTATATTTATACAAACAGTGTCTCTACCTCATCCGTTTACATATAGCCCTGTCCCTGGATTGCTGAGTTCTCACTTTTTGCAAGACACACCTATGTACATGCAGTGTGAGCGAACACTTCAAAGGACAAGTTTCAGTGGTGTGTCATACCGACAATCCTATCCAGCAACTACAGCTACAGCTACAGCAACAACAATGACAACGACAACAACAGCCGCAGCAACAACCTTGCAACATCAACAGCATCAGCATCATAATCAACAACAACAACAACAGCAGCAGCAAATATATACAACCTTACACGACCTTGGATCAGAATCTTCCTCTTCTTCTTCTCCTTTGTACCAGCACCGTTCATTCTTGTCACATTCTCAACGCTTCAGTGATAATCTGGGACTAGAGTCTGAAGACTACAAGTACAAGTACTCTGTTGGTGGTTCTCAGAATGAATCATCTTTGTACCATTTACCCAAGTCCTTGCACACCTTACAGTTGACCGATCTCCCTTCAACGTTTGGCATGGAACAGACCTTGGGTAAACACAAACAAAAGGATCTAGAGAGTGCCTTTCAGATCCATTTACCCGAGAAGAAAGTCAAAAAATACATCAAAAAGAACTAATGCACATTTTTATTTTATTTTTAAACAAAATCCCACCCCTCCTCTTTTACTTACATAATAATAATAATAATAATAATACTTTTTTTCTCTCTCTCTCTCTTTCATTCAACCATTCAACCAATCAGCCAATTTCAATTAACCAAGCAACCAACCAATCAATCAATCAATCAATTTCTATCAATCAATTTCAATTAATTAATTAATTCATTCATTCATTCTTTCTTTCTTTCTTTCTTTATTTTACTTTCTCTTAATAGCTGTATAATTTCTTATATGTTAATCATTTTGTACAATCACAATTTTCGTGATTTCTTACTGTATTTTCACAAAACATTTGCCCAGTCTCTTTTTAATAAAAACAAAACAAAAAACCCACAAAAAAAATGAAAAACGAAAAAGGAGGAATTGTTAACTAATCCACCAATAAATTTTCTATAATATAATCCAATTGGATCCATAAAGATATTATTAATATTAATAATAATCTAATTGGTGAATAAGAGAATGATTCTTTCTTTATTTCTTTTATGACCTCTTTATTTTTGTCTGGATTGAGCAAATATATATATAAAAAGCATAAGATATAATATCAGTGCCACTCTCGTTATGTCTTTAGAAAAAGTAAATGTTCAACTGTCAAAACAGCGATTAAATCTTGTATTTACTAAAAGATAGAAATTGTGTCCAATTGAAAATAGGCTGTAGGAAAATAGGTAAAATTAAGGACCAAATGGCACATCATATAGCATCTAGGCTTACACGAGTAAACCTTTAGCGATCAAGGTAACTACATATATATATACATATATACACATGATTGCTTTATAAACATAGATAAATGGGGTATTTCTTCTTAATGTAGTCCTCTTGAGCGGGCCACCATTCTAACTCGTCCCTTTCTTTTTATAATTTCATTTTATATCTTTAAAACATTTCACTTCCCAAGTCACTTGACCTGGCTCTCAACTACTTTTTTTTTATTTATTTATATAAAAAATACCCCCCCCCCCCCACTTTCAAATTAATCTTTAAAAAGGAGTGTAGATGCTCTGTATGCAGGAACAAACGGTTAGGATTTGGTCGTGTATCTGTTTTGACGTTTGAGCGTCATAAAGACCACGATGAACGTATTGAAGACATCCATAATTGTAGGTTCTCTCTCTCTCTCTCTCTCTCTCTCTCTCTTTACTTTATTTAAAAGCTATTAGTTGCGAATATGACAGACAATTGAACATTGATTGTGTGAATGTAGCACCGGATTTTGAAGGGATCCTTGTTTCCTGGCTACGCAAAAAGGACAACTATAAGAGATGGAAAAAAGATGATCCACAAGACAAAACAAAAGATGCCCTGTGTACAGAAATTAAAGAACTCATGGAAGAGTGTGCAATCCTTCTCTGTCAAAAACAAGCCATTTACGCAAAGATCCAGCATATACAGCAGAATTTCCTTGAGTCACAAATACTTCACCGACTTCAATTCCGGCGGATTGAAGAAGGGATGAAACGTCATGGGGTGCCAAATGAACTCGTTGAAAACACTATAATGGGTATACACACACACACACACACACACACACACATATATATATATATATATATATACTTTTTACTTAACTTTCTTTATGTAGAGTTAATGATGAAAGTTTTCCCTTTCTATTACGATCTCGTTCCAGTAATGGGTGTTAATCTACAGACCGACCCTGTCTTAATTTCCTCGTCCACAGTCAAAACCTATCCTTGGGGCCCCCCCATTCCTTGGAAAAAAGCAGGTCTTAGAAACATCGATAATTCCGAGAGAACCAATGTGGTTGAATACATTAAGGAATCGGATATGCTTTATCAGAAGAAGGCAGAGGGCGAAGGAAAACCTAAGCTTCTTAATGTAGATTCCTCTGAGGCCGACCGACCCAGGAAAGGGGTTCGTGATAGAGATATTATGATGGATATAAGTGGGCTCGTTAGGGATTTCGATCAAGTAGAGGAAGAATAACTTTCTCTAGATAAGAAACGTTTCGAACTTCAAGAAGAACACACACTAAATATGGAAAGGATAAAGAAGCAAAGGATTACTTGGAGGAAAAAGTTAATGGAAGAAGAAAAGAGATTGGAGCTTGCAGAAGAAAAAGCTAAAGGAAGTGGCAGAAAAAAATGAAGCATTTAGGGTCAAAAGAAGTTTGGTTAAAACCGACTTTATTTTTGAATTGTATGGCGCAGGCTTTCCAAGAAAAAGGATTTTGGAGATTTTGGACAATACGGGGATATAGAAGGATAAATGTACATACGCAAGCCAAACAAAAAAAAATAGATTAATTATAAGCATTATACAGGAAGAAATGTCTTTAATGTATATTTCAATCTTGGTCAATTACCCCACTCTGTTCATAAACAAGTCGACATTGGGCTTGAATAAGCTGGAGGTGTATTTGGACTCTGTTGCCTATGAATATTGAAAAGTGTTATATTTCTGACAATAATCACAGTAATAAACTTGTTCCAATACTATTCAAAAGCGAAAGAGTCGAGTTAGAAGTTTTGAATTTTATGAACAAATTTGATATATATTTTATTCTTTTCCGGGATATTTAATTTACACTTCATAGTCTGAAATGACTAGCTTGTTAGTGCCATTTACATCACCTAATAAAAGGATAGATTTTGATGTCTTCAATAATATTTATTTGCTAATTGGTTTCAGCTTTTACTCATATAGGACTACTAGTAGTATTTAAATTTTGTTAAAAGAAAAATATTGGTAATTCCTACTATTTTCTGACCATCATCCTCAAATATCTTTTGACAAACACTCATTCTCTTAAATAATCTTGACACCTTCAATTATCGGTATAACCTCATTTCAATAAAACTCAACCTGAAATTCACAATTCCGCTACTTATCGTATTGCGATGTGATCCAGATAATATATATGTATGTATGTATTTTGCGTTCTTTTCTACCGTTTAATTATTATTTAGTATCGCTTTGAAAGAAACGTGTGCTTCTTTCCTAGTAACTGTTTGTGTATTTTGTATCTACTTGTACAAGCAAAATAAATAAAAAAGCTTTTTCTTGTGTTCTTGAACAAAAAGTGCACAGACCACTTTAGAGTAACCTACAAATCGCCGTTATAGAAACTTGTATTCCCCTTTGAGAATTATTGCTACACCGATAAAAACTAAACTCTTCTTTACTCTTTTTACTTCCTTGCTTCACTTTACTTCACTTTGCAAAGGTATTTTGTACAGATTTTTTGATGAAATTTATAGGCTGTTACTACTGTCATATAAAAGTTACACAAACTCACAAAAAAGAGTTTACAGCTATGTCACTGCTCTGACGTGGGAGTCAAAAAAACACCCTGGCAAAAAAAAGCGCAGTCCCAAACTTTAGTCGCAGACTGTGGGTATATCAAAATAAAGCCCATTCAACCGACACGATTTTCTTCTCTTTAGCTTTTTTTATACTCTGGAGACGGGTACCCCCTGATTGCCTGTAGTTGAGTTTGACGCGCTACCTATAGGTGATTGGGAGACACTCTTTTTCCATTTTGTGCAGGAAAAAGCGGAAGTGCGTCGTCTCTAGCTTCTTAGTTAATTCTTAGAGGCGCAGATCAACATTGTTCTGAATTGTGAATTTAATTGTATAATTTCTGAAACAATGGCGACGAGCAATGTTTAAAAAAAGCTGCCGCCGAGTTAGCATCATGAAAGTTTATTGAGTGGAGGACGGGGAGGAAGTGGAGTTTACTGCCGACTCTTCATGAAATCCTTGTTCGAAGCTCTCTGGAACTGACGGTGTTGCTTGGTGGTCGAACACGCTGGACCCTGCTACTTTGTGGTAGGTTTCTCTGGTACGTTCGCAGGCCCTTCTCAGTGATGAGATAGGGTAGTTGGGATGAACCCGGTTGTTGTCTTACGCCACGGATGAACACCATTCCCACACCTCCTTCGCTACCAAGTCAGGTTTACGTCCTGAGGGAGATTGAGCCGCGTAATGCGGGGACAAAGAACTTGGTGTCATGCTTTTTATTTTTTTACATTAGTAAAAAAACATTAAGTGAAATCATATAAAATAAAATAGCTCCTTTATGTATATTTCTTTAAATAAATAAATAAAGCCTTTTTTTTTTTAATTATTATCGTCTTTAATACAAAACACGCGTTTGGACTTTTTTTTTACTTGATTGAAGAGGTTAATTTTGTAATTAGAAAGTCTCCTTTATAAGAAAAATTAATCTAGTTAAAGAAATCTGAAGATTAATATAATATAATATGGGTGCTCTTATAATTTTGTTGATCGCCGTGTTGAATTGTATAGGCTTTATTTGTCTGTAAAGTCCATTAGGAAAACTCAGAATAATTCTTAAGAATGCCAATGGCGTGAAATTCATAACTGAATTTGGCTAATCTGTATGGAAATTGTAAAGGAGATGCACCGGAATGAAATAGAAGGAAAAAATAAAATAAAAAAGAAGAGAGACGAAAAGGTATAAAAAATGTGTGTTTGAAAGAGAGACATAAAAGGTGTGGTGAATTGAGTACACAAGCAATGTCTTCGTTGTATTTACACAGGCTGTGGATAGAAAAGTTCAATTTGGATGTATTTATGAAACAATAATCATTATCGACAAGTCTTTTTGTACTTTGAATATCAATAAATGCTTGGTACCCTCTATTCGCTATTACATACGCACACGCACAATTGTATTCATAGTGGAAAATATGATTTGAATTCAAATAAGAAGAGTGAACAAGTATTGATACATTACAAAGTACAACCCTTCAATATTTTCTATAAAAATAACTATCAAAAGCACCAGCTGCTCTTATATTACAGCTCTTAAAGATAATTTGGCAGATATAGGATATGTTGGCTAGCAAGGTATGTATATCATAAAAGAGATACATTGTCATATTGAGCTGCACGGAGTGAAGTGATATTTTGATAGATGCCGGCTATTATAGTCGATTCTTTGATAGAGTCTATTTGTATGTTGTTTTTTTGCTTTGTTCTGCTTTGTTTAAGCTCAAGCAATCAAAAGATACTGTGGTTTTGCCATTTCCATATCGTCGATTTTCTTTAAACTAGATAATGTTGGTAAAAGTCCAAATTATAAGAAAAAATGAATAAAAATAATGAGTAAAGGCAATACTAATAGTAGTAAAAGTAGGCATTTAAATACGGCGCTTCTATCTCGATTATGTTGCCTCCCAGCTTGGAGCAAAAGTTTATTTTATCATGACTCTTTTTCTCTCGAGCATGGTATTTCTCTGGAACTTGTAATTGGTCTAACACGATGCTCTTGTCTTAGACATGGTCTGTATAGAACCTTTGTTCTTTTGTTGACAGTTGCCGTTTTATTTTTTGCTATTGCTCAGAATCAATAAAGGTGCCTCGATACTGTGTTATTGGATTCCAGAATCATGGATACACCTCAAACAAAAAACAGAAAAACAGAAAAAAACCAAGTCACTCTCCTTGTATTGAACTGCAAAATATTCTTTTTGTCCTTGAGAATCTTAGATTAGAACTGACAGCAATAAGAAAATAAGTCAAAGTTTGATATCTTAGTCTCTGTGTTTTTTAATGGATTGCATTTGATCTTTATTCCAAAAGAAAGAGAGGTTGCTTAATAAGGGATTTATGTTCTGGGGAGTTGAAGAAGAAGAATAAAATGAACGAAAATAAATTAAATTTTTGGTGTGTATACGTGGTTCGCTTGGTTCAATAATCAATCTTGATGAATCTGGCCTTTGTTTGCTTGGAATTTTCATGATCTAACTCTTATCTTTTATATTAATAATGATATTAATAGGAACAGTAATAAGGGTAGCAAAATAAGAAGAAACGAATGAAAAATATATTATCCCATGTACATTGTATATAAAATTAGTCTTTGTTTAAAGAATGACGATTGTGGCGGGTTCTCTAGGTCTAGGTTAAATCAAACTAGACTAGGCTTATTTTATGATTAATATTAATATTAATATTAATATTAATATGAGGCTCATACGAGTCAGGATCTCTTTAATATTGACTTTGTTTGTTTAGGGTTTCGTGGCTCTTTATTTTATAAGAAAGAAAGGTAGACATAAGGGGGAAGGGGAGAAAGGTAAATTGAGTACCTTTATTTTATCTGTGTGTAAATAGATTGCTTGATATTCATCTTCTTCCAGTTTCACATCAGCCACAGCGTCATTTAGGTTCTTCCAACTGTGGAAACTCGTATACTTGATGCATTATTGGATTCTTATATTTCTTAAATAAAGGTCGGTATCATATAAATGACACAAAGGGGATATGTAACTATTGTGTTTCTTCTTTCTTCATTAATTGCCACACGTATATTGATAAATCAATAAATTTATATATATAAACATTTCCTTTTTGATCTTCCTTTTCATTTTGATCTTCATCTTCATAATAAAAATTATATATATATATACATTTGAAATCCGACCAATGTTTTTTCTTTTTATTTTATTTTCAGTAGGTGACTATAATTAAGGGCGGAAAAAGGCTTAATACATATATATACATAGCTATGTACATATATCTTTGTAAAGAAGTGATAGAAGAATAAGTTAAAAAAGTATATAATACAATAGACACTAGGCATGATACACATCATACAGTAAATATTAATAAATAAATATATAAAAAAGGGTCAGCCACCATTTTTGAATAATTTTGGAGTGAAATCAAGTGAGATCTTTTTTTAACTACAACAAGCTTTTTTTTTCTTTTCTTTTTTCTGTGCGATTGCTTGTACGAGGCGTCGCCTTAGTTTCCCTAAATGGGATAGGCAGGTCACCGCCAATTCGTAGTCGGAGTTATAGTTGATGTGGTTCTCGTGGTGGGAGTAATGTGGCGCGGGTCAATGAGCCAATCCGCTAAAAGCCACATTGACCGGCTTGGCACTGTTACAAAAAAAGAAAATCCAGCCCGTGTCACAGCTGGAGAACAAATAAAATAAATAAAATAAAATAAAAATTAAAGTAGAGAGAAAGAGAAAAAAAAAAAAGAGCGCGGACAAGAGTGAAATAAAAACAACAAAAGTATACGTCCATTTTAATATATAAATCCCTACATACATTAATAAATGGTTGCTAGGTTACTGATATAAGAATTAAAGAGTTTGCAAAAAAAAAAAATTAAAAAAATTAAAACCAAAAAGGTAAGACAAAATAAAACTTAAATTCATCAGCCCTTTTTTTCCCTTTTCTTCTTTGCATTTTTTTACCCTACTTGTATATTTATTTAAAGACGTATAACTATATATATATATATATATTAAATAAATAAATAAAAAGAGAGAGAGAGAGAGAGAGAAAAGAAGATCCCTGGATCTAATGAATTAAGGCTCGATATCGATCACGTGACCCTGCCAAAGCTGTCATAATAGTAACAATGATATCTAATTATAAAAGGGTGGTTGTGCATAGTATTAAGACCCTTCATAAAGACATATTGCACAAAGAAAAAGGTTTCTATTATTGAATATAAATATACTATGTATGAAAGGGAAATCCTCCAAAAATAATGATGATAGAAAAAGAGGGGGGAGGGGAGTACAGCGTTGTACACCTATAGTTATTTATAATTACTTATTGGTACTGTGGCATACCATTCAATGCCTCTTTTAAAACAGAATACTATGCCAAAATAACACTAAAAAAGACGAAGAAAAAAAAAAAGAGGAAATATTATGAAAAGGGAAAGAATATCAGCAGCAGTAATTATCAATGCTGATTATGATGAGTATGAGGTCATAAGCTTTATTTTATCGTTTTTATTTATGGGAGAGGCAGCGGTCACTGCATTGACCATGTCATCTTTAAGATCGATTAGTTTGGCAACCACATAGACTCTTTCTCTTTCGTTCTGTTTTGTTTTCGATTCAATTATTTTCTACACAAATTCCAATTTGAATATAAGAATTGATATCAGCGGTAGAACAGAGAAATTGAACAAATATCCTAAATCCAGGTTAGACAAAGGTTGTTGGTGCAACCTTATCCTACTCTCTCTCTCTCTTTTATACTCACACACATGCAAGGAATAAAGAAATAATATTCAAGTGGGGGACCAACTCAGAAATCTTGGCAAAATATATTGTTATACTTCCACACGTACAAACACATACAAAGATATACATTTGATGGTGTTCCTTTGTCGAGAAGATAGTCTCTTGGTATATTAAACCTACAAGAGTACAAGTGGACAAGAGGAAGGATGAGCAAAGCAGTAAAAGAGTGGACAAAAATGATGATTCTGGATATTGTATAGATTAACCCAGGAAACAGTATAAAGTATAAGAGGGGGGTATTGATACTATTATTATTGTTGTTATTTGTTTGGGTGGTTTATATAGTAGTTAATAGAGAGAGTATTTTGATGGACAATAGAGATTCTTGTCCTTCCATTTTGAACCAAAATAAAAATAAAATAAAAGCACACGATGCTATATAATTTTTTATATATATAAAAGTCCAGACAGGCGCATGAGCCGGTTTTTGTTTAACCAAAAAGAAAAAAAAAGAAAATTCAACCAGCCTCACAATTAAAATAAACTATAATTTTCTATTTTTCTATTATTTATTTATTTTTTCTTTTTTTTATTTCAACATCCAATGAACATCACTGATTTATTTTATTATTATAATTTTTTTATTATAATAATTTTTGCTGGTCTTCATTTCCCACTGCTCATTTTTCTCTTTCTTTCTTTCTTCCCTTTTTTATATATATATATTTTTTTTTATTTCTTTCGTCTTCTTCTTCTTCTTCTTCTTGTTCTTTACTCTTATATACAAAATATACAAAATATAAATATTAAAGTAGAAGATAGGCAAAATCAACCAGCAAGCCAACCAGCAACTTATTCACTACACAAAATATCATATATTACACTACACTACACTGCACTGCACTAAATTACATTAAAAGCATTATTTTATATGACAACTGTAAAATTGATGATGGACCGACCAACACACGAGTCCCTTGAACACCACGACCACCCAAACTATCTCCCCACCCCCGTCACACCACTCGATGATTATCGCGAGACAAAGACTGAAGGTGGACTCTATGGAACATTCGCTGTCCAAACAGACTCAAGAAACACAACCGATAAGCAGTTCTCCTGCCACGAATGTAACCAGACGTTTAGCCGGCCACACAATCTAAAGTCCCACTTAACAACCCATTCCTCCGAACGCCCTTTCCAGGTATGTATCCCAAACACTTCTGTCCTTTCTCTCGCTGGGTTTTATATTACTATTATTACTATCATTACTGTTCTTGGATGTGTCCTGAACAAAACAATATCTTGGGATAAAGAAATATGTATATTTAGTTTAAATTGTATTGGACTCTGAGTGTTGGTCTAAGCTGGTTAGCCAAATGGCTGGCTTAGCTTAGGATTTAATAGAAAAAGGGAAAATATATATATATATTATTAATATCTTTTTTGAATAAATTAATTAATATATTTATATATCCAAGTTTACTAATAATTTTCTAAAATAAATAAATATATATATATATTATATATTATATATTATATATTATATTATATTATATATATACATTATATTTTATAGTGTGATGTGTGCAAACATTTATTCAGACGCCACCACGATTTGAAAAGACACCAAAAGCTACACACGGGTGAAAGACCTCACGTTTGTAAAGCCTGCTTTCGATCTTTTGCCCGCCTGGACGCATTGAATCGCCATCGCCGAGCGGAAGGAGGAACAGCGTGTAGTGCTGTGCATCAACAGAGACCTAGTGAGTCTAGTGACGACAACAACAGCAGCCGCAGCGCCACGCCTTCTTCTCCGCCGCGTGGCGTAAGCCATCACCAGCAACTACAATCACAGTCGCAGTCGCAGTCGCAGTCGCAGCAACAGCAACAGCAACAGCAGCAACAACAAGTACAGCAAGTACAACACCAGCAGCAGCAGCAACAACAACAACAAGTACATGTACAACAGCAACAGCAAGTACAGCAGCAGCAACACCAGCAGCAGCAGCAACAGCAACAACAACAACAACAACAACAAGTACAACCATCTTCTAGGCCTGTCATCCCCCAACTTTGTATCCCCTTTCCAGCCTCGCAACCCCTGCAGCCGCAACCATCGCAACACACCACTAATGTTAATAACAATATATTTCCAAATGTGTCTGACCCACCTTCCTTGCGTGCCCCATCACCCCCTTCACTGCTGCCCTCGCCAAGTGCACTTTCTTCCTTACCAGTATCGGAAAGTGCCGATTTGATGCCAATCTACAATCATCCTTCACCCCCTTCTCCGACTCCACACCCACCAGCCCTTCCTTTTCAATCATCTTCCTGGTTTGGAAACACCGCCGCCTCTCCCAATGAGAGCCGCGTCTTACCACCGCTCCAGTCCACTGACCCCATCTGGACTCGTCTCTACCAGGAAAACATCTCCCTCAAAGCAACCCTTTCTAGTCTACGTCTCTCGGAAGCAGACAAACTTAAATCTCGTCTTCACGACCTCGAAGTAGAAAACAAAGTCTTGCGTTCGCTCATCAGTGAAAACGCCACAGATTCACCGCTCAAGAAACCTCGTAACCACTAAGCCCCTCTTTCAAACCCCTCTCTTTGTGAGCACTCCCTCTCCTCCCTACACGTCTACACGTCTACACGTCTACACTCCCTCCTCTTACTCTTACTCTATACTTCCCCTACTCTCTCCTTTTGACTCTCTTTCTGCCTTGCTTATTATTTGGCTTACTTTCTCAAACCTCCAAAACCTTTTTTATATATATATTGTTTTACTATTATTTTGTGCAAACAATATCTATTTCTCCGTCTTTCTTAGCCCTTTTTTTTATGCCTCTAATTCTCTTACATCCTTCTTTTCACCTCCCCATTTTTTTTTACAATTACAATTATAATTGTCTTCTTCTTACCTCACTTATATATACATCATCCTTGCACCTTTTTTTGTCCCCTTTGTTTGTAAATATTCTTTTCATTAAAAAAAAAGATTAAAATATAATAATACTTTTTTATAATAATAATAATAACATCATAAAATCACCACCAAAGAAAAAAAGGGAATCTGACCATTGATACTATGCTATTGTTTATTGTTGTTCAAATATAAATGTATATATATATATATATATATTCTGTCTAAATTGGACGATAACTATCTTCTTTACTAAAGCACCCCTGCAGAAAACAGAAGCCAGCTAGTACAAATGATCCAAACGCCACCCCCATCATTGGGAGCCCTGGACCCTGTGTTGCAATAAGCTGAGGGTATTCGCGTGTCAGCTGAGTTGCCGCATTGGCGTACATGACAGAACACTCTGCCACAAGTAACAGGGCAAGTACAGCAGCAGCACAGCACAAGAATCCTCGACCATAATGCTTGTCCTCAAATCCACGTCCCATTGTCCGAAGCAATCCCAAAGTCAGTCCGGATCCGCCACACAGCAGGCACAGCACAGCAGCAGCAAAGATTTTGGGATCGTGAGGAGGGTTTGGACCAGCCAAGGGGTTCAGATCAGGATCCTGGGGAATCGCATTCTCAAATAATTCTGGATATGTTCCGTTCAACATATCACTCACAGCAACATCTTTTATATATACATTTATTTGTTATTTGTACATATATATATATATATATACACAAATTGTCGTTGTCAAGTCATCAGCGTCATCGTCATCGTCATCGTCATCGTCAGTGGTTTCCATACATACATAGACATATACACAATATCAGTTACAGCAGCAATGACGATGACAATGAGAAGAACAAGAACAACAAAAGAAACTTTATAACATATATAAAGCAAATATTGTTCCAAGAATATTTTTTTTATTGTCACTATTATAATTATACTTTTTTTTGTTTTTTACTTTACCAAATGGAACCACCATCATCGAGTCGTCTGTTTTGCATTGCCATGTCTTGTCATTAATACAATAACCTCTCCATCCATATGTGACAGCTAATTGGCTTGGTGGATTGTCAGTGATCTTGAGAAAATGTAAACTTTGACCAGCCTTGGAATGACCTCCACTCAAACAGAGGATCACCAGTACAAATCCAATCAATGAAAATAGTAATCCAAGATAATTGAGACGAGATGGCCGGACTTTTGGTATAAAATAATTCGTTTTTGTTGCCATATTTTTTTATATTATTATTCTATTTGTTCTTTGATGGTAGGTATGATTTATATATATATATAATGTGTGTGTGTGTGTATGTATGTATGTATGTATGTATGTATGTATGTATGTATGTATGTATGTATGTATAATATATATATATATATATATATGTATGTAAAGAGGAGGGGGGAGAGAGAAAGAAGGAGGGGATTTTACACTTTATTCCCGCCTTTTTTCATTAATTTAAATTAATTTATTATTATTTTTATTTTTATTTTTAATTTTTTTAATTTTTTTTTAAAACCATCAAATGAAATTTCAAATGTTTCAATTTATGCACACTTCCTTTCTTAATAATTAAATATGTGTTCAGTTGGATTAATATCACTAATAATGATAATGCTAAACATATATATATATATATAAAATCATTGGTTTTTTTTATTTCATTTAAATCAACGCTTTGTAGTGCAAATAATAATAATAATACTGATACTAACATTTGTTGTCACATTCATTACAACCTTCTTCTTCTTCTTCTTTATCTTGTTATAAATACTACTCACAAAAGCGTGCATTTGTGTTCGTGTCTGTGTCTGTGTCTGTGTCTGTATTTTTTTTTTAAAAAAAATTGTCTGTGCCTGCTTGTGTCTGTGTCTGTGTGTACCTGAGCACTTATATAAAAGTTATATAAAAAAATCTTATTACTGCTATTATTATCCATGAGTTCTCTCTTGGCAATCTTACTAGTGGTAAACTCCACTCGAGGTCACCATTACGTATTCAGTTATCCCGCTGACCCAAAACGACCATTGTCCACGCGCGATCGCAGTATAACAGACCCTTGCATCGCAAAGACCTGTAAAGATCCCCACTATCATCACCATGAACAAGAAAAGTCTAGCGATGAATTCGCAGGAAGAGATGCAATCTTTAACATGGACGTTGGATTCCTTGCTGATGCTCTTGCTCCAAAACCTAGTCTCTGTGACCGCAAGTTCCAACTGAGTATCGACGACCTCACCTTTGTTGGTCATCCTGTCAGTCTCACTACAAATCCCAATAATACTGTTATTCATGGCAGATCACAAGGTTACAACAGCAATGAAAATAACAACATTGATAACAACAATAGCAACAACAGCAACAACAACAACACCAATGCTAATACTAATCATGATAATACCAATAATTCCAATAATTCCAATAACACAAATAATAGCAATAATATTGCCAACACCACCAACAACAACGACAACAGCAGCAGAAATAGTAATAATAAGCACAAAAACGTTGATTTGGATGGCGAGGCATCTTCCCTTGATGATGACGATCACGGTTTTCTACCTCATGACATTCCTGCTCCAATCTCGGATGACAAGCTTAACCACTCTCTCACGCACATGACACTTTTCCACGTTGTGTTTGTTCTTTCACCACCTGATCTCGAATTGAATTCTCAGGTAGAGGCCATATACGACCACGTTGTGTTGCGCTACACTTCGGCTTTGCGCTACGAACAGCTACGATGCGGCTATGTCCAGGAAGAGATTGACAAGGTGCTTTCACTCAAAGAAGATGCGCTAAATAAAGGCACGCCTTACGATCAAGTCACACAGGACATCCTGAGGGTCTCGTCGCTTGCACAGGACATGCGTCAGATGTATCTGGCCATATCGACCAACACGGCAGCCCATTTGATCATCAATGACTTTATTGATCTCTCGCTTCAGATCCCGCTTCTGGGAGCAAACGTAGTGGGAGCTGGTGGCAGCGGTGGTGGTAGTGGTAGTAGTGGTGGTAGTGGTAGTGGTGGTGGTAGTGGTAGTGGTGGCAATGGTAATGGCGGTGGTGGCAGCGGTGACGGAAGTGGCGGCGGTAGCGGTGTTAATGGTGGTGTTGGTGGAAATGGCGCCGGTCGATCAAGCTCGGTTGATGCTGGGGCGTGGACACGCGAAGGACATGCATCATGGCTGATGGATATTTACGGCGTCGGTGGTTATGTCTATGACACATATCCTGTCTTGTGCCCGTACCACACACTGCTCTTGTTGGAGGATCCTGAAGAAGTCCTCAAGAACATGCCACTAGATGCAAGTCCAACTCTTGTTCAACTTGTCCAGATCCTCACACCTACACAAAGGTGAATACTATATAAATATATAGAAAGAGTCTATGAAAATTTCACAGCTTTTGGTAGTGGCCTTATATATTATTATGATTGTATTTTTTTTTTATTAATTGATCTGGATTTTCATTTTACTTCATTTTTTAGTTTACAAGAACTGCACTTATTGCTGGATTGCTCACTTGCTCAGATGTACCGTCTTGCCGCTCACTTGATATATTGGCGTAAAGCAAAACTGATCCACACAATACATGTGCGGAACCATTATGTGGTTTCACCTCTAGCCAAACTAGATGAGTAAGTTAAGCTAACAAGAAAACAAAAGGGTACTATATCGATGTGTGCAGACAAAGAAACAAACCAGCCAACAAACCATACCATACCATACCATACCATACCATAGTAAACCAAACTAATCAATAAATATCAAAACAAAACAAAAAAGTATCCCCGCACTTGACCGAGACTTTCGCCTTCATATTCCCAACCTTGATTTCCCTACTCTCCTGTCTCAATTATCAATCGCCAAACCCCTTTACAAGATCGCACCCTCAAAGGAATTCCGAAACCAATACCTCGAGGCAATTACTTACCTCGTGCGCAAGGACCTCGTCGTACAGCTTCACATGTTCCTGGTCCTTGTTCTTCCCTTTGGTCTCCGCCCTAGTCTGGGAGACAGCGAAAATGAAGACGAATCAAAGAAACAACTATCGTCAGCAAATGCCTCGGCAGCAACAGTGTCGGCCTCAGCAGCAGATATGGCAGCCAGTCCTGGGGAGTTAGAATGGAAGGCTCTCAAACGACTGGCTCATGAAAAAGCCCCAAAGGAAATTGCAGACTTGTTTGAAAGGTAAAGATTATATTATATTATATTTTTATCTTGTCTTATTTTAGATATCTATCTGCACATATACATATAAAGAATACTTGTAATAATAAGAAGAAGGAGAGAGTATAGATATCATCAATACCTCTTTACCTCCCTATAGACTATATAGACTATATCGACTATATAGATATATTTATATTGTGTGAATGAGATAACGTAGGATTTTTTTGCTTGTTTCTTTATGTATATGTGTATATAATAAAGGTTGGTTCCATACATGGATGGCAAACATCCAATTGAAGAGATTATGTACCGTGAAGGAGTATCCAGACGTCAGCTAAGCTTGGTCCTCAAGTATTACCGAGACAATATTGTTACTATTCACCACTACTAATATATATAATATAATATATAAATCACATAAAAACAACCCAACCAAAAAAATGGTAATAAAAAATTGTAAAATAAAATGACAAGAAAATATAAGACAATAAATAAAATAATTAACATAGAATATATATATAAAAAAAATTAAAAAAAAAATAAAAAAATAAAAAACAGAATAAAACAAAACAAAATATTCAAATATATATATATATACAATTTTTCTTTCCTTTTTCTTCATCTTCTTCTTCTTGTAACAAAAGAGGTTCAAAAAAAGAGGGAACCTATTTCCTTTTCTCTCTCTCTTTCTTTTTCTCCTATAGTAGCATTATTATTATTATTATTATTATTATTATTATTATTTGTTGCTGTTGCTGTTGTTATCATCATAATATTTATATATTTTATATATATATATTTTTTTGTTTTTAACCCTGACGAAGGGCAGTCCGGCTCTTACGTTGTCGGTAAGTGGACCGGTCAGCACGAACCTTTTCAAGCTTAGAAACATGGTGTTTTCCGTCACAGCACATTCGTACATCTTCCAAGCCATCTTCAAGGTCACTCTCCAGTTCTTCTGCTGAATGCTTTGGGTGGTGATAATGTTCAGTCTCATGCTGCTGTTGGTGCTGCTGCTGGCTGGCATTTGTCCTTTCTGAGTCTGCGCGCTTTAATAAATGGCGAAGGGACTAAAAATAATAATAATATTGAGATTTTGTAAGATTAAGTGATAAAATGAGGAGTAACAGACACACACACACACACGCACATATATATATGTATATATATATGTATATATATGTACATATGTATTTGTACTTGTATTTCTATTTGTAATTTATATGCAAGAGAGGGAGAGGTATAGGGGAAAAGAGGTATATGGATAGATAGGTAGATAGAATAGAATAAAGGGAGAGAATGTGTGTGTGTATATATTTGAGATTAATAGTTTAATTAAGCTTACCTCGACCCAAACAGTGTGAACTGCCATAGAGGGAGCTGTGAGTTTGATCTGGCGAGTGCTGGTCTGAATCAGTATACTGACATTTGGTAAACCAGGTGGGCTAATTGTAGGGTCTGAGATGACATCGACTTGCTCAATAGACGCTACAGAAGAAAACAAGAAGAGTGATAATGTTCATATCATGTTTTTTTAAATGGAAATTAACAAGGATACCCTCTCAATCCTTACTCCTCTACAATAGCCATATATCTTATTGTTTGCCTCTTCCTCTTCTTCTTTTTTTTTTAACTTACCACTCCTTGTCCGTGACTCGTCATCTCCCCCTGGTGCATGAATACTCCAATACAGGGTGCGTGTGTAAGGGTGAATCCAAAAGTAGCGCTTGTGCCGATGTTCAGACAGCCCACCTCCTACGGTCTTGCGAGTATACTTCCACAACCAGTCACCAATCATGGTCTGGGTAATAAGTGTGATCATTGGATCAGTGGGCTGAGTTACTGGCGAAGACGCTTCGGTATCCAGACCACCTCCAATACCAATCGCACTATTGCTATTACTGCTGCCGTGCAGTTCACTTCCAGCAGTTGACACACTAGATGCACTTATCGACTGCCGTCTGCCATCGATTGGCTCCGCAGGATGAATATCATCAGACACGGATGAAAGTACACCGTGAGCCTTGATGAGCAGAGAAGCAGGGGGGGAGCAGGTTGGTCGAGGAGGTGCAATGGTGACGGTTCCAAAGCTGCCGACACTATCCAGACCAGACAGGCTGAACTGATCCGGACTGAAGCCAAGGTCATCGGGCGAAATAGCACGGATCTCCGGGACACTCGTCTCCTGAGACCGGTCGGCCCCAAAAGGACTTATAGATGAAGTGTCGGTGGGATGGACAGAGTCGGCGTGTGATAGACCATATTGTCGTCCAAGTCCAAGTCCACCCACAGTCATGGCCGCAGTCGCAGCCGCAGCCGCAGCCGCAGCCGCCGCAGCATTATCTTTGGCTTTGTCTTTGGCCTTTTCATTATCCGTAGCATTAGCCGTAGAATTATCGATATAATTGACTGTGGGGGCTACATTAGCCAGTGACACTGACACTACCTCGGGTTCTGTTTGTGTAGAGATGGATTCACCATAAATCGATGTATTGTGTGTTTGTGTAGAAATGGTCTCGCCAGAGATAACTATCTTGGGGGTCTGTGTCGAGATTGATTCAGTAGGAACAGCTACTGGCTCAAGGGTCTGTGTAGAGATTGATTCAGTAGGAACTGCTACTGGCTCCAGTGTTTGTGTGGAAGTCGATTCAGTAGGAGCAACAGCCGCCTCCAGTGTTTGTGTGGAAATCGATTCAGTTGGAATAACTGCTTCCTCGAGTGTCTGTGTAGAAATTGATTCAGTGGGAATAACCGCTGCTTCTAGTGTTTGTGTTGAGATTGATTCAGTGGGAATAACCATCTCAAGTGTCTGTGTCGAAATCGATGCGCTGGGAACAGCGATAGGCTCAGTGGTGTCTGTCTGGACACCTGCAGACTCTGTCTTGGCAGCCGCAACAACAGGTATGGGCACATGTTCATTTACATTTACAGATTCAGCAGATCCAGGTACATTTACAGTTACGGGTACAGGTACAGGTACGGGTGCGATTGTAGCAGGCATAGGTGCAGGCACAGGTGGTTCAGGGATAAGGTCGGTTTGGACTCCCACACTGATAGTTGGATGAAGCTCGCTTGAATTACGGTGACTGGCTCTGTTGAGTTCATCGGCCATTGACATCGCCAGAGGTGAACTGCTCTGATCTGGCGTAGGTAGGCTTTCGGGATCAAAGTCGCTCTCGCTCTCTTCAGAAAAGCGACCAAGAGGATGTTCGGTGTCAATCTCAAGTCCTTCGTCTCCTTCCTTAAAAGACCGTCCCGTACTACCTACTCCTCCCACTCCTCCTCCTCCTCCGCCTCCCGTTCCCCCTCGTACACGGCGAGCATGGCGTCTTCGGGTTGCAGAAGCAGGTACAGATGACTTTCGCTTACGGTCATGAGTGCGCACTTGAGAATCAACCCAAAGTCGAGGATCATTCTGAAGCTGCTCGATTGTCTCTTGGGACTCAGCCAGAAGTTTTTTTAGCTCAAACTTTTCGGTCTTTTCGCGGTGGAGATTGGATCGTAGATTGGAGATCATGCGGTGGGTGTGTCCGAGGGTAGACTTGAGAGTCTCTACTTCTATACTCTGTCGACGGACCATGGGCTGTGGGGATGACGGCTCGGGTGTGGGAGGACACTCGAGAACTGATAACCGAGGTCCGGATAGACTGTTGTTCATCTCGTCGTCGTCTTGAGCGGAATAATTTTGGGAGTTCGGTTTGGATGCTATGGTAGCCTGTGCCCGTAAGATTTTCATCTCGCGTGTGAGATTTTCGATTTGCTTCTGTTGATCGTTATTGTCTTTGGCCAGGTTGGCTGCATGGCGTCGGACGGAGGCTATGTCTTGCTCATGACGTGTCTTCATCCCATCAATCGTCACATTCTGTCGTTCCTCACGATCCCGCACTTGATCCAGCTCGGTCTGAAGAACGCTTACTTGTTGAAGAGCCCGCTGATGGTCAGTCGTGGCTCGGTTGAGGTGCTGCTGGAGATCTGTGACGGTTAGGGTGATCTCCTGTCGGGCCAACTCAAGATTCCAAATATCTTCTTTAAGTTTCTCTATAAAAAAAAAGAATTAGTGTTAGACAAACTCAATGTCGGTTGAACTACATCATATTGTGCAACACCCCCACTGACATTTAAAAAAAAAGCAAATCACATAAACACACGCACACAAGCACACATAAAGCAAAAAAGAACGTCTTTGTCCCACGGGCATTTCCTTACAAAGGCACACGCGTGCACACCAAAATAAAATAAAAGAAAAGAAAAACTAATAATAACATCAAGTGCACGCGTGTAGGTATGTGTAGGTATGTGTATGTGTGTTTATGTGTGTTTGCGTGTGTATGCGTGTATGTTATACGTGTGATTGGGTAGATGGGTAGATATGTCGATGTGCAGATAGGTCCGTGAATGGGTGGGTGTAAATACTATCATTATTCTTATTATTCTTATTATTTTACCTTCGCTTTCTTCTCGTACCCGCAGTTGCTTGGTCGTCAGATCAGCGGATCGTTCGAGGTCGGCCTTTTGGATCTCTAGGGCTCGCAGCTGTTCTTCTTTTTCCTGCAGGAGTGATTGCATTTTTCGCACTTCAAGTAGTAGCCCCTGTCCTATTTCGGTGGCGAACTCAATGTCAGTATTTCTTCTGTCTTTGTTGGGGATCTTGGACCGTCGTTTTGTAGGTGTAGACCCGGTGGGTGGAGGAGGAAGGATGATGTCGTGAGGAGATAATGATGTAGATGGGCTGGGAATTGGATCGAGGCCTGTGCGCTATCAAAAAAGAAAGAAAAAAGATAACACAAGCACAAAGTACAAAGTACAACGTAAAAGTTGAGAATCAATACAATTGTATATATATATATATATATAGTGTGTGTGATTGTGTGATTTTGATATTTGTATTTGTTTTTAAAAGCGAATAAAAAAATGTAAAGATAGATAGATAGATAAATGAATAGATATATTAGTGTAAAGGCCCATATATAAAATATATGATAAAGAGCTGTGTTCTGTATCAGCCTTGTGTGTGTGTGTGTGTGTGTTGATATGGATATAGGTGTATATATTATATATACAAAAAAAAAGAGCAGGAACAAAATATGCTACCTTGTCTTTACGAAGGGTTTGACTTGTAGATGGAAAGGCTCGATAAGCTGTCAAGTCTCTTTCTAGGTTCTTTAGTTTCTCTCGGGTCATAGGTGGAAGTTCGTCAGCTTTTTTGGTGTCTTCGGTTTCGTCTCGAATCTTATCTTGGAGTTGGTTGATTTGGCGGACCAAGACATTGCGACCGATTCCATTTGGAGAGGCTTCTAGTTGTTTCTGGCGCTCACTAAGCTGTGACTTTAGGGTGTCGGTACTGATTTTCGGTGAAAGAGAGTCTGTTGGAAGAACTGAAGCGAGTGGACTTGGTGAGACAGGAGAGGAGAAAGAATGATGAGGGAGTGCCATTTAGGCTGTAAAATTTATATATAAT